TTTATTTTATCTATTGATAATATATACTATGATTGTAGCTGTATAAATGAGAATAATATTAAATAAATCTAGATATTTAAGTGATTTTGAAAGTTATAATAAAATTATGAATATATATTTAAAGTAAAATTAATATTATTTCATATAGAAATCTAATTAGATTATAAATTCTCATTTATCTACATTTTATAGTTGCTTAAAAAGAATTTTCTTTTAAATCTTTATCAATTTATGATCATTTGTATCTATTTCTAAGCATTATTTGATATCAGCAAGTTATATATGCAGAATATATTCAAAAATCTTATATATCTTTGCAGTTTATATTTTTGATATATATATATTTGATTTATATATAACAATAGTCAACGGAATGTAAAATTATTGAGATAAAAACTTTTTGAATAAAAAACATAAAAAAATAATATATTAAAGATTTTTTAAAGAGAATTCACTATTCAGTATTGAATTACATCATGATTAATACTTTGTCAGCAGAAGATAACTAATATAATTCATCATTTAGTCAATCAGATTATCTAGTCAATCAGTTTATTCAACATATATACATCTAGCATTCACATCAATAAAATACACACTCTATAGCCTTCTCAAGATTCTACTCAAAAAGAAAAGATTCTTTTGACTATTCAAACATTAAAATAGATCAAACTTCAAGTATTAAGAAAGCTGCAGACTTGTACAGCATTTCTTTTAGCATCTTACAGAATCAATTGAATGATTATATAATATGAAAGAATTCTCAACTCAACAATTGAAAATTATCCTCTACTGAAGAATCAGTTCTTGTATAGTGAATTCTATTTATGAATGAATGTGACTAATCTTCTCAAGTATGCACTATATGAGAAATAGTCAATCTTTTTCTTGTCAACTGAGATTCTAGCATTAAGGCCAAACCTTTATTTGCAGTTGGCAAATACTGAGTTAATCAATTTATTGATCATCATTCTAAGCTCAAATTCAAGTTTTCATGCAAGTATGATTATCAATGAGCTTTATATGAGGATTCTGAGATTATCTGTGAGTGATTCAGACTTGTATAGAATATTATTACAAAGTATGAAATTCTGAAAGATAATATCTATAACTTTAATAAAATTAAATTTCAGATGAAAGTTATTAGCATTGTTAGAATAATGACTGAGTCTGAAAGAATCAATCATTTAAAACTGATTCAATCTAAAAATCAAAAATAGATAACTGTTATTGCTGAAATTAATATCACAGATTGAACTCTTCATATAATAATCATTCTCAAAGAAAAAGTGCATTAATTCTGTTGATATGAGATGAAAGAGCTGCCAGGCAACTAGATCATTGAAGCTAGTGATAATGACTGAACAACTGACAAGCTGAGTCTATATTGACTGAAGAAGATGTTCAACAAAAACACTCTACTTCATATGAAGAGCAAATACTGACTGCTGATTCTTGATGAACATGAAAGTCATACTTCAGCTGAATTTAACTAATTCTACTCTAAAAACAATATTATTGCTCTCTACATGCCAGCTCATTCCTCTTATCTTCTTCAGCCATTAAATGTTGACTACTTCTCCTCTTTGAAAACAGCATACAGATAACTGATAAAGAAGCAGATGCAGTTTAAAATTAATTATATTGACAAAAAGATGTTTTTGACTCTATATTCTACTGCTCATATACAGGCCTTGAATGAAAACAAAATCAAGAGCAGTTTTAGAATTGCTGAGTTGATTCTGTATGATTCTGAACAGATTCTCTCATATTTTAATATCACAATGTATATATTCATCTCTTCTGAAACTTCTTATAACTTTCAAGCTTTCTAGGCCATAGTCATACCATATAATGTATACCAATTAAAGCAGCAGGCTGAGAAGATCAGAAGATATATCAAACACTATACATAGAGTTCACCCAGTTCTACCCATCAGGCTCTAAGCCAGCTTGTCAAGGGCTGTTAAATGACTATACATAGAATAGCACTTTTAAAGCAGAAGGTCAAAGAACTAAAAGCTGCAAATACAAAATAAAAAAGAAAGTGAGAAACAAACTGTATATATATAATTCAAAAAAGTGCTTTGAGGGTTGAAGAAGGCTTGAATCACATATGAAGGGTCAATGAGAAGAAGAAGTGATTGAGCTGCTCACTCTCAATTATAAAAATGCATAGTATTACAATGTAGTATATGTGAGACTATTGAACATACTACTTATACATGCTCTTAGCATGCAGAAAATAATTCTTAATATAATTTACTACTTTCTATATATAATTATTGCTTAATTTAATCTGAAATACTTTAAGTGATGAAAGACTGATCATTGCTTAATTTCATCTGAAATACTTTGAGTGGTGAAAGACTAATCAACTAGATGATCTGATTAACTAGATGATAAATTACATTAGTTAACTTAGTTAATCAACATACTTCAATCAACTTTCTGCTACTTACTTGAATCACTTTACTCATGTGATATAAAACTCTATTTGATAACTTCTAATTGACTTTCTTGACTTTACTATACAGATCATTAGTTCTAGACATCAATATAATTTTCATCATTTTTAAATTGAAAGTGTTTTTGTTCATACAATCAGTAATATGATGATTTAGACTTGTATAAGAAACATTATACGGTCTGGCAGCTCTTTACTGGCTTAATTCCTGATTTTGAATAGTGAAAGTAGTCAAAAATAAGTTGATTTTCACTCATATTTACTGAATATATGCTGAATTTTAACTATATGAAGGTTGAAGCTACATTGTTTTAATTGGTGCATACTAAATTAGACTATTACAGTGAGTAAGTGGTTCAGTAAGTGGTGTTGATCCAGAAAGTAGTTGAAGCATATTAGCCATGAAAGCTCTGGTTTTAGTTAATCCCATATAGTAATTGGAAACACTCAAACAATGGACTTCTGATAGGGCCATTGGAATGATACTTTAACTGTGGGAGGCTACTTTGTGGAGTTGTTGGTATAAAAGCATCTTTAAATATGGTGTGTCTCAGCAAGTGGTGAAATAACTATGTGCTGGGATGATTTATTCTCTTGCACTGGGAGGCATTAGGACAGATGCATGTATGTGCCCAGGAGCAACTGTTACACCAGCCCCAACACAAAAAAAATTGTTGAGCACAAATTTTCTTGGGCAGCCCCACCGCACGTGATTAGTGTATATAGATACAAGCTAGCTAGCCTTTCATCCGAAGAAGGATAAAGCTGAGTGGTAGTTAAGAAGTCACATACTGTTAGACCATCTTGCAATAACAGTTAACTGTCAAGCACCCTGTTGTGTAAAGTGTCAACAATCAATCTTCACTCCAACAAATCACAACCACTATTCACAGCATTCAATTATTCTGCTTTTTGTTGCATAAACACATTTCCGCAACGGCAGATATGTACACTGGTTGGACTAAGTTCACTAAAACTTTTCTATGACAATGTCTCTAGATTCCCAGCAGGGCAATCCGCGATGGAACCGAGATGTGGACCTCTCCCGCTTTTTTTTTTTTTTTTTTTTTTTGGCGAGCCTCAATATTTCTGCTGTAACTCACGAAGCCAGTTTTCTCTTTCGTCGCATGATGTGATGGAGAAAAGGGTCTGAAACATTTGTCAGCGAGAAGAGCTTCCTGACCTGCTTTGTGGTGGCTGCATTACCTGTCTTGATTTTCTTCTCGCAAAACCTCTTCTTCCACCAGTTATGGGAAATAGCCGTTTCATAGTTGACAGTGACGATGATAAACCATGCCCAGCACCCTCCTTAAACGTGCGATCGCCAAGGCACAAAACAGATCATATTTCGCACAATCTTTCCATATCATATCTTTCTCTGACAGTTGAAATCCATTGTCTTATTTTTGGCTTCCTAGACATCGAGAGCATTTTTTTTGGTCTCGGCCTCGCTTGTCGACACCTTTGGCCAAACCCATCATAATAAAGTTTTTTTCTGAGTTCTCAGGAGTGTGGACCGGAACCTCCATTGCTTGCGTGGACCCAGTCCGCTCTAGACAAACCCCCAAGAGTGCGAGTTCAACTTTAGCTTTCCGAATATCATACGTAGTTATGCACTTAACTTAGTTAATCGGTATCGTTGACACATGATGTACTTGAGATAGCTGATCCCAGACCACCTTTCTTCTACCAAGTCAATAGGCCCTGAGTTCTGCGGAACTTAACGACTCGCGAGTTTGTTATCTCACATAAAATCGTACGAAATCCGGAGTATGTTCATGGCCCGTTCATCGACGCTCTTGGATTCGGTGACGTAATCGTTTCTCGAACCTTTTGTTCAGCTAATGATCCTTACATACTGCGCTGCAGCGACCCTCGAAGGGGAACACGCTGTAAGGGCGTCTGGGTTGGACACAAGCTAAAAATTGCTCCCTTTGATGCTCTTAATGACGACGGTTCCTGCAAGAGATATTAGCAAATGAAGTGCGAGAGTAAATGGAAGAGATCTACGGGGTGAATATGGGGAATGATGGCGCGAGGGAGTTGATCTCACGTCGGCACATGTGGATTACGGACACAAGATACAAATTCAAAGTAATTGGCGTACTGGCAGCTTCTTGAAAATATCATATATATTCTCTTTCTCTTCTTTCCATCTTTGCCGGCCAGCAGAGGTGTCTGGCTTGGGGAGGCTTCTGAAACATGAGAGATTATTGAATCCATTCTTCTATATTTTGATACCCCCCGGCTGTTCATTAAACCTTCTGGCGACTGTCTGCGAAGTGTTACTCGCGGGAGGTTTCTATGAATATGATGATTCGGATATTCAGCCCACATCGCAGATATTGCAATCCATCAGCTTGAACTTCTTCAGATGCCGCCTCTGGAAATGTTTAGTCAAGTTCCCTGGTCCAGGGAATGAATAAAATTGGTCTGCCTGCATGAGTTTGGTGTCCTGCAAACAGATAGAGCATATTTTGGGTCCCGGTTCCGTTCGGACTGCTCGAACGGCCGATTCGAGGACATTGTTTGATTATGGCTGGCCCATCACTTCCGCCTTGAAGGCCGTCGGTTTCACAGCGATGGGCATGCGGCTGGAGCCATGGACAAGCCGACGGCAGAGGGGATACTCTTCAGCACCACAATTTACACTGACGCCGTGGATGGCGGCGATCTGCCTCTGCAGTTCTCCCTCTGGGACCCTTGGTGGCAGCGTTAGGACCGCGTCAGTCACGATCATCTGTTCGGGCGTCTTGTACTCTGACCGCACCAGTTCATTTTTCATGTCCTTGTCGACCACCTTTCCGGAGAGCTGCCGCAGGCTGTCTACTACCGGCTGTTCCGGTCGGTATCGCTCCAGAATATTACGCTTGAGCTGGATCCTCGCGCGTTACTTCTCGCTGCGGGGGCCCGGCGACTGGCCTTGTTATGTCTTTTATTCTGCCTCTCGTGCTTTCAAGCCGGCTCTGATATTTCTTTCCCCATCGCTCGTCCCTCCTAGCCTTTTCGCCGGTACTTTCACTGGTACTTTGTCCCATCCGGCCCCGGAGCCAACGTGCAGCGAAGTCACAGCCCTTTTTCAGATGTTCAACTCTCTGGAAGATATTCAAGATAGGTGGCTGGTGTCATCTCCAATGCCTTTCTGCGGCTCGAGACCACGGTAGCTGCTAAGGATATCAGCGGAGATATTTCGGTTCAGGTAGTGTTTGAGGAATGTATCAAAACTGGCGTGCTGGGGCATTAAGTTCTGGAGAGAATCGCTCACGTCCGCCATTTGACAACGCCAACTTTGACAGACACGTTCACTCGAGAATGGATACGAGGAGGGGGAAACTACCAGCAAGAAGGAAATGACAAGCGGACATTCCTTGGTTGTCTTAATTTTCCAAGGCCGCGGGGTTCTTAATTGTATGGAAGCATGGGATTATGTTTGCAACGTGCAGACGACTTCCGTCTTTCATGGCACACACCTGATCTGAACATTCGGCTTTGCTGAATGCATTCGAGTATCCTTTAATTCCGGGGTAGCTGCTGTCATGGGCGGTCGCAGTTGGGGTCAAGTAAACGCTGTATATGGATACGACGGCTGTCTAGAAAGCGGAGTAGAGACGTTGAAATAAACATTCCAGTGAACCCAGTGATATATAAATTTCGCGAGTCATCACGAAGCGAGGTCTGAGCCTCAAAAGCGGAGCCGCGCTAAGCAATCCACTATCCTTGACATTCCGTAAGAAATTCAAATGATTCTTTGATGCCCTGTGCCGCACACAGGAGTATCTCCCAACTACGAGGCAACAGTTGCCTGCAAGTTGCAACTCTGTGGAAGCCAATCGGCAGAGCCATTAACCTCGCGCCAGAACTGAAAGTTGATATCGGCTCTTTTCATTGAATCATCGTATTTTGAGCCCCTATATCGGGTTACGTTTACCGTATCATCTACACAAAACATGCAATGTGCCCATGCACGCCGGGCAGTTGATTGGTTGGATGCTATCAAATTTTTGCTTCCGTCTTCGTAGATCGACATCAAATTCTCGTATTCATTTTTAATCCGCCAAATTTCTCAAGCGGGAGCAACTTGCCTAGCCTCCAAGCTAGGCTTCTCTGGCAATGAAGGAAACTTCAAGGATTCCCGTTTGTTCTCGAGTTCGCTTTTAAAATGGGGAGCTCCCACCCCATTCTGCTTCTATATCGGCTTTCTTCAGTTTTCTCAAAACGCCATCTCAAGGATATCCCACTCTTTTTTAGGATATTTCGTTGATAAGCACATAACGCAAGCATGCCTTCATGGACCAACTTCATAAATCTCGCGCTCCTCGCGTTCTCCGCCTCTACCTCTGCGCTAGAGGCCGGCCAATTAGTCCCCGACTCCCCCAGTGTCCTACTGAGCACAAGAGACGTCATTGATAGCATGTCTATTCCAGAGACTGGAGATCTACAATCATTGATGAGACGCGCCTGTCCGGCAAGGTGCTCACAATACTGCTGTGTCTCTGATGGTACCTGCATCCCTTCGCTAAGTTGGAGTTGCTGCGGCGGTGGCATTGTTTGCGGACCAGGACGGAAATGCTGTCATAACGGCTGTATTGATGCTAACGAGGAATGCTGTCGCACGGCTGGCAGGCATTGTAATGCCGGGTATGAGTGTTGGTTAATCAACGACAGCCCTAGATGCTGCCCACGGGGCCAGTGCGGCTCCAACGGTGGTTCTGGTGGCAGCGGTTCCAGGAAAACCATCACCTACCCGCCGATTCAGACAAGGACGTTGGGTGGTGGTTCAGGCTTTGGGTATTATACTTGGACGGTAACCTGGTAGGTGCCCTTCTCTTTTTACCAGCCACTCCCGTTCCCATCCGCTGGTCTGCATCTGCATTGAAGACGCAGAAGGCAAAAACTCAATAGACCGCTAACCCCTGACAGGACATACCGAGTCATATTCTACACCTCAATCACAGTTCGAAGAACCACGACCACCACCACAACAAGTGTCATTTCTTTCTATGGATCCGACTCTGCGGATGCCTCGTCTTCTTTCCGTGCCTACACCGCCACAGCAACGTATGATCCCCCAGCAAGCGCGACGAATCCACCAGAGCCAACCAGCGGTAGCAGTGGCAGTGGAGGCAACGGCGGCAGCGGAACTCCAGGCACGGGCAACGATTTGGTTGCTGTCCCACCAGGGAGTTCGAGTTCCGTAGCCACTCTGCGCAGGGGCGTCTTGAATTGGCGCACAGCGCTCATTGCGTGCACTGCTCTCATACCTGGATTGCTTGCAGTTTATCTGTAAGGCAACAAGTAATCCTCCGCAAGTTTATAGATTTAACACAACCTTATCAGCAAATTGCCTTTTTAATTCTATCTTTTATCGCCAATGCGTTCCCGGATAATGTGATAATGAACCCTTAGCCCCCCCCCCACAACCTGTGTGTTCTGCTTTGAATTTCTTATTTCTATTCAGCGTTCCTTTTTCAAGCCTAACACCCCTGCCGCGAGGTAGGGCTTGCATGCGCAGTTCAATTTATGAAATGATACCCCCTCATTTGTAATGTACGTACATACACTGCATTTATGTACAGTATCTAATCGTTGTCGTATTGGTTTTCAATTTGATACTGATGTAATATAATATATAGAAACTTGTATGCCTATCAACTTGTGCTCATTCATTATTTAAAGGTGAATTTTTTCTTTTTCTTTTTCTCTTTGGGACAAGGAGGATGGAGATCTCTTGATGATTCTGATCAATTGTTTGACAAACTAAGCTGATACCGCAAAAGGTAAGTATGTACATATCTATATGCAGTAATAGGTATAGCATAACTATCACATTGTTATGTTGTTGAGTGAATTCATTTGTATTCGTGCTTGTCCCGTTATGTCTGCTGCGCTAAACCCTTCTCGGCCCACCCTAAGGATCGCGGCTAGATCTCTCTTTTGTCCGCGTCAGAAACAACAACCAAACAACACCGAGCAAATCGCAAGTTCAACCTGCTGAACCAGCTCCCAGCACAGCCAGCCCACCATGCCGGCATTCAAAGATGAACACATCCTGGTATGTACTACTTCTATCCTAGCCTGCTCACACTGCCTCCTTGTGAAAACGTTCTTTAGTGAGCTCCAGCTTATACCATAACCTTCCACTATTCAGATCATTGCGCCAGGCTCACAAACCACCCTGGCGCAATTAGGTCTACCTGAATCTTTCACGCCTGCAAAGTTCCGCTTCCCAACTCGCATGTTCCCCGCTGAGAAGAAGGGAGAATGGGAACCGTTCAAAGTCCGCGAGAAGATTGTTACAAAAAGTATGACTGCGCCAACCTCCGCTACCACAGCTGACCCCACTGCGACAAATAATGCGCCAACAAATCAGAGCGCTGGATCTAAACAGGATACTGAAATGAAAGATGCGGCTGAGGCTGAAGGCACGGCTGAAGGTGCAACTGCAGGAGGCGAAACAGAAGATGGAAAAGAAGACGGAGCCCAACCAAGCACTGAAAATGATCAGGAGGAAACCGCTGCGCTGTCTGGGCAGCCAGAGGAGGAAGAAGTGGCATACGAGGAGGATCCAACATCAGACGAAGGTGCCGTGTATCCTATACAAAACGGCGAAATAGTCGATTGGCCTTGCTTCTTTGCCCTCCTATCCCACATCTTCAAAACCCTCAGCCCGCCTTTCCATACCCCCATCATGTTTATTGCACAGCCAGTGTGGACCGCACGCGACCGCGAGGTAATCACCCAGTTTGTTTTTGAGAAATTTCAGACTCCAGCGTTCTGTCTAATGGATTCTGCTTTGGCTGTCTGCTATGCGTACGGTACTGCGAATGCCACCGTTATCGACATTGGTCATGGCAAGGCAGACGTCACTGCGGTGACTGATTTTGCTGTCAATGAGCATGGCAGAGGACTGGCATTGCCCAACTGTGGCGGTGAAGCGATCACGGACCGGCTGGAGGAATTATTGGGCCCCAAGGGTTTCACACGTGATATGTGTGAGCAGCTGAAGAAAAGCAGTATCTGTGAAGTTCTACCCGCGAATGTGCCTCTTCCGGGAAGTTCGGAGACTACCTCGCAAATACCAAATTTGTCAGATACGTCTAGCACAGTAACGGGGGCCAGTAAGGAGTTGGCGAAGCCTGGCATCGGCATTTCAGGCAAGGGGGGAGAAACAACTAATGGAGCAGGGGACGTGGAAGAGGATGAGGGCATTCTTGATGTTGCGGCTATCGTCAGCAGCGGTAACACAAGCGAATTCCTTGCCAGGAGAGAGAGAGAAAAGGCAGAACGGGCAGCCGCTAAGAAAGGGGCAACTGATGCAACGGGTAAACCAGTCCGGCTGCCTAACTGCAAGAAAGAGAAAGCAACATTCCAGTATCATGAGTTTGTTCGAGTTGAGCCCAAGGACGGGTACACGCAAAACACCACAAGCCAGTATATTCGACAGAAACGCGATATTGAGGTTGGCATTGAAAGGTTCCTAGCCTTAACACCCAGTGAGACGAAATCCAAGGACTTGGGCAATTATGGTATCTTGGATACACTTGCTGCCCAAATCCACCACACCATTCTTTCTGTCCCCGATGCGCCCAAGCGTAGCGAGCTATGGGACTCGTTCATCATTCTAGGAAATGGCAGCATGGTGAAAGGTTAGTCCCGGTCTTTTTCTATCTTCTCTGCACAACAACTACCAAGCGTTTACTTACCCCATATACGAAATCAGGATTTCCCCAAGCCCTTCTTGCCACCATAACCCAGAAATACGTCCTCTCGCCCTCCTCAGGCACAATATTCACCTCCGAACTGCCCTCCCAAATGTCCACACCCCTCCCCACGGGCGGCACAAACACCCCCGCCCATGTCCAGAATCCAGGCCTCCTCCACCACCCAGCTGCCCATGGCGTAAACCCCCTCCTCGTCGCTGCCACTCACGCCAACAACCCCGCAACCCCCAACCACCTCAACTCCAACGATCCCAATAACAACGCCGCCGCAGGTGCCCACCACCACCGCTCAACTGGCCACTCGCAAACACCTACCTCCATCCACCTCCTCAAGCCTCCAGAATACTTTCCGGAATGGAAGAATCAAGGGGGTAGCGCCGCCGCTGGTAGTGGTGGAGTTGTTGCTGCCAGTGGTGCAGGCGCGGCGGGATCATCAGGGGCTGTTTTGGCAAATGGGGTCTCGTTGCTTCCCGGGACAGCGGCGTCGACGAGCGGACAAAATGTTGGTATGGAAGAGGCGACGTTTCTAGGCGCGCAAGTTGCGGCAAAAGTGGTGTTTGTTATTGACCAGGGGCTTAGCAAAGGGTTTTTGAGCCGGGTGGAGTATAATGAGGCGGGACCGGGGGGAATTCACGATTGTGCTTTGTGAAATTGTAGTACTGTAATTGGGTCTAGGGGGTTTTGTTCAGATCCGTGATGTTTTCTATAATTTAGTAATTTTCTGGTTTTGACCGGGGCTTTTTTTAATGTATGAAAAGATGATTTCGGAAATTGGTCACGGAATGGGAACGGCTTTGGGTTCGCAGGCGCTAATCAACTATAGGCTTTTTCTATTCCATTTTGGTTCTTAATTTCTTCTTCACTTCCATCATTCGCACAACGTCTGGTGGCCAGCTCCATACACAAGGAGTGATCTATGTTTATTAGCCAAACACCTTTTATATTGTTTCCGCTACATCTAGACAAGTGAGGTTACTCATTTAGCTAGCCTGTTTGCCAACGGACAAAATGGAAATAAGAATGGTATTATGAACGTGCCATTGTTCAAGACACCTGGGTTGTCCATCGTTCCATTGCAGAAATTAAAGTTGAGAATTGAAAAAACGCATAAGAAAAAAAATATACCATGCCATCATCAATCATCATGCAGCCAGTTGAAATAGAAAGCAAAAAGGGTCCGCAACAACCGGAACACCAGTGAAAGGAACTCCTGTACACACATTACTATATACACATCGAATACCAAACGCCTGTGAGCATCCCGCAAAAGAAATGAAAACGAAAAAGCCAGTTCCGTGGTCCTTGGCGCCCATCTAATAAATTCCCCCGGATCTTCATCACGTTCTCATCAATTTCGTTTAAACCCAGTCGTTGGACGAAATAAATAAATAAAATAATAATAATAATAAATAATAATAAAGCACCTAAATAGGCATTGTTGTCGCGATGGGGCGACAGCTATTTTGCTCCAGCAGGAGTCTGTATTGTTTCAAGAAGGAAAGGAAGGTGGAGGGCCAATCACACCGCCTATATCGTGATTTGTTGATACCGTCCGGGAAGTAAGTTAGTTAAATATATTTAAATATATTGGTGCTGGGAGGGAAGCTTAGCTTTGGGCATAAAAATGAGGAGAGATAAAGTGGAAAGGAGATAGGGACATACAACATACCTAGGAAGTTAGCAACGGAGTCGAGAACCCTGTTTGCCCATGGACTTCAGCCTCCAGCGTTATATTTCTCCCCCGCACAGCGGAAGAGCTCTTGCTGCTGCTGAAGCAACTCTTCCTCAGTTAAACCACTCTGTTCCATCTTATTAACCTTTTTCTCACGGGTCTGTAGTTGATGTCAGTCAGTATACTTAATTTGAAGAGAAGGACGCAAGGTAGGATATCTCATGCCCAGCACCGCCTTAGGAATGAATTCTTTATTTTTAAGAAAAGAAGTAACTCGCCTTTAACTGCTCCTTATGTTCCTCCGCCACTGCCAGCACGTCGGGTACATACTCTCCAAACCCCAAATCCGTCAAAGCCTTCTCAATATGCTCGCATGCGATTGTCTTCTTTGCTTCTTTCTCGCTGATATCGTTTGCCTCCGAGGATATTAGCGTGATAAATTCAACGCAGCATTCGATGAGTAGGTCTCGCGCATCCTTTGCGAAAGTCTGACCCGATGAAGGGGGTAAGATTTCTGTTATTATTTTTTGGACAGTGGCTAAGAGGGCTGTTAGTTTAATGGTTGTATGCAAAGTGGCTGAAAGAATAGTGTAAGGAAATGGAAGAGCGTAAAAATGCTTGCACGGGGCAATATCGAGACAGGAGTTCAATCATTTTGGGTTCAAGGTACCTTTCGGGAGGGAGAGATCATCGTTGCCTGTACCAGTCAATGTTAGTTTCGAGATCGAAGTAGACGGGGTGCTAAGTGGATAAATACCTCCAAACTCTCGGTCTGACATATCTAAGATGTAGAAATAAAAGCTAACAATCAGTTCAGGGCCCTGATTAAGTGTACTACCAAAGAAAAGCAGTTGTTGTTGGCGAGTACCGAGGTCGGGTTGGTGCAAATATGTACCGATCATGAAGATCGTGACTCGAGGTTTCATTTATTTTATCGATGCTTGTCACAATTATTCTGCCTTGTCACGTGCCAACTTCAAACTTACCGCTTTTCTGTGATGACTAAGCTGCCCTTCACCTCATAAATTTCTGTTTTTGGAAAACTTCTTCGTACACAATTTCTTTTTCTCTTTTCTTCATTCTTTGCATTTCCCACGACACCGAATGGCTGAACTTGAAGAAATTCATATAATGCCTCCTGTTTAATGCATCTACTGATAATGGTATGTTTGATAATTTTTCTCCATTCCTTGCTTTTCAACTACCATGATGAACTTTGTTGTCGCCCCTATCATACCATCGAGCACAAGCTCCCGTGGTGATTTACCTGTCCAAGCCAAACGGACTTCTGATCCTAGTCTCCCTTCTGCGCGAGGATTCTACCGCTGTCATTTGCACATGTTTCCCCCCCTTTTTTCGTTAGGGAATCACTACTAATATACCAATATTCAGATACATCTAGGCTTGCCATTTTGCAGCACAATGTTCCCCGTGTGCCTCTGGTCCAGTCATTGAGGCTGTAACAATTTTCTATATGATCAATTGATCCACTGATGATTGTATGCGTTTACAAAACAAAATGTTTTTTCGTGTTTTAGTTTATCGGAATTTATTGTGATGAGCATCATTTCGTGTACTATCAAATGCCGATGTTCAATGAAGAGCTGCGATTACGTTCTGACACAACCTCACTACCCACCTGTGTTCATTGTTCGAGATGATGTTTTGAATGGAAAATCGGAGGGGGTTTTACTAATAGTTGAATACAATTGGTTCTAGGACAGATGACACAAGCGAGAAGCATGTGGAAACATATTTTGATCGTTCGTAGGTAGGTTGCATATTGAATTTTTAAGTTCCTTCTTCTCCCCCCTGGGTACCCACCTCATCTTAAATTGGAGACAAATGATTAAAACATACACTCCATGCTAAATATAAAGGTGTCTCTGATATCTAATGCTTAATACATGTGTCCATTTTCATCTTTCGACTGATGTCTTTTGATTTATTTTTTTTTCTTTGTCAACTATGTTCTCGCTTTTATTGTGCTGCGATTCGAGTCGCTGACTTGGTATTCTAGATTAGTTTTAGATATCCAATGCCACCGATCGATCGATCAGTTAGTCTTGGAAGGCAGCCAATTCAGGAACATTCCACCTGTTCTCGTGTCAGCATTATACTTGAGACTTGAGGACTGGAGATAGCAAGGTACACTCACGTTAAGAATTTCCCACTCAACGCATGCGGGGCATCAAGCACAAGCTTCGCAATAACATGACCTGGCTGCTCTGGCTTGAGCAACTTGCCCTCCTTGTAAGCATCGACGAACCTTTTCCCTTGCACGGGCCCTAGAACGTCTATATGTTTCGCTCGTAGCTCCTCTTGCATCTCTGTATCGACCATCCCTGGCCGGATTGATATGGACGTGATATCTGGTTCCTCCAGTGCCACTGTCATATTGAGATGGTTCATAGCTGCTTTGGTGGAGCCGTAGAGTCCCCATCCAGTTGTTGCTGAGGTCGCAGCCCCGGAAGAGGTGAAGATAATTTTTCCAAGGGATTTTCGTAGATGCGGGATTGCTGCTTTTACCTAGAGATAGTTGAGGTTAGCAAATATAACAGAAAGTCTTTTCCCTCTCCCTGCATCCTTTTTTCCTTTCGATCGTAAACCGCACACCAAACCAAATGGCAAAAAATTTCAAAGGAAAAGTGAGAAAGACTCACAATTCCAACCACACTAATATAGTTGACCTCCACCCCTTTCCTCCAGTCGTCCAAATCACAATCCTCCAACCTCGTCACAGGTCCCAACGTCCCATGATTAACAACCAACCCATCTAGTTTTCCGAACCTCTTCAGCGCCACATCCACTGCTCTTTCGGCCAGCGATGGTGAAGAACCGGCCGCGAAGTCACCCGTGAGGACTTCGACGCGGTTAACCCCGTATTGCTCTTGTAGTTGTTGAAGTGGCGCCTGCGAACGTGCAAGGAGGATTAGGTTGTGAGAAGCTGGGCACTGGAGGAGGTAGCGTGCTATGGCAAGGCCGATTCCCCTTGAAGCGCCGGTGATGATGATGGTTTTGGCTGACATTTTTTTTTCATTTTATACTATCCGGAGTGATGCCGGTGCTTCCCTTCTAATGGGACTTTGGGGTTTGGAGATATGTGTATTTAGAATTTAAAATATCCTTTTTTGTAGCAATTTTTTTTTTTTTGTTTTTTACTCTTATTGAATGGGTTGAATGAGCCTGTGCAAATTGGAGTTAGTACCTAATACGTGTGGTGGAGATATATTTGGTACAGTTTTAACTATATATGTGGGAACCAAATTCCCAAACCCAATAACTACATGTAAAACGAGGTTACGAGCGTCAAAAAAAAAATATAATATAATATAATATATATATATAATAAAAAAAGGACAACACCCTTTAGGGATTGACCTGCTTTCAATTCCACGTCCAAGTTGTTTACAAACGGAAGAGAAGGTTAATTGAAAGCTATTCCACTGCCCTGCTTAGCGATGGCGTTTTCTATACCCCCTTTAATCGGTGTGGAGAGGCGGGCAGAGAAAATTCCGATTCGGGATCAACGAAAATGTGTTTGAACTGCGGGGCTGAAAGATGAGATTGCTTAATTACATGCCTAATATCATATATATAGACGTTAATTCTATACGACGCTGGGGTCTGAGGCATCCAAGCGGAATGCTGTGGTTTCGTGGCGGGTTAAGATAAGATACGGCCCTTCAAAGGGTTTAAGACTCGGGTTATCCCGATGCTGCGCAGATCCACCGAATCCTCCAAATTTGCCATGCCTCACGATTGCCCAACTCTGAAACAATGCAGCCGATCTGTATAATACATTCTGAAGTCACAAATTCGCCCTAGCTATAGGTTCATGGTGGCCCTGGGGAGCAACTAGAAAATCCCTGTGAGCAGGAATAGCAATGCGATTAGCAGGAAGAAGACCAGGGCGAATAGCAGCAGGAGTAGTAGTGAGAAAAATAAGGAGGGCAGCGAGAAAACCAGCAGCATACTTGAATAGTATAGATGCTGGAGTTTAATTTTAAGGCTAGTTTACATATAACTAACTATACTGACAACCAACGATTCCGGTTCCCGTTTACTCGACCCTTTGAACCCCGAAAAGTTTTAGAGACACCCGAACGATGTCAACTGCAATAATAGGCGGCGGAATCATTGGCATCTCCACCGCCTTCTACCTTTCCGAATCTACAGAGGGCCAACGAATCCATATAATTGACCCGTGCACCCAACTCTTCGACTGCGCATCCGGTTACGCTGCCGGTTTCATTGCCCGGGATTGGTTTTCTCCCGAGCTTGCAGCTCTCGGCGCCCTCTCCTTCGAGCTGCATGAGCAGCTTGCACACGAGCACGGCGGGTATGAGAAATGGGGATATATTCGTAGTACTGCTGTCGGGCTTCAGTTACAATATGATGATGGTCAGATATCGGCCAGTGGGCATGATTGGCTGCGGCAGGGAGCTAGTCGGGCAGAGGTTGCAGTGAGAGCGGATGAGAAAAGGGAAGGGGAGCCAGATGCGTCACCGTGTTGGTTGACGAGGCAGAGGGGCGGGTTTGTGGAGAGAATTAGTGATGAGAGAGGGGCGGCGCAAGTGTAAGATTTTCTTTCTTCTTTTGAGAGTTTGTTGGAGATTGAGTTGTGCGTTGTTAATATACATGAATACCATCTAGTGACCCCCTACGTCTGTGTCAATTCCTTCTGACAAAATGCATTGAGCGCGGAGTGCATGTGCACAACCCCGCCCGGGCAATATCCCTCGTCAAGGATCATGCCTCCGGTTCTCTTACAGGAGTAAAGCTTCACAATCAGACCACAAATGTCCAATGGACAATTCCATGTACAAATCTCATTTTTGCTGCTGGTGCATGGACACCACGAGCTTTCAAAACCCTGTTCCCGACTTCCACTACTCGAATCCCTGTTACTTCTTTGTCCGGCTACTCTATCCTCCTACGCTCTTCACGTTTCACATTATCGCATGAAAGAGACACATACAACGGATCTGGGCATGCAGTATTCACTACACACCCCCGTTCCTGCGGGTTTAGCCCCGAAGCCTTCTCGCGTGCAGGAGCAGAGATATACCTAGCCGGCCTAAATAGCTCTGAGACTCCCCTCCCGGAACTTGCGAGCGATGCTCATGGCATGATGGAGAAGGATAAAATGTCTCGAGTGAGGAAAGCTGCAGTGACACTGATGGGACGGTGTGATCCAGACGTGGAGAGCAGGGACAAGGAAGGGGATGGGAATATTGACGATTTGGAAATCATTCGCGAATCTCTCTGTTTCCGACCATGGACGGAGAGTGGGCGTCCAATTGTTGCGCAGGTTGGGAATTGGGCTTTGGGGCCCGAGATTCGACCTTCTGGGGGTGTGTTTATGGCGACGGGTCATGGTCCATGGGGTATTTCGATGTCGTTGGGGACTGGAAAAGTCATGGCGGAGATGGTGAGGGGAATCAAAACGAGTGCTGATGTGAGTGGGCTTGGCCTGGAAGAGGGCATGGGAGGAGACAAGACAAAGATATAGACTTCACTATGTATGTAGTCTGATATTGCTCTGTAGAGTTGCTTTAAGACTATTCCGACTTGTATATATGTTGGGAATCATTGGTTCAAGATTAAGATGTTATGGTGTGAAGAAGGTTTAACAGAAACGGGACGGATTAATCCCCCTATTTAATCGACATCCGTAACTGTGATAGGCTATTCCTGTGAATCCAAATAACTAATTGAAGTAGTACTTCGTATATTCTGCATATTGCGATATCCTGTTGTTTGTAAATACAAAGGTAGTGGGAATTGGGAATTAATTCGGAGGAAGTTGGAAGTTCCTTAAGGCGCTTGTTTACTTAACTTCGCGTCTCTGGAAAATAACTTTGAAGATTTGTCGAACATAAACATTCTCAGATACACCAATACACCAATACTCCCAGGTATCGACAAATCCGCTTACCTGCAATCTTACTTACCATCTAGGCACCTACGGATAGAATCATATTAAATTTTAACCCACAGACAATAAGTCGTTAAACTGTGTAACCCATTCGTCAAGATGCCAAGGGACGACGACAGTTACAATGATTCGCATCGCGCGTTTCTTCAAGCCTTCATGGCTCGCTCAACCATGACTCTCGAGCAGGCAAAGCCTGTTTTAGCTGCGATATTCTCTGCTAGAGGTACATCCCTTGACGGCCCGCCTCCTTTGGTATGACTGTGGCGTGAGCAGTGTTCTCTAATATGGAGAATGATGTCCCATAGACAACGAGGACATCCTCCCTGAAGACATTACGCAGACAGATCTAACAAATAATATCGCTATCATCAACACTGCTATCTCTCCCTTCGATCTTGAAATTCGCTCTACAAAGCATCAGACAGATCATACCATCATCTATGGGCTTGTAAATACCACCAGCGACCCACTCACCCAGCTAGCCACCACCCACAACGCCAATGAGATTGCCTTCGTCAAAAGAGTTCTTGATGCTATGTTCGATACATACAATACCCCGCGGCTAGAGGCAATGGCTGTGTCGTCCATGCAGGTCGCTCAGCTAGCCAAGGCACCCACTACCGCCGATCGACACGAGTCAACCGCTATGAATGGTGGGATCCCAATTGCTGGTGCAGCTCAGTCTCTGGGTCTACGTGAAGCAGAAGATATGATGAAGAAGCTGGTGGAGGAAGGGTGGTTTGAAGAGAGCCTCAGGGGATATTTTACCCTCAGTCACCGCGGGTTGATGGAGTTGCGGGGCTGGTTGATTGCGACGTATAATGATGTAGATGATGATGTTGGGGAAGACGGTGGTCCCAGGAATGATAAGATTAAGACCTGTATGGCGTGTAAGGACATTATCACCGTGGTATGTTCATTCTTCGTTGCTGCTGCTGGTACATAGGTTTTCTTTTGCACGTGCTGGTTTACTAACGAGATCATCTGTAGGGCCAACGATGTCCCCAACGCCATTGCCCAGGTCGTCTCCATGATATCTGTACACAGAACTTCTTTCGCCGCCAGAAGGCGGACACGTGTCCGCTTTGCAAGTCCCAGTGGACTGGTGAGAACTTTGTGGGTGAACGAGCAATTGCGGCTTCGAATAGGGCATCAACGATACGACGGCGAAGTGGGCACCCTGCGGAAGGATCCAGTAATCCGGGAGGACAAGTTGATGATGCTGGCGAGACGGCGAGTCCTGTTGGATGAACTTTGTATCTCTATCAATTTATGATATGTTGATATCCTCAGGGTGTTACGATGATCGCCTGCCCGCTAACCCTGGACGAGAGCAGGTGCACCTGAAATGTTTGATTACATGCTTATGGTGCCATCATTTGTCGTATGGGATAACTATTACGAGAAGAAGTGGCGGACACGAGCTCACTTCATCCTCTGAGGAAACTTCAATACTCCCAGGGCTCTCTTGCATTCGTTGTGGATGCGCGCAACCCAGAGCATATTTTTCCGCAGCTGCACCTTTCGCTACGGCAGTTATACTTTTCTGGTTGGGATACTTCGCATTTGGGAGAGACGAATGGGAGAGGCAGCCTTTCTATTGAGTTGCCATGGTCAACAGGCGATCAGCCGCAGATGATATCGCTTTCAAGCATGTTGTCGTCTTCCCCATCTAAGTTTTTCACATTGTTGCTGGGAAGGGAGACTAGATAATATATGATTAAACCATTAAAAATTTCATTAGGGCCGGCATGAACGATAAATGAGTATAGTTATATTTTCCCCTTTTATCACCCCAACCCATATAAATAGGCTAAGGCCAAGACAGCGGCAAGAAATAACAACGATAGCTAATCCAACCACTGATAATCTTTAACTTTCAACCCCATTACTTCAACGTGCAATTAAGCCATCATCAATTCGCAATAAAAATGCAAGAAACTATAGAAATACAGAGAAATATTGAACCCACAATTTCCACTCTTTAAAAAGCAAGAAATACTCTCAATTCGTGAGGCTGCATATTGTGATAGGCTATCGCCTGGTTGATAACCTTTCGTAACCAAAACTGCTTAAGCCGAATTATCCTTCCGTTCTGACCTGTATAAAACTTTTCGCCTACCTTCCCAGCCTTCATTCTATTTTCTCTAACGAATTCGTTCTATAGATACTAGGGCCGTATTCGGTAGCACGCCCGTTACACATATATATGATAGTTTAAAACTTCACTCTCTTCATATAATGAAAGGAAACCCTGCAGAAGTTCTTGTCATAAAAGTGTTAACTCACACATAGACTTTTTTAAGCTTATTTATAATGTTCTCTATTGATTGTATTAAACTACAGTAGTATTAAATTTAAACATTTTATCAGAGAAATTGAATATCTTCAAAATGAATTTATAAAGTAGAAAAAATGAGCTTATCTCTATTGAAGTAAACTTACAATAATTAATGATAATTTCTATATATGAAAGTAGATTATTTTAGACATTTTATATATAACTGTAAGCCTTTAAAAAATATTTTTAAATACTTTAATCATTTATTCAAAAGCTCTATCAGTCTCAAAATGATAAGCAATATATAGATGATATTTTATTTTAGAAGTTGATAGATATAAGTTTATATAAATCATAAATATTAACTTCTAATTTTTAATGAGTATGAAAGTTAATACTTAAATTTTTACTGATTCTGCTTTTGAGTATGATATTATTACTCTTTGTATTTTATTATATTTATTTTAATTATTATAGTTGTTGAATTTCAACTGTTTTTTGTAGCAATAAGAAAAGGACATATTGAATAATATTGAGATAGAAAATCTGATAGTTGCAGAGAAATGAGCAGTTCAGTGATGTGAGTGATTCAGCAGTGATTGATTTCATCAACTAAGAACAAGAATCTAATAAAACAACTTTGAAAGTCCTCTTCATGAATTGATAAAAGACTTTAATCAAATTATCAACTTTGAATATAAGATGATCAACACTAATATTAAGAAGTAAAATCAAAATATATCTTCTATAAATTTCCAAAATAAAAAAAGGCAAGTGTATACAAGATCTCTCTGCTGAATTCAGCGTGAAGAAGGGTTTAAAGCGGAAATAGGCTCAAAATCATATTATTCTGCCCGCTTGCCTGTGAACAATCAGCTAGTTCACGCCATACTTAACTATAAGCTCTGTAATAATATAATTTAAATAGATGTCGTTGAGCGTAGATAATTTTGAGTTAGAATATTATTATTATAGTTAATATAGTTTATTGGTTTATCCTGGTTTTTAAGTTGGTAATAGATATGCTTTCTGATTCCTCCAATAATTTAAGGTTCACTTCTAGGGCCTAAGAAAAAAATGTTAGATAAACGAACTCTGTATGTACTTTGTAGTTCCATGGATATTAACCCTCATCGCCTTCTCCGACTTTTCAATGTAATTTCCAAGAGCTTGCTTGATCTGCGAGTTGTGCCCTCAACCCCAAGTTTTATGACTCAGCTTTACATTCTTTATCTCTCCCCACTGAGCATTCACAAAAATATTATTCTTGACATTGGGATACGAGGTTACGTCACAGGAAACTGATCTGCGCCGCTTTTCCCGTTTATTATCCGAGTTCTTTCAATTTTCTGCCTATCCAAGCTGCTAGTGACTAATGTGGTTTATTCCAACAAGTTATTTTGAAATTGTGGTGGATTTGATGTTGACAGTTACTTTTATTAGTTTGCTTTTGTCAATGCCTTCTCTTTCCCTTGCGGGGTTCAAAAGCTGGCTGTCTCCTCAGTTCTCATCCTGTATTTCAGTGTCTTCAACTTTATCCTCCGAGAGTCAGTCTCGGCATTGTCTTTCTGATGATGTTTTGTGTGAGGTTCAGTGGAGATTGTCGTTGCATCTTTTCAATAAAATAGATGATTAGAAGTAAATTTATTGCATTTCTATGAAAAGCCCTCCCGGAAGCAAGGGGACGAGCCTGATAACTATGCAGTTCAATGTAAGCCATATCAACTTTTCCTCTGCTCCGCTGCACCCTCCGACTAACTCCATGACAGCTTCAAATATGGAGTTTCCTGTGGCTCCTCTTGCGATGCTCCACCATAACAGCTCTTCCTTCCACAGAGAGAGTTTCTCGCGTCTTTGCAAAAAACCTCATCTCTTCTGACTCCATCACAAAACGGAACTCAGGCTTTCCTGAATTCCTCTACCCCACAAAATTTCCAGGAGTCACCTGGGACCACAGGAACTGGCGATTAACAACGACAAATCTCGACCAAGGCCACTATCAATCCCGCGGCTCCGTCGCAAATGGATACATTGGCATCAACGTTGCGGCAGTGGGGCCTTTTTTTGAACTCGACCAGCCTGTTGCTGGGGATGTGATAAATGGATGGCCATTATTCTCGCGCCGACAAACCTTCGCAACAGTTTCTGGCTTCTACGATTTGCAGCCGGAAACCAATGGCAGCAATTTTCCTTGGATGAATCAGTACGGTGGGGAGAGTGTGATTAGCGGAGTCCCTCATTGGAGTGGTTTGATACTTGATCTAGGCAATGACAACTATCTTGACGCGAGCGTCAACTCAACTGAAATCTCAAATTTCAAATCAACCTTGGATATGAAGGGCGGGTTGTTAAACTGGGAATATACTTGGTCTCCGACTGGTAAGGAGATATCGTTCGACATCTCTTATCAACTTTTCGCCCATAAGTTGAACGTTAACCAGGCGGTGGTTAGCCTTGTCATTACGCCCTCAGATGATGGATATGCGAAAGTAGTAAATGTTATTGATGGCTTTTCAGCTGTAAGGACGCACTTTGTCGGTTCAGGAGAGGATGGACGGGCTATTTACTCGTCCGTTAGCCCAGTAGGTGTCGCCAACGTTACGAGTTACATTTATGCCACGTTGGCTGGCTCGAAGGATGTGGATCTGGCCTCGTTGAAAGTAGTTGAGAATCTACCGTATGTTCACACAAATGACTCGTCTATCGCCCAGGCCGTGAATGTGATGCTACGCGCCGGTCAGAAAGTCACCATCTTCAAATACGTGGGTGTAGCGTCTTCTGATGGATTTGAGAACCCAAGGAAAGTGGCCAAGGTCGCGTCTGCAAATGCCGCCAAAGTTGGTTACGAAACCCTTTTAGAGTCTCACATAGGTGAATGGGCTACGGTTTTCCCCGATCACTCCGTCGATAACTTTACTCTTCCGGAAACGGGCTGGCTCCCTCTAGATAGCCACATTATTGGATCTGCCATTACATCCGTCACAAATCCGTTTTACCTTCTCCAAAACACGGTTAGTGAAAATGCAATGCAAGCTGTCAACAACTCTCCGATAAATCAAGGCAGCGTTTCTGTTGGTGGCTTGACATCAGATTCATATGGTGGTCTTATCTTCTGGGATGCAGATATCTGGATGCAACCAGGGCTCGTAGCCGCCTTTCCTCAGTCAGCCCAATCGTTCACAAACTACCGTCTTGCTAAGTATGGGCAAGCCCTTGAGAATGTTCGTACTGCATTTACCTCGTCAAAGAACCGGACTACGTTCTCTGAAGGCGCAGCTATTTATCCATGGACTAGCGGACGGTTTGGGAATTGTACAGGAACCGGCCCCTGTTTCGATTATCAGTACCACCTTAACGGCGATATTGGTTTGCAGATGATCAATAACTGGGTGACGACTGGCGACACAGGGTATTTTAAAGAGAAGCTGTTCCCAATCTACAATTCTATGGCAATTTTATATGCAGATCTCCTAGAGAGGAATGGGACAAAATGGACGCTTACTAACATGACGGACCCGGTAAGTGTCATTCAATTTATTCTTATATACCTCCCTCGGGGTATGATGGGATGTCTGAACTGATCTTGACATTAGGACGAATACGCTAATCATGTTGACGGCGGGGGATTCACATTGCCCATGATGGCTACGTCGCTGCTTTACGCCAACTCTCTCCGCCAGCTGTTTGGTCTGGAACAGAACCAGACGTGGAACGAAATGGCTGAGAATGTACTCTTGTTGAGAGACCAGGTCGCGGGCGTTACCCTAGAGTACACAACCATGAATGGCAGTACCCTAGTAAAGCAAGCGGATGTTGTCCTGAATACGTTTCCGTTGAGATATACGAATAACTACCTGCCGGACAACGAGCTGCGGGATCTGGATTATGTATGTTGCAAGCTGAATTCTACCACTGTGGGTTTGCTGACAAAAATTTAGTACGCTGCGAAGCAATCTCCAGATGGTCCTGGAATGACATACGCAATTTTCTCCATCGTCGCCAACGAAATCTCACCCTCTGGTTGTTCCGCTTACACATATGCCCAGTATTCCTACGACCCATACATGCGTGCCCCATTTTACCAGTTCTCTGAACAGTTGATAGACAACTGGTTAGAAAACGGCGGCACTCACCCGGCTTATCCATTCCTCACTGGAAACGGAGGGGCTAATCAAGTCGCCCTATTCGGCTACCTAGGTTTGCGTCTCCTCCCTGATTTTGTCCTGCATCTAGATCCGAACATACCTCCTCAAATACCGCATTTATCCTTTCGCACCTTCTACTGGCGCGGCTGGCCACTCAAGGCCGTGTCGAACTATACGCATACAACCATCCGGCGATCGTCAGATGTCCAACCCCTCCCAAAGGCAGATCAAAAGTTCGCCAACGCCTCCATTCCTGTCCATGTCGGACCCGAGTCAAACGTAACCATCTATTCACTCCCTCCCTTTGGCGTACTCACCATCCCCAACCGTAAAATCGGCTCCCATGCCACCTTCACCGGAAACATGGTGCAGTGCCAACCCGTCTCGTCCCCAGACGAGTACAAACCGGGCCAATTCCCCATCGCAGCCGTCGATGGCGCCGCCGCAACAAAATGGCAACCTACAAAGGCGAACGCAACCTCTTCTCTAACCGTTTCTATCCCAAATGACGAAACTCTGGCATTAATTGGCGGCTTCGCTTTTGACTGGGCTCAAAGCCCCCCCGAATCAGCTGCGGTCGTGCTGCATGATACGCCTTTAAATCTGTCAACCCAGCAGGATACAACAGACAAAAACAAATCGTCAGCTGCTGGCCTATCTGTCCCTTCAATACCAGGAGCGCTCACCATCACAACTCTCCCCACTATTACTCTCTCAAACCCTTACAATCCCAAAACGACAGACCTAAACCTCATAGTGCCGTACACTTCCAATACAACAAATGTGACGCTTGTCAAGCCTGTGCGAGCCACCCGTTTCGCAACATTGTTCATATGGGGAAATCAGGCGTTGAATGTTGTAGATCGCGTGGCAGGGAATGGAACCGGAGCGACCGTGGCGGAATGGTCTATTTTTAAAGCTCAAGAGAGCCGGAAGGATTAGTTTAGGATAACTAATGTTAAGGTGGCGAGCATAGCGATGCGGCCGGGGGGGTCGGAATGGGTAGTTTAGAATAAGAGATGTTTTGTTGGATTGGCATTGAAACATGCTCAGCTAGCACTTTCTTATTATTAGCTTAGGTTTTCATGATTCCGTTTCTAAGTGAATAATGGATTCAAATTTTCTGGTGCAATTAGCTCAGATGTATTTTTCATACTTTGCTTCGAACATTCAGGTATCTACTGAAGTGGTAGCGAAGGTGTAACTGAGTGAATATTTTCCTATTCATGGTGTCTTTAGATCCATGGATTGTGTTTCACATGCAAAGGACATGAGATTCTAACTCCTTGACGTAGTTACATATTGAATCAAGGAGTTCCTATTCGTAACCTTTCTTTGACTCTATTGGGGAAATGACTTGATCTCCAGCTAATTCCCAACAACATTCTTTTCGGAAGAATCAATAGGGTTCCTTTGTTAAAATTAATAATAAAAATAATAACGTAATCTATGGGTGAAAGTGGCACACAGGTTGAGAGGGCACTACATCAAACTTAATACAGATTTCAATACATATTATCTGGATTTTTACACAACTGAATTGATTTTTTTAAATAATGTATATTATTGAATTATTTCAGCTGCTAGACACCGAGAACAGGTTTCTATATAATGTTCTATTTCTTTGCAGCATTCTTGTCATATTATGACTATGGTTGTTATATATCCTCCACAATTTGAGCATTAATATTAGCCCGGTCAATTAGCTAAGATCCCCTCTTCTTTGTTAAAGTCTCATGTATATGTATTTGATATTTTTATGTTGTTTTTATCATATTGAAATCTCATTTGTAAAATTTTTCATCTGTTTTATACAATTTAAGTTTGAGCAGCTAATTGTTAAGCACTTCTTAAAAACTGATCAATACTTATGTAATTGATATTGATGAGCTGTTCTGATATTATATGATTCTGTTCTTAATTAACTTAGTTTAAGATGTTATTTTAACTCTAATTTCTGATGTTTTAACAGATAAAGACACTTTTTCTTCAACTGAGAGAGAGAAAATCTGAAGTTGAATATTTAATTTTGAGATTACAGCTTTTAAATTAAATAAAACAAGCTAAGTAGTTTCAAAACTCTTATGAATATTGTTTAATGTAATTGATATAATGATTTTTATGAATTATCCAAAATGCTAATAAAAACTTAAGTTTTATAATATAAATAATATAAATCTGTTACGGCGCTGTCGCTGGTAATATGAAATAAAGTTGATCTGTTCTGACCTCAACCATATTCAGTTGCTTAGATTGATTCACTCCGATCCACAATCATCTATATATATTTGGCTGCTTGTTCATTCCAATATTCTAATTCTCAGTTTAGTATTCTCATAGCAGCTGCCTAGTTAGATAGATGAATTGAGCTTTTTGTCTTGTTATCATCATGCCTCTAGTTGAGTCATGACAAAATCTATATAAACAACTCAATCTACTTGTCATATATTTTTTATTATAATGATACATAACTGCTTACATCAAGTAGTTGAAGAAAATGAAATGAATATAAAGATATGCAATAAGTAATATTATTAATTTTTTAACTTTATATGCTGATTGAAGTACTTAAGTCACTCAGTATCAAACTGACTATAGTTCAACTATTGTATCAACTACTGCTTTTTTTGATATAAAAGATGATTTTGATTATATTTCAAAGAATAAAATAAATTCAATTCTGTAATATTTAAAGTTTTTAAAATCTCTAATAAAATAAATAATTAATTTTGTGACAAAAAAAAGAATTCAAGTTCTATTTGATATATTAAAACAAGAAAAAATCAGCATTTAAATAGAAGTTTTTTTTAAATATCTTCAGTTTTATTTATTTTATTTGCTATATATATAATTCAACCTATTCAAAAATAAAAGCATATATATGATAAAACTTCTAGCTATGTTGATGATAATGATTTTATTATCAGTTTTAAATCTTTACAAGAAATTGTAAAAATAAAAACAGAGCTATATAGAGAATTTTTAAAAGAGAAGATAATAATTCAATTTAGTTTGATATGAAGAAAATTGAATTAATTTACTTTTATTCTAGAAGAAATGAAGAAAATAAGACTATCACTCTTCAAGATAAAGTTAAGGTCAAAAAACTCTGTAAGATAACTTGAAGTTTGATTAGACTTCAAACTTAACTTTAAAGCTTATTGTTAGGCTCATGACCGAGGCCCGGCGCCCGACTAGACTCGGCGTCGGATTAGGCTCGGCACCCGATTTGGCCAAACCCTCATCATGTGACCATGCAGGTTGTTATTAATCCAGACAGGCCCCACCCTTTTATCCCATCAAGCTTAGTATTTCATTATATAGCAGTTAGCAATGCAGAGAGTTCCTTCTTATGCAGCTTGCATTCACATACTAACACTTATATTCAAAAAGAATAGCTCAGACCGAAAAATTTTTAAATAATAGAGTTTGATTTCTTAATATAGAAAGAGATTTATCTTTTTAAGCAATGAGACAATTATATAAAACTTGTACTACTTTTATATCAGATTATGCTATAGAGATATAATAAAAAGACCAGAAAAATTATGTTAACTATTTTTAATTACTTCAAAATAAAACTTTAGGAAGAAAGTTAGATGCATTAAAAATATTTTTTTATTAAATCTATAAAAATAGAGATCTTAATTTTATCATCAGCTATTTAATTTGATAAAATCTATGTGAATTATACTTTAAGAATCATGAAAATGAATGCCAATCATTCAAATCAAAAAAGAGTATCTGCTTCATATCCACCAGGCATATCTGGTAAAGATTTGAATAGAGAAAAAATTTTAAATTGAAATAAATACTTTGAGAACTCCAAAAAAACTTATCTTTTCAACTTTATAGAATATGAGTAATGATTAAAGATTAATTATCATGTTTAAATGTGAATGATACAAATCACAATGAGCTTTATTCTAAAAAAATTAAAAATTAAAAATAAATTAAACTTAATAACTAATAGATATATCTATTAGTAAACTCTAAGAAAGAGAAAAAACTGCAGATATTCAAAAGCTAGAAGAGATTGAACAAGCAAGATTTCTTAACTCATATACTCAGATGAGTTAAAAAGTGAACAAGAATATTTAGAAGCTGGTATGATATAACAGGCTAGCCGCTGAGAACAGCTAATAACTAGAAAACAGAAAGGAATCATTAAGGGAAAAAAGAGGAAGACAGATCATATAGAGAATTGGGCTTCTTTTTATAAGAAGCGGAGCTCCGGTATGAAGATGATTGGACTAGCGCCTTTGTAATAGGGGCTATACGGATAGAGGCTATAGATAGGGTGAGACTCCGCCTCGGTAGCGCTGTCTCGATAGCGCGAAGGCGTAGCCTGAGTGAGTATCATAGATGTCAGGGTATAGCCCTTTATACACTCTATCACAAAGATGATCATCTCATCATCTTATATAAAGGTGAGACGATCACCTCGTCATCTTGTACAAAAATGAGGTAATATGAATATTCTTAGCAGAGTAGTGGGGGCACTGCAGAGCGATAGTTTCTATGACATAGAAGACATTGATATCAAGAAGATGTCTTTGATTGAATCTCATTATCATAACAGAATAATAATAATAATAATATAGTTCAGTTATTATTACTTAATGAGATAGTTTAATCAGATAATATATCATTAATTTTATATTAGTTTTGAAAATGATACTATTAATCTGTGAAGATAATAAATAATGAAATTACTTAATATATCCACTTTAATAATTACTATAATTCATTTATGATTTGCTGACTGAACTGATTTGAATCTATTATATTTTTCTAAATCTGTGACAACTAACTGAGTTTCAATAACTTTTATTCTAAAATCAAACTCATCAAAGTTATATATATCATTATTCAAAATATTATATTTGACTTTAATAGATTGTTCAAGCTCAAATCACGTTTTATTAATCATAGAATTGTTATTTTTAACTTCTTGAAAGTTATGCTTGTGATTGAAGTATGATATAAGTATATTGTAATATATAATAAATGTTACAGCGTACCTACTGATAATATGAATTAAGATAAATCTGCTCTGCTACACTTTGAAAGATTAATTTACTTCAATTCTCAATCACCTCTTTATATTCAGCTGCTCATTCATTTCATATTCTAATTCTCAGTTTAGTATTCTCATCATTGCTGTCTAGTTAGATAGATATACACTTAGCTTTATAAACAAATCTAAATCAAATCTTCTATTAAAATTCCAACATTTAAATAATTACAAATAGAAAAAAAAAATTACTAAAGATGAACATAGACAAACAGAAAAACAATTATTCCACCTTTCGTCAACTAATCACATCTAAAGAATCCAAGTTCTAATACTTAATCATAGGGCTAACATGGAAACGGTCCAACCACTTGAACACGTACAACCCCTCAATGAGTTTTTTCACGAACGCCTCATCAGCAGCATGCGAGACAAACACACCTGACGGCATCTGGTTGTTTGTAGCCATGCCACTAGCATCATGAACACTCTTAACAATTTGATCACCGTTGCTGCCGACTACCCCAACCGTCTTTCCATATCGATAGGCGTCGATGAGGAGCTGTTGCGGCCTTCCGGGGGGATACAGGCCAGACTTGGGGCCAGGAAAGCCTTCCAGGGCAACTATAGCGTCGTAAAGGGATGCGTCTGCACCGGCATATGTCGACACGATACCAGCTTTGGGATTGTAGGTAGGCCCGATTATTACGACATCAATACCAGAATGTAATTTTTTAAACAAGGCTTGTAGCTGATGTGCTGCGTCGAGCGACTTCTGTTCACCGGATATGAGAACAGCGACTTGCAACCCATCCAATTTATTCAAATTGGTGCCAAACGTTCCGAGTCGTGTAGTCTTCTTGTCGTGGTAGAAGGTTGGATCGGGTTTCGGTATTTTAATGCCAATGAACTGCGCAACTTTCACGGCTAGGTCGTGATCGATGAGGTTTAGGTGGAAGATGACATTTTGGCGCACGCCTTCGCTCATTACGTTCGATGTCTGGAAACATACGGCATCGATAACAAATTGCCGTTCGACCGCGGTGAGCGAGTTCAAGAAAAGGCGCGGATGGGTCCAGTGGTCCATAAAGGATTGGCTGATCTCTCGCACCAGCGGACCATTTACCGTGCGGTGAGGGTCCGTGAAGAAACCTTTGCCGACCGTTTGGTTGGCTTGTTTGGGATTTCCATTGTTCAGTGTGTTTGGGGTGTAGTGATATTTGTTTTTATGAATGAACATCTGGCCTGTTTGAATGGTTAGCGAATGGACAGCGTATTGATACGATTTTTCCAATGAAGAGAAAGAAACTCACCAGTGCCGTCGCGGTTGTTGTTATGGATTTCGGTGCGAGGTCTGTTGATTGGGACTTGTTCAAAGTTTGGACCGTTGTGACGGTTCAGCTGGGTGTCTAGGTAGGAGAACACACGTCCTTGAAGTAAGGGGTCTTCGGAGAAGTCGATGCCACGAACGACATGTCCTGGTTGGAACTGCAGAGAATTTTAGACACCGTGTATTTTGACACTACCAAGAAAGGAGCAGACTTACCCCAACTTGTTCAGTTTCGGCAAAGTAATTAATCGGATTTCGATTCAGGGTCATCTTGCCAACTGTCGTGAAGGGGACCATTTCTTCTGAGAGATATTTGGTCGGATCGAGCAAGTCGAACCCGTGCTTTAGTAGGTCCTCTTCATGGAACAGTTGGAGATCCAACTATAAGTTAGGTTTAAAGTTAGTCACGATTTTTGATCATCTCAAATCGATTTATACAGACAGGGGCTATGCAGGATTTGCTCTAATAACTAGGAACGTCGTACCTCCCACTCGGGAAACCGTCCAGCTGAGATAGAGTCCCAAAGATCCTTTCTATGGTAATCAGGATTTTTTCCTGCAATTGCCTGTGCCTCTTCCCAGACCAAAGCGGCTTTTCCTTGGAGATTTCTCCAACGGAACCTAACGAAAACAACCTTGGCATCTTCTGTGAGAAATCGGAATGTATGAACACCGAACCCATCCACATGGCGCATTGAGCGAGGAATTCCATTTCCAGACATCACCCACATAACTGCATGTAGAGCACTGGGCTGCTGGCTGAAAAAATCCCACGCTGAATCATGAGCAGTCGCTGCTTGAGGAATTTCACTGTCGGGCCGCGGTTTAACAGCGTGGATCAAATCAGGGAACTGAATGGCGTCTTGAATGAAAAAGACGGGGATGTTATTCCCAACAAGATCTGTATGATAGGAAAGTTAGAAAGTCCAGAATGCCAATAGCTCCCCTTGGGTCAAGATTGAACTCATCCAGCTTACCAAAATTCCCTTCGTCTGTATAAAAGCGGGTAGCAAAACCATGAACATCGCGAGCAGTGTCGGCACTACCTCTGCTCCCGGCGACTGTAGAAAACCGCACAAATACCGGAGTTTTTTTGCCCGCGGCGGATAAGAAAGAAGCGGCCGTGATGTTGGACCAGTCCCCGTAGGAGGTAAATTCACCATGGGCACCTGTTTGCTTATGTCAACAAGTGTCCTTTTCCAGCTTGTCAAAAGCGGAGTTATCAGGAGAGCATTCATACCAATCCCTCGTGCGTGAACGACGCGCTCAGGAATCTTAATGTAGTTGCATTAGCGCATTGCGATTCATGTATACAACATATATAGGCAATGGACAAGAGGTTTGGAAAACACGTACACGCTCATGGTCAAAACGCGTGAGCTTTTGCCGGAAGATGAAATCCTCAAGCAAGGTCGGGCCTCTGGACCCACCAGCCTTCAGGGAAATTTGTTCACTAATACGAGTGCCAAAATCCGTCGTCATGAAGCCATCACTATCATCGAGATAAAATTTGCTCAAAAATTCCTCGGTAGCTTTAGAAGCGGAATCATGTTGGCGACGATCTAGGGCTTCACGGGCTCTTCGGGGTCCGTTGGGATCTCCTAGTACAGACAAACACACAACTGAAGCCACGGTCGCCGAGGCGAAGAGAAACCCCAGAGACCGCATATCGGACGCTGAAGGAGTCCGCGATGCGAAAAGGTAATTTCTTCAGGGCAACCTGTTTAGCAACCTGTTTAGCAACGGAAAGAGGGGAAAGGCGAGCTTGGTAATAATCGTAAAAAGCAATAGAGAGAGGATAAGGAGTTTTAACTAACTTCTTATGGCCTGTGAATTGAAATCTGATCGGGATAAGCGATTGTCAAGACAAAGTCAGCGCATACGCCGTGATAAGGGGAGTGTTAGGGCAAAGGAAATAAAAGAAGCAGAATCAAACCAGAAGAATTAAAGTCTCGGTAGTTTCAGACTCCTTATATATGTAGTGGACATGATTGTAACCACGGCGCATCTGGCTGGCATAGAGGCATTGATTCGCTGGTCTGATCCGGAATGGGAGAACGGGAGCAAAGAAGAAAACCAGAAGACTGACTGAACGTTGCATTGTCAACATGCTTGAAGTACACATGATCATCTAGATTAAATCAGGACCCCATTGTCCTTGTGCCGGAACCGAATAACGGACGTGAGGACCGCAGTGGGGAGGCAAAGGTTCCCACAGAGACAAAAGGCTTCTCTTGCCATGAGCATGATGTTTCCATGGACGTGGGGGTAGGGGAAAGGGGGGGGGGGGGGGGGGAAGGGGGGGGGGGGAAGAAAAACGAAAATAGAAAAAAGATAAAGGAAAGGAAATGATGCAGGATGAGGAAAAAGCAGCTGAGAGGAGCTCAGGCATGTGCTGAAATTTGATGATGCTCATTAAGCAGTTGACAACGAGAAATATTCCACCATCCTGATACAGACATTTATCGTATCAGCTGCTCCCAGGATCTGTGATCATCACATCCACAGCCATATCTCCATATTCAGACGGCTCAATTTCCTAGGAGCTTCTTCAAGCTTTGCATCGTTGAACTTCATACTGTCTTTGGAAGAACGAAGATGTGCAATCAGTGTGGATTATGCCGGGATCCCGCTGCGGTTGAACCAGAGCTTCCCAATTGCCACCGCCCCACACAACCCCGGGACGAAGCGAGGACATCAACTGCAAGGGGGCATCAGCTCGAGTGAACCCGCCCGCCCCTTGGTGGTTCGGGGGAAAGACACCTCATGTGTGCGGCAAGCTGCTCAAACCAATTTTTTTTTTTCTTCTTCTTGGGTTTATGGCAAAAAACGGTATTATTAGATAACACGGCGACTAACTAAGTAGGTTATATTAACTTCGAGACTAATTATTCCCCATTTTTGCTGCGAAGTTCTTGGAGTGGAAATAGTGGTATGTCGAAGAAGAACGAGGCTGGCGACGATCGAACCATGGCTTTTCGCGTGAAACCATTGCGGCGGTGGCGCTAATGACACCCCGATGCGTAGCGAACAGTCAACGAGAAAATCTGCAGTTCCTAGGGTAACTTCTTTCGATCCGGCCGGGCGGCGAACAAAAAAAAAAAAAAAAAAAAAAAAAAAACTCCTGAACTTGGTCCAACTGAGCTCGAGCGGCGAGATGAACCGTGTATTGCAGGTGCCAGGAACAGACAGAAATTGGGGACGAATCAACATGCAGGTATTTTCAGTAGGGGGGTGTAATAATAATAATAATAATAATAATAATAATAATAATACCAGATATTTTGAGGTGCGGGAAGAGCATATACTAAATGAAGCTCCTTCAGAATAATAATCCCTTTGGGGGGCGAACAGATCAACAGAATCAGCGGCAGCCAAAAAAAGAGAGTTGGCGGGTTCAGCAGCATCTTGGTCTTACCCACCCTCCCCCCCCCTCCCCCCCCCCCCCAAAAAAAAAAAAATAAAAAAGAACACCCCCCATCTCCAACTAATTACAGTAATTATGCTCCTGATGTCACCACATTTCCTAGACCGCGAGCTACCCCTGGCAGACTCGTATTCTAAAGGGTTGAATCGGGATGCCCGTATTAGTAATCTGCGTGGAGGGGTGATTAGAGTTAAATATGGTTTAACAAGTGGACCCAACTCTAAAAAGCACGTTCAGATGTAACCTTGGCGGGAGTTAAATATACACACACCTTAAATTGCCTAACTGGTTTGAGTTATAGCGCCGTAGTTTCGGCCACGCCCGCATTGCCACTCGACTGATTCCGCCGCCGCCTGCGTTCGATATCTGAGCTGCAAGGAATCTTATACCCTTCGTGCAATTGGGAACTTGACCTTCGGCTGATGGCATATAGCTTGTTCAAGCTACCTCGCTTCAGCGAACCAAGTTAGCAACCCAGAAAGCAATCGGGTCTGTAGTGACCTCATATTTCCATCCATATCATGTCAATATATTTTCACCGCCGCCTGGGATGGGTGAAATTAGTCCTTGGTAAATCGTTTTTAATTTTAGCTATCTTTTAACTGTTGATTGCGGTGGGGCCTTACTCTGATTATCCATCATTGACCAACGTAGGTCAGGGTACGGTTGAGATGCTGCTCTCTCTCTCTCTCTCTCTCTCTCTGATAGTTGATAACTTATTGCACTCGTTCCTGTAGCGTTCCGATCGCATTGCCGGCGGGTTCCGGGGTTCCGGGGTTCTTGGAGTTCTGTGGTTCTGTTGTTACTCCCGAAAGACCAAATAAAACCAACTTGCAAAAGGTTCCTTACTCACAGCCATTAACCCCAACCCTTCCTCTTAGGTAGTCTGCGTGAGATATCACTGGTGCCTTGGGCCCGTATCAGAGATCTATGCTCGACTGCCGCAGCTGGCCAGCCCACGGTCTCCAACCCCGAGCGGGGAGCAGTTAAACACCGTCATTCATTCATTCATTCATTCATTCATTCCTCATGATATTCCAAGGCTCAGCTGTTGAACGGGGTGGCCAAATAGAAGGATTGAAGGCATGGATCCGCTACACCATTGCGGAGTTCCGCTCCCTTCTGAGTTGAGGCTTTCCGGTATGGAATCTTACAGGCGACGCGTTCGTGTTTGAAATGAGAAGTACCTTGATCGACCTGCGGATGAGGACATACGGGGATTCCCAAGTTGATAGTTTTGAGACCCTTAGGGTGATCTTGAGAGGTGGGGCTGGGGGGTGCTTCCAACGTAATTTCTCATATGTAAACACTCATTGGTCTTCATGAGCGTGTCCCGCGACAAGTTATGCCACTGCTGACTACTTTCCTCACTTAGGATGTGATAGACACGGTTTCTTCATTCATTCCCAAATGAGCTGGACAGGGCGTCTTGTTACGCTAACCCATATGGAATGACTGCACCATTGTGAAATCATTTGTATATAATCGTTTGACTCAAAAGCCTAAGAGATTTGGAAGGGCTCAAAGGATTCGAATGCTGACTGGTTGAGTAACTGGCTGCCGGACGTTGCTACTCTCAAAGTAGTGATCCACAGAAATATGCGGAAGAGGCGTCCCATTAGATAGCGAGGTTTATTTATCCCATCGTCTGCCATGATGGGAGATGGGGAAGAGAGATCATGAGCCGGCACCTAGAGATTTTATGTATAGAGAAGACTTGAATCCAGGGGAGCGATGGTTCTTTCCGGACTGCGAAGACTGCGCCATTGTCTTCCAAGTCGGATCCGTTAAGCCACTTTGAATATAGCGGGGCTCTTTGGGGGGGGTTTAAAGCTATCAATTGCCTCAGGCAATAACATGGACAAGGACATCTTCCGCAGGGTCAGAAAGCTGTCAGCACAGTGAGATACGCATAATCAGTCAACCCTGCTCTCTTCCCCCCACTCCTCCTCCTCTGCATGAATTAAAAGGCTGTACGTTGGTAACACATCGGGGGCAAAGCAAATCCGCCAGATCTCAATAATGCATGTTTCAATGCTCGCTTACTTCGTTGGAGGCCTGTCAAACAAAACTCGAATCCCCAAGAGTTCAGTCTGAAAATGGCAGGCTGATCTCTCTTTAGCATGCAGGATAGATGTTCTCGACTTCTTGCGATGCCCAAAACTCGACTTTTTTTTTTTTTTTTTTTTTTTTTTAAAAAAAAAGTCAGGCGATATTTTTAGCAATCAACATCCCGTTATGAAGAGCGAACGATATCGATCCATGACAATGCTCCTGTTGGGCACGATACCTTCATCAATACGCAATGCCAAGTGACCTTGAGAGATGCGGAACATACCACCACAGATGCCAGAACTTAGGGAAATTTAGGTATTGCGCCTAGCTACCATCGCAAGATGCAGCGTAACCTTGCCTTCTCCATAACTATACGCTCCTGATACCGTCATTCCAATGTTCGTCAGTCCCAGCAGTGATGGATGACGGCCAGGTACGGGTCAAAAGGCCCCAAACATATCAAAACAGGGGATAGCTTCCGGGCTCAAATACACAATGGGCACATATCACCATTTTAACTGGCAACCCGCTGTCGTTCATTGGGTGAGGGACACGCTTCGTTGAATGTCGGACGTTGATTTTAGGATTTAGGTCTGGATGAGAGTTTCGGAATGGAACCATGGTACGGTCCGGGGTAAGACCCGCTCTGCCCGGGCTTCATTTCAGGCCCTTGAGCAAACTCATTCTGCCAAGCGCAAACACATGATAAAATGAAAATGAAATGAACAGGTTATTAAAAAGTGGGTCGAGGTATAGTTATAAATATGCCGCATCCCTTATCTTCCATTCTTATCTCGTCTGTTGGTGATAATTTTATTTGCCTCTTTGAATCTGACGATGAACGAGCGAGAAGCGTATATGATATTCCAGGAGAAACGAGCCTTCACAGACATATCTAATCTCCCCTAAACAGGCCATTAATTAATATGGCTTTAGCCTTCTGGTTATGGAGTAGTTATTTGCCTAGTTACTGGTTACGGAATGCTCTATCTGACCAAGACAAGAGCGGAAATTCAACGATAGCGAGCGCGAGTCCCCTGGTGCCCGCGTTGGACCACCATGCGGAAAAAGTTCCACCAAAAGGATATAAAATTTCTAACTCACAAGCTTCAACACGTAACAGGTGTCCCGCAACCCGTGGAACGTGTCGATGCAGTCCAATCCAGCACGGTTAGCCCATTCCAAAAATTCTGGCTCCTCCCACACACGTAGTGAGAACACGATTCTGTCCTTCTGAATCACCTCTTCCTCGCCGGTCGCCAGTTTCCGGATGGCGTGGAAGGTATGGTAGTCTGTCTTTACACATCCTTCCATTTTGGAGTCGTCGATGGGATACTTTCTGTAGATAATATCTGGGAACGCCTTACTGGGGAAGCCTTCAGCCTCCTGCAGCTTCACCCACGTCCTTTCGACCACAGGCTCCTTGGTAATTGACCGCTTCGCAATCAGATCGTTGACAATGGGGAGATATGCCCGGCCGGAGCCAGGACGAAGAAGCGCAGCTACCTGGGCAAAAAATCGTTGCGGCTCGTCAGCGCCGATGAGGTGACTAATGCTCCCCGCTGCAAAGAAAAGGAGGTCGATCCCTCCGGCATATCCCTTCAGTGTTGTCGCTGATGCCACATCGGCCGCCTCCGCTAAAACCCATTCCACTTTGCCGACTCGGGCCATACTTGACAGCGTCGCCTGTGCCTTCTCTGCACGGCCGAGCATGGCAGGTTCGTTGTCCACGCCGATAAAATATACGTTTGAGAGATCGAGGCTGTCTCTCTCGCCATCATTGGCCAGATTGATCAGGACACGGCCTGTCCCGGTGCCGATGTCGAGGATAGAAAACGGGACATCAAGGGAGGGGGGAGGAGATCGCGTGGAGAGAGCGTTCTTGAGGATAGACGTGTAGATTGGTGTGCCATCCTTGGTATCCAAGTTTTTGGTATTCTTCTCGGCCCATAGATCATAGTATTCTGCAAGATATGCGGAATCGTAAAAGGTGCTCTTGCGCCCCTCAGAGTCGCTGGTTGCCATTCTCGCAGGAAGGGAATCAAGGTTGGGAGAGAATTTTGACGCACAGAAACAGGTAATTTGTCTCTTTATTGTATGCTGAAAATCTTTTTTTTTAAAAAAAAAAGACGCTGTCCCATCAGCAATGAGGCTCTTTAACTCCTGAAGACATGTTATGTTTGTCTATGCGGTCAATATTTGGAGGGGGTGTTTTTTTATTTTATTGTATTTTAATTAATTAGTTCATCTATAAGAAAACATCGGTCTACATATCATCCTGGCCAACTTGCCAAACCGCTCAATTTTGAAGTTAAGAGGGGAAGTTTCTCCCACATGCAGTGTGACTTAACATGGAGACTTGGATGTCACGCATAATAATCCCTTAATTAGTTCTTGCAGAAGAAACTTACACTCCCGTGTGCCGACCCAATGACGAGTGCATTGTATTCGGGCATGCATGAATACGAAGGCGCTTTTTTAGTGATGTAGTTACACTCCACCTACGATTCAAAAAAAGACGAGCGCGTGGAAAAGAAAAAGAGTAAAGACAATATTGTATTTAGCCAATTTATCAAATCATCTAGATTGCAGTAAGCGCGAAAGGACCTTGTACCAGTTCAAAATTATTTGAGTTTTCAGTATGGTTATGACAATTACACATTAAAATATTAAACTTAGTAATGAAATAAATAAACCAGACCCACGGATGAAATAAGAATGAGAGAGAGAGCAAGGATATATTATACAACGAATGGGCTTGCATTGAGAATGGCGAAGCATGAGCGGCTACAATCCGCCTCATGGCTGCGAAATTTTGAAGCGCTCATTGCACAAATACTGGGCATTACTTTTTGTGTCCCAGACGCGGCAATCTGACGGGTATGACTAAAACGAGAACTAAGATTGCCCAAAGTAAACTTGATAAAAAGGTTATTCGAAGGGCCATTTCATATGCGCTGGTGACTATAATGTCGTCATCAGTTAGTTATTTACTCCGAGAATTTTAAGGAACAACAGAAGCTCTCACCCTGGCCCTTGTGAATCGCGTCCAATTTAGCAATCTCCGCGATAGACCTCCGGACACGGAGAATTATATCTGCCTTATCGGGACCGGTAACTGCTTGGCGAAGAAAAGTGCTCAGAGAGTTTTGTAGGACTAAGCTACTGATTGCCACGCCCATAACCCATCCGAGCGAACGGAGTAGAGAAAGGGTGGTTGTGATGACGGCCTGGGCCTCTTGGGCGTTGGTTGACAGGACACCCATCATTGTTGGCGGATATAAAGCTCCCTGGCTAAATGCCGCCATTGAAATCAAGGTCACAGACACCCAATCTGGGACCCTGCTACTTATCATCCCGGAGAAAGCACAACTGCAAATTAGCCAAAATACTCCTCCAAGCAGTATTGGTTTCAGCTGCTTGGTTTTTGTCATGATGACGCCGGTTAGAAGGCTAGCAACCATCAGACCAGCGGAGGCTGGAAGAAGACGTAGGCCGGAATTGGTTGGTGATTCCAGCTTCACCGCCTGAAAGAAAAGAGGTGCGTTGAACAATATTGTGTTGATGGAGATACCAACAAGAAAGTTCCCCAATATCAAATTTGCATGCGGCGAATTTGTTAAAAGTGATAATGGGATTGCCGGCTTGGATGTCGATTGTTCGGCTTTTATGAAGGGAACCGAAATGAGACAGAATATGGCCAAGGAGGAGATTACAATTGGATGTCTCCAAGGAAAGACATTGCCGCCTAGATTCATTCCCATCATCAAAGCAGTAACTCCAATAACCAAAAAAACAGAGCCAGCAACGTCTATGGTCCTAAGCGCTTCTCTCATGCTGATGTTTCGCTCGCGTGCTAGCTGAGGCCCCAGGTTCGATGGCAGCGTCAAATACACTGCAATAAAAAGTGCACAGAGCATTGGCAATTGTATTCCAAAGACAGCTCTCCAGCCAAGGGAGTCAACTATCACCCCTCCAAAAGCCAATCCGAGGCAATTCCCAAGGCCATAAGCAAGGCTGATGTATGATTGGTATATCCCTCTATGTTCAATGTGGATCAAGTCTGAACAGATAATCGCGCCTAACGAAGTGACCCCGCTTGCACCAACACCGCAGAGGAGACGGGCCGCAAGGAAGCTGCTGAAGTTCCATGACACTCCACACCAGACCGTGGATAGAAAAAATATCGAGATGGAAACGAGGTAAGGTATGCGCCTGCCAAATATATCGGATATCTGACCAAAGATCGGTTGGAAAACTGTGCAGGTCAAAAGGAATCCGGTAGATAGCCAAGAAGCTGAGTTGGCGACATGGAAATGCGACGAGATTACGGGGTGAATGGATTCTAAGATAGAGCCGTCGAAAAAGGACAGGATGATGGAGAGAAGGATGCTTCCAAATACCACCCAGAATTTCGAAGGAGTAATGCCGATGAAATGAGTGTCATGTTCGCTGCGGTCGTCACGGACGCCTGCTCCGGTGGCCTTTTTGAGTTCACCATCGGCTGTGTATGGTAGCCGCCCATCCAATGATGATGACGATGAAGGCGAGGTTTGCCTGTGGTTGCTATGTGTCATCAATGGAGTGGTTTCATCGTTGTTGTTCTCGCCGAGGACGGAGACTCCCATCATTGTATCGAGAAGGTTGGATTAGGTCATCAACTGGGGATTGTATTGGCTCTCGTGTGTATTTCATGGACTCCATCTGATTATTTACCCAGGGGGAACTAGGAGAAGAGAGAGCAAAGGCAATATAGAAATGTTGATGGAAAAAAAAAACAGCAACACCTATCCATCATGTTCGCCGTTCGGGGTGGACACCCTCAGCTGCACCTCCGCGGCCTGGCAAGATTTGCACAAGAATATCCAAATGTGGGCGCTGAAGCGCTGTGATCGGAGAGGTCTCCGTCATTGAATTACTACAGCGAAGCTGTTGACGGTTAGTTGGTTCGGCGGACCTGTCCATTGCGGATCGACTGGCTAGCAAATGGGTGCTCAAAATTGGGAGTTCGTTGGGAGCGGGGCGGTCGTGGCAAGCATTGATACGTTCGGTGGCAGGACAGCATTTTCGAATTTCTTGCTAATTTATTCTCGAAAATAGCTTGTGCCTAGTTATTAAAACTAGCGTCCGCTGAATGGCTATTTGAAGCTCAACTTTGTCGACAAACCTGATGATCCGACACCGGGAAGGTCATCGGTTGTTTCATCACTATTCAAAATACTCGCGGAACATCACCATGCCCAGCTGGCAAGGTTCATTAAATTGCATGGTTAAACGTTTAAGATTGCAGTTGATGAATTTAGGTTTACTGAGGTTAAAGCCAACCTTGGAATTCAGTTCTTGAAACTGCCGAAGAAAATTGAGAGAAAATAAATATTAATGACACCCTCGGGAGTCTTCCAGACAATCTTTACACCGTTACGCAACCTTTGTCAAACATCTTTTCAAGTAATTATTGATCCTTTCGGTGTTGTCCAACGTTGCGATCGTTCCGACGTATCCGTCGGGTCGGACCACAGCAATGGCACCTGATTTGATGTCCACGCCATACACGGCATATCCCTCTGGATCGAGATAATGAAGCCGCATTTCAGCTTCCTGCTTGACAAACGGCGGGATATTCGTCCACTCGACCGAAAGAGAACCAAATGGGGTAAAAACCACCAGCTCTACTGTCTTTGGGGTGAACGAGGGCAGTATATTCTGGCAGATGCGTTGGAGGGCAGACGCGGAGACCCCCTCTGGGTTTCCGGGAAGATCATCGGAACAAAGGACAAGCACACGAAAGCGCCCGTCAGAGGGAAACTCGTCTTGTGAATGTCTGATATCCCCATCTGCAAACCTCGTAATGGTTACATCTGAAAGGCGGCGACCTTCTCTCAGGACCCCAGCTGAGTAGTCGCTGCTGTTGATCGTTCCGTCCAAGCTTCCAAGTTTCTTATCGACCAGAAATCCTTCGTCATACTCAATGGTACCCACCATGAACGCCAGCAGTTTATCCTCTATAAAATTTTCCGATTGGACACGGTCCTCAGCCTCTGTCTGATACCGGGTTTCATACCAAAGCCGGTCGTTGTCAATAAGATCCTCCGCATTCTTGAGGCGATCGCGGGCAAATGTGTCTAGAACTTTCTCTGGATTCGGAGTCAAACCGTTGATTGAGTACATTAGCTTCCAAGCCAGATCGTAGCTATCCATCAGGGCAACATTCATCCCTTGGCCTAGGGCTGGAGAGTGGGTATGGCACGCTACATCATGCCTGTTAGAATACCTTCATCCCACACCAATGGGGAGTGTTAAGCATTGAATTGAAATCGCTACGAACCGTCTCCAACAAGAAAAACGCAGGAATTCCCAGAATCATCTTTCTTAACAAGCTGTTCTGCGTACCTTCTCCCTACTTGGTATGCTGCCCACCACTCGATTTCTTGTTTTGGTCGGATATAATAGGGGTGAAACAACTCCTTTGTGCGATCTAAGATGAGCTCTGGCGTAATCTTGGCCCTGCGTGCACGCTGGTATTCCTCAGTATGGGGCGCAGCGCCGGAGGTGACAGTTTCAATGAGATCATCCTCATCAAATGGCACATATATCCGTGTGAGATACTCTCCGTCGTTTTTCCTTTCGCGGGGTATGATGGAGACAATGTTCTTCGAAGAAGCAAAGTGCACAGGCCTTCGAATGTCGGGAAAGTCAGTGTCAACCACGATATCAGCAACGCCCCAAATATCGTCAGCCATACTACCAATCTGATTTATGCCAATCGACGTTCTCACAATTGAATGCGCGCCGTCTGCTCCAATCAGGTACCGTGTCCTGATAGTCCGCTTTTCTCCATTCTGTTCAAGCGTTACTCTCACAGGAAAGTCATGCAGTTCGTCATTTTCGATCTTGGCGTCCAGAACTCTACTGTTCCAGGTAATACCAGTTGCGGAATACTTCTTGAGGTCATCACGCAGTATTCGTTCAATCCTCCCCTGTGCCATCATAACTATGGCGGGTTTGTATCGCGCCTTAATCCTAGTTGTGTACTGCGAAAACTGTCGAATAAAGCCTGTCGGAGAATTAGGATCCTTGATCCATCTGGTGAACTCATAGCCGCGTAGGCCGTGATTCCAGATCTCGTCGGCCAAATCTAGGCTTTTCAGAACCTCCATTGTACGTTGCACAACTGCATCAGCGTGGCCAATTTTGAATGCCGACGGGCTCGAGTCAATACAGAGGCGAGAGGAATCAGGCAATCCATAGCGAGCAAGCAGAAGGTTTAACATCAGACCCGCAGGCCCAGCCTGGAAGAAGCGATGGTCAGTGAGCTGCCTTTCGTATGCCTACATGCCGACAGATATACTACATACACCAACAATTACCACTTCATATACCTCAGCATTATCCTTTGTCGGAGAGGGCAAAGGAGTCAGTCGAGGGAGCGGTTGAGCAAGTGATGGGCTGACTGTGTGTCTCCGCTCTAATGTGTGATCTTCTGTGAAAACTTGCATTTTTGGTTCGGGAAATTGTTTTCTCAAGAAGAAATTAAGCTACAGCTATAAATAAAGAATGGTTGGACATAAGCATATCGATCGTAATATATGTTTAAACGAAAGTGTCCATTGAAGCGGGGAAACCATAGGCAAATAATGTACTTCGAGAGAACGTCTCTACGATCCGGTAAGAAAATAATTTTGGTTATCTGACAACCGCTTCAAATCATATAACAAAATTAGACTCTCTCTAATAATTAGATTGAAGAAAGTAAGATTTGGTTTTTCTTGGAGTTTCGTGAAGAGCGTGTGAACCCTTGCCGATCAGGTCCTCTAACAAGATGATAGGAATACTCTGTACACGTATGCCCCTTCTGAAAGATCCCCTTCGAGGGTCTCTTTCGCATATGGGTTCGGGCAAGTTTGAAGTGACACTGCATCGTAACAGCGGATTTTGTGTGACCTTCAAATGTGAAAAATTACCGGCAGTCCTGCATGTCTTCGAAAATGAATATTCTGCCACCTCATGCTCGCCAATTGGTGGACCCGTATCTCATCCGAAGCCAATGATCGTGTCAAAAGGGCGCTGCTTCTGGATGCTCCACCTGGCAATAAGGTTGTGCTTTTCGATTCGCTCCTCCACCCTTACGGTGACAAGATCCTGGTGTGTATGGATGGATATACGGTATCTTTCCAAATTTCCAAGCTGGAGATACGGCGTCCAGAGCCCATTATTGGAGCTACCATTTTGTCGCCCCAGCTTAGTTACCAGCTACGGCAATGGATGCCTGGACTATCTCAAGGCCCTAAATGTTGGGCTGCCGATCCCGCCCGCCACGGTTTTGACAAGGGAACTTCTGGATGTGACAGTTTCAAGTGGGGTCAGCTGAACGTGGAGCTTGGATTTTTTTTTTATTAAAAAAAAAGAAAGAAAGAAAGAAAGAAAAAGAAAAAGAGAGAAAAAGAATTATTGGAGATGTATTTTTTTTGGGAACCACTGTATGAAAACGTATTTATGTACAGTACAGTACATTCAGGCAACCCATCGCCATGCCGCAGCTGAAATTGCAATGGCTGGTATAACATATTTTCCAATCGATTTTACCGTTGCATTCACGGTATTCCAGAATTCTGCCTCCACGTTTGCATTGAACATATCGGCGGAGTTTGTCTTGGGAAACGAACCATCCGGGACACGGACATCCAGAAATTCACACAGGGGCTTCCATCCGTCATCGAAATTGTACTCGAGGAGCTGGTCTTGGGGAATTGCCTTCCTAACCTTCTCGTAATGATCGATATAGGCTTGTCGGCATTTATCTCCATAGTCGTTATTGCAAAGTACCTTGAACGATGTTTCCATCATAATCACGATCGGGCGGGTCATCTGAAAGTCGAGCAATTTCAAAGCTTGCGTATGCCAGCGCTGAATCCACGGAAATATCGTTTTGTGCATGGACGTCATCCAGGAGTCGACACTACGGTTCGTGAGGATGATTTTTGCGTCCGGGTATGCTTGATGAAGGTCGTTCCAGAAGAGACAGCAGGGCATATCTAGACAAGCATCGTATTCACCCAGAAGGCGGTCGAATTCTTCGCGGCCATATGGATGGCCTTTGTTGAAGAAATTGCAATTCATAGCCTCGGTCCAGAGCGTGAAATATCGCTTTGGGTCATCCATTTGCTCTGTCAAATGGCATGTTTTAAACCCCAACTCGCGAAGAGCCATGTTCATCGCTATGGAAAGATAATCAGTAAATATCTGAGTGAATTTATGCAGCGAGAGTTGTGCTTGGGAATTGAGAATAAAGATTTGGGACGACCGAAGAATCTGGGCTCAGCGTCAAGACCTACACATCGTTCCTGTTCTACATAGTCCCGCAACAATAACCTTCATAGGCCGCTGCCTCTTGCTTTGCTCCTTGTCAATAAGCCTCGACATGCTTGCCGCCAAATCCCTTCAGCAGAAAACAAATTGGAAGATATGTTTTTCATGAGAATTGTGAGGCAAGACAGAAGTACGTATGTATGTACGTACGTCCATGCACACATCACAAGATATACCCTTCACGAACTGAGCATTCCAAATCTGCTCTGAAGACCTATAATAAACTCAGTTCGCTAAGAACATGTTGATTACCCATGTTTGTGGCACAGCGAGATCTTAAATTTGAGAGAGGGGTAATTACACCGCTTTCCTAGTAAATTATATGCATAGTCTCCAGATAGCGGATCAGAATTGGACATGGAGTATCCAACAGGCAAAAGTACACAGCTTTTTTATCAACATATCCTCATGCATACCGTGGATATGGGGAGCAGATCTATAGTTTTTTAAACGTCGTTATCACTGCTGAGGAATTTACGGAGATCCACTAGTTACTAGCTCGAACAGTAGTAGTATTTCGTACTTACGAGACCTGAGGGGAAAAGTTAACCGTATATAATTGCGTATATGTGTTACACCTATAATGTTCAGGTTCAACACATTTGAGAGAAAAAAAAAACAATGTGCAGCAAAAGAGGTGGACATATCTTGAGAGAGAGAGAGAGAGAGAGAGAACATGGATTTGCTGATGTTTTGTATTAAAAGACTGTGTATACTTCCTGTCTGACCGTCTTCTGAACAGCCATTTTAGTGGTGTAATCATGAGTTCCTCAAAATTGGGACTTTGGTAATATTCCCTGTCTATTGACACAGCTTGCTACAGTACATATCAGCCAAATCATGCAGATTTTAGTTCGTCACTATATGTCCAATTATTTGAAAATGAACTGCATAGCAGTACAGCAGAAGCAACTCTGTGTGATATTCAGAGAAAAGCTATCTAGCATCTAGGTAACTACCAAAAGTTTGTGAGAAAAGCCGCGTTAGCAATTATTATTAATCTTGACCAGGATTGTACAAAATATAGGCTTGGGCCCAGGATTGATAATTCAAGCTTTGAGGTGAAGCATCGTCATCCGATCCATGAATCGAAGCATTCAATTCAGGATCCAGAAGCCTCTTGCAAAAGCGCGGAGAATATTTCAACCTGACGTGGATAGCAGACTTGGCTGCAGATGAACACCTCTCACCAAGCGGCTAGGCACGAACCATCCATCTCCGCTGCAGAACTGGGCGATGGAGATCAAACCCCAACGAGGCGCCAAATCAAAAATAGCCCAATGTTCCCAGCAGCCTTCTCCACACTGTCATGGCCTTCGAATGATCGATCGCAGCTTCGCAAGCCACCTGCCCTAAGCCATGCATACATATATATGTACGGGATTCCGCCGCATCATCCCAAGCAACCTGCAGAGAAAGGTGTTGGGAGATTTGATTGGTTAAGGGGCGAACAGGAAGATGCAGAAAACCAGGCACTTGAAACCTTATGGTATTTCAATTCCAGTTGCTAGCTAATCCAGGGACAGAGCTTGAACATGGCGCTTTCTCGAACAGATCTTGCAGTGTTATCTATCATCATGCAGGTTTCTGTTTCCGCCTACATCATGCAGAAGCTCCTTCGGTGACACAAAATCGCCGCTTAAACCATTCTCCAACGCTGATTAACTGGAGAGCCGAGCCCGCTTGACCCCTGGCGCGAGCTCCAGTCATTTTCAGCTGCGTCGCTGTGTCGGACTCGGTGGGCTTCTCGCCAAAATATCGTCCACCAGTGATTTGCGTGAACCCAAACATCAGCTTCACATCTTCAAGTTCGTGAATCCCATGCGTATCAAAGGCTTCCCAGGACGGCATGAGCGGGTCGAAGCGAGATGGCTTTCCGGTCACTACAATACTTTGTCATTACCAGTGCCTCTATGTTTTCAAATCTTGTCCCCCTTGCATGTGCAGGTGGCGTATCGGAACAGCAAAACAGGATTTCTTGTCATACCTTCCTGGAACCAGCTAACCAACTGGCCGAAGCTGAGGATATCGCTCACCCCTTGTACTACACAGCCATTCCATTTCTCGGGCTCTAAAAATAGGCCGTGGATGATATCACCGTAATCGTCAGTCATGCTGAGCCAAGGTACATCCTCCTTCCCTCCCCACATTGGAACTTTGAACGTGAGGTATCCCTCCGGGTCCGGAAAGTGGGGAAAACCGCCAAAAATTGGGGCAACTTCTTGTGACAGGAAGTTTTCCAAGTACCACCCCGCGCAGATAAATGCGGCGGTGGAAAACTTCCCACTCGAGCGAATATAGTTTTCAATCTTGTGTTTCACTGGTTTCGTGGTCAAGGTAGCAATTAGTGACCGGCTGAAAAACCGCAATCGGCGGCTGGCTTACTGTCCATGGCCTTCATTCGGACCTTGCCGCCAGTCATCTCTGCACAGGGAGGACCAGAGCTGAAGACAATGTGTGCAACACCGGCCTCGATGGCACTGTCGATGATAATCTTGCCCAGGTCAAACTCTGTCGGGCCATTCGGATCGGTAAATACCTGGTCAACCCTTGAGCTTTCGGCGACATGAAGACCCGCAAAATGTAAAATTAAGCGGTAAAGATCTGGGGTTTACCTTGTCATCAGAATTGAGATTCACGAATGCTCCCCAGGCACCTTTAAATGCCTCAATCATCTCCGATCCTTTAAAGCCATCAGCCTTGACAACCTCAGCACCAAGGACAGCCAATGTTTTGCTTTTTTCTGAGTCAGGATTGCGAGTGATGGCGCGAACTTGGAAATTGTTCTTGTTTTCCAGGAGAGATTTAGCAACAGAGCCACCCTGATTGCCCGTGGCACCGAAAACAGCTACAATTCGGGAAGAAGCCATCTTTATAGATCGATGTAGAATGAAAGCTTCGAAATCTTGCAGAACGTTCGAAAAAGTGAAGCTTGCAACAAGAAATGTCTTCTTTATCAATCGCACTTCCTCATATCCCCACTGGCGTGGAGGGGCAGGCTGGAACACGATTCTACACCGTGTGACCCGAATTTGTGATATGCCGTGACAACACATGTGCGTGCACAGAGTACATATCTCAAAATTTGGATCAATAAACAGGGTTTGATAGTTAGGCTACGATGATCAGCCGCAGCCACATTCTAATTCCAAAGGGGTAAAAAGGGCCTTGCAAAAATGCAACGTGGTTGGCGAACGACGAAAAATACGGTACAATCTGTCTGTCCGAAAAGATCCCCCCAGTCCGTAAATATAAGGTTGTTCGTAGGCAAAAGCAGTAGATCTGGATGACGAGATTCTTCAAACATATTGCGATATCATTATCCCCAGCCCTAGTTATCTCTCAACGCATATAATAATGAGTACCGAGTACAACCATCTTGTTCAACGCGATGATGGTTTAGGTCGGCTTTTTGATGGCCAAGCACGCCTTACCCCTGACGCACCAGCAGTTGTAGACGGTGATTGCATTACGACTTATGAACAAATTCGTTTGAGGAGCATCCACCTAGCATCTGAACTCCGCAGAAATGAAATTGCTCTGGAAGAGCCAATCGGTATTCTTGTCAACCCAAGTGTCTACGACGTCGTCACTCAGATCGCGGTGATATACGCTGGTGGCAGTTGCGTTCCCCTTGACCCAAATCTTAGCAATGAACAGCTGGAGTCCAGACTGAAGAAGTTGAACGCGCGATTTCTTATTGTTGATTCCTCAAACGAAAACCGCCTCTCTGCTTTCCGCCAATTTGTCGCTGGTGAAAATGAAGATTTGGGTGGAGTACAGTCTGGAGAATCCCATAATCTCCCTGTTTCAACAACCTTGGAGCACCGGACCCATCTGATACATACTTCTGGAACCACTAGTGAGCCCAAAGCAGTCCAAATCCTTGCTCGATCAGTTCTAGAAGTTGTATATCATTTTCCATTTGCACCTCTTGATATGGAAGATGCTGTGGCACATGTCAACAACACAAGTTTCGACGTCTCTCTTGTTGATATCTGGGCCCCTCTGCTCCGAGGTGCTCGCGTTGTTCTTGTTTCCAAGAACATCCTCCTCGACCCCGTTGCATTGGCCGACACGGTGAAGAAATTTCATGTTACAGTTGTGGCGACAACATCCGCTGTTCTAAATCTCGCAGCTGTTGTCTATCCATCAGCATTTTCCAGTCTTAAAACATGTATGATCGGAGGTGAGGTTGCACAGCCCTCTGCAGTCAAAACTATACTCGAAAAGGGACCACCGGGCCAGTTAATAAATGCATATGGCCCTACTGAATGTTGTGCATTCGCTCTTGCTCACAGCGTAACCCTTGATGACCTCAATGCGGAATCAATAAGCATTGGGAAACCAATTGGCGCCACATCAGCATTCATCCTCGATGAATCGCTGAACCCGGTGAAAAATGGTGAAGTCGGAGAATTATACATTGGCGGACCTGGCGTTAGCCGTGGCTATGTGAACAATCCTCAGAAAAACTCGGAGTCGTTTCTCGAAATTGGCGAGTTGCTGACCTCAGGCGTGGCGAACCGGGTCTATCGCACTGGAGACTTTGTCAAGCGTGAGGAATCTGGGAAGATATTCTTTGTTGGCCGACGAGACAATCAAGTTAAAATTCGCGGATTCCGCATTGAACTGGAAGCTGTCGAAACCGCATTGCTCAAAACCGGTCGCTTCACCGATGCGGCAGCATTCAAAGTTGATACATCCGGCCATGGAACGGGAGGAGCGCTGGTAGCATACGCTGTTCCAAATCTGCATTCGACAGATACTCTCGTCGGGGTCACTGATAGGCTAAAGGTTATGTTGCCAGATTACATGATACCGCGTATTGAATTGATCGACAGCCTTCCCCTGAACTCTCATGACAAAGTCGATCGAAAAAAACTGGTCAGCTCGTACCTTGAGAGAGCCAAATCTGGGCTTCATTTAAAACACGAGAAGTCGATGACAACAGTTGGCCGCTTGCAGCAACTCTGGTGTCATACTTTAGGCCTGGGAATAACAAATTTTGAGGAGCACGATGACTTTTTCCTCTTGGGCGGCACGTCTTTGCAAGCCGCGGTTTTAATTCACAAAATTCGCCAGGAGTTCGAAATCGATATCTCCACTTTAACCCTGTACGACAACTCCACGTTGATCGGGCTAGCCGCAGTAATCGATAGTTTCAGGAGAGGGACTTTCACTGAAAAGGACGAGAGGCAACTCTGGCTAGCGGATGCTAAGCTGGGGGAAACCATCAGGATCCCAAACAAATCACCTCGAAACTGGCGTTGCGATACGGAAGGACGTGTGTTTTTGACAGGTGCTACTGGTTTTGTCGGGGCTTTCTTGCTTGTACAGTTGCTTGAAATGCCAGATGTCCATCAGGTTGGATGCCTGGTGCGTGCTCCCAATGTTGACTTGGGTTTCGCGCGTCTTCGTCATATCCTCGAAAAATACAAGCTTTGGAATGATTCTCTGAAAGCAAAATTGCTTATTCTTCCCGGGAATCTCGAGGACGACAATTTAGGGTTTAGCGAGGAACGGTTTGGGGAAATTGCGGAATGGGCGAGCGTTGTGTTCCACCTTGGGGCGCGGGTGAACTATGTTCAACCTTATTCTGTTCACCGAGCAGCCAATGTCATAGGAACCGTCAATATACTGCGTCTGGTGAGTGTTGGAAGGCCCAAGACTCTTCACTATGTGTCGAGCATTTCCTGTTTCGGCCCAACAGGTATGATAAACGGCGTCTCACATGTTTCTGAAGACGGCCCTATGCTACCACACCTGGACGCATTGCTCTACGATCACGGATATGCCCAGAGCCAATGGGTGATCGAGTACATGCTCCAGGATCTCATCAAACGAGGATTTCCTGTGGCTATTTATCGACCGGGATCGGTCACTGGTCACACCGTGAGCGGTGTAGGCAACCCCGATGATTTCCTCTGCCGTCTGATCAACACCTGCTTTGACGTCGAATCTTACCCATTGCTTCCCGGTCAGCGAAAGGATGTGGTTCCCGTGGATTACGTATGCTCTGCTATTTTACACATCTCGTCATCCAACGGGAACCTTGGCAGAGCATACCACATCGTCCCGCATTCTTCGAAATACGTCTCTGTAAACGACACCTTCGAGCTCATTGCACAGTGTGCCAATCAAAAAATGGAAGCATTGCCTTACTCGGAATGGGTAAAGAAGCTTGCATCCAAGCCCACCAGCCGTCTGAAACCACTCCAGCCAATGTTGGAGCAAAAGTACTATAAAGGGCTGACTCGTTGGGAGATGTATGAAAACATGCCGATCTACTTGACCGAAAACACTGATCGTGCTCTGCAGGACTACCCAAATGGGCTGCTCTGTCCGCCCTTGGATGAACAATTAGTCCGTCTGTATCTTGCACAGTGGGAAGCTGATCAGACTCAAGCCACCCGGGGCAAAACCCGGCGACTGATGACCAGCGATGATGGGATCCCAGTCACAGAAAGGAGGGTAAAACAAATCCGGGCATGTTCAGGCCATTGATATTCTTTCATTATTTTCTTTTCTTTTCTTTTCTTTTCTTTTCTTTTCTTTTCTTTTCGTTTCGTTTTTTACTTTTAAATTTATTTATTTATATTTGTATGTATTCGGTTTTTGGCGTTAATATTGTTTCGGAATATCAGGTGTAAAGAATTCAGCGATTGCTCCTCAAATGATATTAGACTGGAAGACGGAGATCCCGTGCCCTACTAACCTCTTATAGTTAGTTCCTCCCTGCTTAGTCACCCCCTAGCTGCGTCGAACAGGGGGGTAACAAACTAAATGAAGCAGTTAACTCAATAATTGAGTTCGAACCACCTGAACTATACAACAGCTAGAGATCTTTGATATATTGAATAATTTAACATTCGATTGACGAGTTTGCTGTTGATGGGCAGCACACTGACCATGATGTTCAGACTTGATATTCCACCTAATAGTTAGCCAACTGTCTCAGCGCTGCACCCAAAGTCTGAATATTTCCCTCCTATCTCATGGATGTGCTTCAGCCGTAGTGGGACAACTAACTAATCTTCCTCCGTGAATAAGCACTAATCAACGAAGATAAAATCCCCGAGTATTTTAGGGAAATGGCAAGTATGATTCAGGATCATCAGCTTGGTGCACTGCCCTCGAAAATATGTTTACGGCTATTTCCGTAGGATCACTCTCTTGTTTCAGCTACAGGATGGCGAGAACGGTATGGGTTCAGTCCCATCAACAATTGCTGAAAATTGCATGTACTTCGATGGGGAAAGCCTCCCTCGCAAATATAAATACGTGGCCAGTGATTGAAAATTCCTATATTGGAAAGGCAACGAAAAGAGAAAGCAGTTCTAAATTCCTGGAAAACGCCGGTGATACAGACAAAACCTACAAAACATGGTTAACCCTCAGTTCGCGATCCCTCCTGAATTCCAAGCAGATCTAAATTACGTTGAATCCCTTGATCCCCGTTCAGACGAGGAAATCATCTCTTCCATCGATACCTATACTCCAGTGACATCAGAAAAAAATATATGGGCTTTCTGGCACTCCAGTGTCAAATCCATGCCCGGGTGGTGCACCCGTAATGTCGTCAACTGGGCTCGCCTCTGTGGCCCCTCATGGACAATTCGAGTGCTTGACTCTGTCCCCGATTCACCTAATTACGCGTTGAAGTTTCTTCCCGCAAAGATGCTTCCAGAGACATTCGTTAAGGGGACGATGGATGGGCCTTACATTGGCCAACATAGTGCGGACTTCATGCGCGGAGCATGTTTGTACCTTTATGGAGGGGCATACATGGACGTTGGTATCTTGCTCGTTCGCTCTCTGGATCACCTCTGCTGGTCTATTCTGGAAGACGAGAGCTCACCCAGACAAATTGCCGTCCCGTGGATGTACGGTGTAGTAATAGCAAACCACTTTGTGGCTAGCCGCAAGGGCGATCCATTTATAAAAAGATGGCACGATCTATTTATTCACCTGTGGGAGGGCCGATCGAACCACTCCGGCATATGCAGCGATCCGCTCGTTGCATTCGGTCTCGATATGGACTTCTCCGAGTCACAGCGCCACGGATACAAATTTGAATTCAAAGTAGAGCCACTTACGGTGTTCGAATACATTGCTCAAGTTATTTCGTGGATGCGTCTGTGCATGCTTGAGGATGCAGGGGATGGGTTTAGCTGCGCTGATTACGCGGTGGATAATATTCTCTGGTTCGACTGCCTCCCGGAAGACTTCCCCGTTGAGACTGTGGTTGGGTTTCTGGGGCAATCGGCTTTCGATGCCCTTTCGACACCGTTAAATGCAGATCCCGAATCTCCAGGGTATAAGACTGCATACCAACTTGTGTGGCATGTGCTCACGAGTGGAAGCATGCAGAAGGTTTCTCATGCGAAAAACTTGTCATCAACACCTGCGCTTGGATATCTTTGGGATGACAACCGTGGCTCCGATTGTAAACCGGGAACGTTTGCGGAACTTCTCAGATACGGTAGTGTGCACTTTGAGCAGACAAGGAGGACTGTATCTATTGTACAGATCGAAAAGCCGAAAGATACCATGAAAAAGGGCGTGCTTGAGCCTTGAGCCACTGGATTTCTAATTGGATGCTTAGTTCTCATGAAGCGGTGGGAGTTTGAATTGAATACCCTATCAAGACCATGGTATATAGAGCAAGATTTCCAATTCTCATTATATAAAAAATTCGATCTTGAATTTTGTTTTCCAGTCTTGCACATGATCCATTCTCGAACCTCAGAAGTGTTTGATCAACTCTGAATCTGCTGGCGGAAATCAGCTATTGCATCCCATACTGCGAGAATTCCTCATCCATAGTGGGTGACAAATAACACCTGGATGCATTAGCAAAAATACTAACTGGTCCCAATACTTCTTCTTCTTCTTCTTCTTCTTCCCCTTGAGTGCATACAAGCTGGACGACTGCTCTAAAGCTCAGATGACCTTGCATCTTGTCAAGCACACTCTAAACCAACCTGACCTCAGAGAGTAAAAATTTTACATACTCGACTTCGGACTAAGTAACAACTACACATAAAATACACATAAATTGCATATGCAAATATACTTTTCTTTTATATGATTCCCAGGTTTACGTGCTAAAGTAGAGGTAGAAATGGATCGAGCGGCCCTCAGCAATATCAATAAGCCCCATTGAAGGATTTCCAAAGCTGGTAGCCGACTTATGACATCAGAAAAGAAAAGAAACGAAGAGATCCTCAGCCCGCTCATTGAATAACCCTCGGCCTCCACTTTATCTTACACCTTGACATTTTCCCATTGTCATGACCTTCATCATGTCACCATGAAACCTCAGCTCTATGACCCTCTGCTCTGGAAATACCCTGGAAACTTCCTCATGCCCCACCGCAACCGCAACTCAAGTCAAATCCATTGGCATCCCACCATTCTTATCCAGAACATCTAATTCAGCCCCGGATCATAGCAGCAATTGTATCAACTCAACCTGCATACGCCAGCAGGCTGCATGCAATGATGTCCCACCCACACGCCCCCCCCCCCCCCCCCCCCCCGGGGGCGTTGACATCGCTGCTGCTCTGCTAGCAGGTGTTTGACGACCGGTGTGATCGCGAAGGAGGAAGCGTGGGGGTGCATGGGTATAGGTTATACGCCTTCTCTACACGACTGAGGCGGTTGAGCCCGTCGAGCTGACATTTCACCCAACGGAACCTGGGAGCGACATTGCTTGTTAGATAAATAGGCGGCATATTTGTGCTGCTACAATTATTTTTCCACTTTTGGCATTAACGAACATTCCTCCTGCACCCTGCGTAAGGGTTTCTACCATATGTTCTTGCATGACCACCTTGAGCTTCCGTAGTCTTGGCCTTCCCTCCACAGAAGCACGAATGTAGTAGTGGATATTCTCATCAGCGTCTTTGCCTTGGGTTGATATTTTTGGTTGATCCTTCAGAAGTCGAATAATGTCAATCTCTCGGCGACCAGATACGAGAACCTTGATAGGTGTCGTGGGATTTGTGGATAAATCTTTTAGCATCGTAACAAGAGTTTCTCTTTCGTGTAGTATTCGTTTGATCAATCCACAACAATGGTGATGTTTGGTGGTACGAGAGGTAGTACCTCGCCAGGCACGATTTCCAGTTCTTCCAAGCTTGCAGGATCAGCCTTGCCGTCTTTCCCAATATGTCGTGAGAATGCGTCTTCTACGCCCACTAGAAGGCAATGCAGGGTGTGGCAAAGTTGAAGAATAATGGCTCCCACCACGGATTCCGGACAACAGCTGTCATGGTTTCGGAAGTCACAATAGTAGTAATCCACCACGTTCTTCTCTGAAACTTTAGGGAGGAGGCATTGGTTTAATATATCGCTCAACAGTACCGACTTGCAGGACCCGGGAGTTCCATGGATCCGCAGGAGGCGGTATTTTACAGCAAGCCACCACTGCACTGTTCAGGTCCCCGTCCACAAAGAGTTCTCAAAAGATGTACGATCATTTTATGGCCCTCGAAGTTAACATTACAAAGCCATAGGTACGTCTTCTTCCGAACTTCTGTGACTCCACGGCATTCCCGCTGCTGACGGCCTTCCTCAAGCGCCTGTTGAAGCTCTTAAAGGACAATATGCGTTCTCTGGGCTTCCAATGTTGCTTCCAGAGCCAGTAGTAAATTGAGGGAGCTCCTGTGCTGGCTTAAAGTCGCCAGGTTCTCTGTAGTTTCCGCCTGTTTCAGCAGCCAGAGCAGGCGTTTCATGGCTTCCATTTTCTTTTTCTTTGGCCCTGTCCGTAACGACTGAAGGACATCCTTCAGTTTACTTAGCGTCCCTTGACATTCTGCGAGCACATTGTGCAATCCTTCCTTCTGAGAAGTCGAAAATCTGTCCGCGTTGAGCAGTCCCTGAATGGCCACGAATAAGCCGCTCACGGCAGTAGTTTCTTCAACCAGTTTGCGCATGCCCTCAGCACAAGCATAGCCGTAGGTGCAACATATGCTAATAATTTCCTCTGAGAGAAAAATCAATTTTACAATGCTGAGGGGATCCATTGGGGACAAATCAAGTTCATCGAACACCTTGAGGCCTGGGCTCACGGAGAAAATATTACCTCAGATTTCATATTTCATATAACCGGCAGGGCATAGGAAAAGATCAAAAGCATGGCAATGGAAGAATATTTGTCGCAATCAAACGGAGAGATGTCAAAAATAATGCTCAGGTGGTATTGCGATGAGATCGTGTCGTATTTGTCCCCGTGAAGTAAAATGTGGGTGCATCTATGGCTCGTATTTCATTGTTGTTTAACTAAACTGTCAATGAGAATAATTTGTACTCAAAAAGGCCTGATATCCCCACAGATGGAGGAAACAAAACAATATATATTTCCGTTTCGCAACAAGTATTTCACCCTGCTCTTGTCCAAGCAGCAATAAACGTCGATCTCAGGGGGAAAAGGATGAGGGAACGCTGTTAGGGTTCGAGAACATCATGTGATCTGACTGTGCTAGGAATAACTATCATTTCTCCAACTTCTCTCCAGCTTCGATGATTGAGCTTCAACCGGGACATGTTAGGGAGAATTTATTTATTGACAGGACGAATTGATACAGCATCCACAAAATAAATTCCCCGGTTCTTCGCCGCGGAGACATAATAAATGTCCCTTCTGCGTGAAGCTGAAAGATGTCTTGCTAACCAGAAGACATATGCCAACCTCAATGCATTCATCACTCGGCTGCGCAACGCAGGAACATGGCGAGACCGGGTGTCAGTTGCGGAGACTCGGAGAGAGAGAGGTATATGGCTCCTCAATGTGTCATGCGATATTAGTATTGATATTTTCATAGGGACTGTGAAATCGCCGTTAGATGGCAAACTCGTTGCAGTTAAAGATAATATCTGCACCCGCGATATGCCAACCACATGTGCCTCGAGGATCCTTGAAACATATACCAGTCCTTTCAATGCGACCGTAGTAGAATCCCTTGAGAGGGCTGGCGCAATAGTCGCCGGGAAAACAAACCTAGATGAATTTGGCATGGGGTGAGCTAGAGGGAGATATCCGTTGCGAGATTGGGATTATTATATCCACTAACTGCAGAGAAGGTCACATTCAATGCATTCGCATTTCGGACCGGTGGGCAACGTGGTGGCCGCTGGAAAAGAGCCAATCTCTCCTGGCGGGAGTTCCGGAGGAAGTGCCATCGCAGTTGCAACTGGACAATGTTATGCGTATGTAACACATTGCCCACTCTCCTATACAATCAACAGCTAACTACTCCAGTTCGTAGCGCCCTGGGAACGGACACGGGCGGCTCCGTACGCCTTCCCGCAGCATACACAGGAACAATCGGCTTCAAGCCATCATACGGCCTCGTTTCAAGATGGGGGGTGGTGGCCTATGCAAATTCTCTAGACACCGTGGGTGTCCTCGGGTCAAAAATTTCCACTATCCGCAATGTTTTTAGTATGTTTGCAACGGCTAGCCCAACAGGTCGATAAATCCTAACGTCTGTCTCCAGAAATAATAAATCACCCAGATTTTCATGACCCCACCAACCTTCAACCAAGCACCCGCGCCCGCCTCACCTCCGCCATCCACAAAGCTTCAAGCCTCCGTTCCTACCGTTCCATTCGCATCGGTATCCCAACCGAATATAATATACACGAACTCTCTCCAGTCGTCCGCACAGTCTGGCAGCAATCCATAGCCTACCTCAAAAACCAAGGCTACGCAATCCACCCCGTTTCCCTTCCAACCACCAAACAAGCGCTGGCCGCCTACTACATCCTAGCCCCCGCTGAAGCATCCTCAAACCTAGCCCGGTACGACGGGGTGCGATACGGGACCCGCGACACGAATGCGCCTGATAATGCCGGACCGGGCGGGTATCTGTACGCCAACACCCGCGGAAACGGGTTTGGCAGCGAGGTTAAACGGCGCATTTTGCTCGGGGCATTCTCGCTCAGCGCGGATGCGATTAATAATTATTTCCTACGGGCGCAGAGGGTTCGGAGACTTGTTCAAACTGACTTTGAGAACGTATTTGCGTTTAGGAATCCGCTACTGCCCGCTGTGGATGCGGGGGCATTGAAGACCACCGCTCGCAGAAAATATGCCGTTGATGTCCTCGTCGTACCCACCGCGCCGACCTTGCCGCCGACCATTAAGTTGTTGAAGCGTGCGACGCCGGTAGAGATTTATATGAAGGATGTCTTCACTGTCCCGGCGAGTTTGGCGGGGCTGCCGGCACTGAGTGTACCAGTTCAGATTCATCGCTTCAATAATTTCTATGACGGGGTGTCAGGAGAAGTTGGAGATGAGATCAGGTCTGCGGGTATTCAGGTGATCGGGCAGTTTGGGGACGATGAATTTGTGTTAAATATTGGGGAGATATTAGAACGGATGAACCCAAAGAAGATCTAAGCGTGTACACGCTTTTAGCAGTGCAAGGCAGCGAATGGCAGACTGTGTATGATATAAATGGATGGTTGAAGATCGTGTATAAAGAGAGACCTGGATAGATGCTTGAGTAAATGTTTAGAAATTTCTAGCGTCACGTTACGGCATGAGAACGATAAAAGGGTGGACGTTTCTTCATTCCAAAGATATGATTCGCGAAACATTACACTCACGAACTCAACGCACAGACTGGTCTTCGTTATATCGACGACCCCTTCTCCGCCGCCATCAACTTCAACATTCCGTAAATTTTCCCTCTTTCCTCACCATCCCTCATCATCCTTTAACTCAGCCACAGATACAAGACAACTAAGCTTATAAATACAGGTATATATGACTCGCTTTGCTTAAGCCAATCACTCCAGCTTACAACCCCATTTCCACATCTTCCGAAGCCGCAGTTTCACCAGCCACAGGCCCGTTCTGCGGAGTACCAATACTGACACCCACACTCGTTCCATCATCCATGAGAACCCCCGCAACACCAGCAGCACCCCCACCTGCACCAATTCCCACATTCACAGCAGCCGCCGCCGCCGCAGCCGTAGCAGTGGGCGAACCACCGCCCCATCCCCTAAACGACGCCTCAACCTCATCCACAATATCAGCCACCACATCCTCAACGATCTGTTCATCGTACCTCTCTCCAAACCCCTTAATCACCACACCCTGTCTCCCGTCTTCCTCTTCAGTTGACTTGGGTGGCCCCACCCACCACGGCCCTTCAAACCTCACCTCCACAGACCCGCCCCCATGGCAGCTAGCAACAGGGAAATATCCAATCATTCCATCGTCTGCATTCTCCCTCTCGCCCACGCCCATGTTATTGCTAGCCTGCGTAGCTCTCGATGCAGGTGGTAAGAAAGCAAACAGATCCTTAAAGGGTGTTCCCATTTTCACGCCGTTTTTGTAAATTGTGATGTATGAGCCTGGTAGTGTGCGGAGAGAAGGGTCTTCGGCGTTTGTTGGGGAGGGAGCGCCGTAGGTTGGCGTCTCTTTAAGGTTGAAGGCGTAGTCGCGCAGATGCTTGGATGGGAAGATGTGAGATTGTTGATAGAGAAAGTCAGATTTGAGGTGGAATGGGATGCGGTCGCGGATTAGGTTTTGGGCTGGGGGGAGAATCTTGGGGTTTGCGCTGTTAGCCGTGTGTGCAGTGCCGTCACCATCAACGGCCGGGTCGTAGGAACCTTCCACGATCTTTCTATGCAGCCATAGCGGTGGAAGAGTGATGAGCATGCCAATGACGTCCCCCTCATTTATTGCTTCATCCTTTGGAAAGAAATATTCACATCGCATGCGGTTAACTACTTCTCCATTGACATCACGGATGCCATAGCCATAACAGTCGACTCCAACATTGACGTCGAGATCTGCCTCACGACGCGCAAAACCAAGCCGGATATTACCCCGCGGCGAGCCGCTGGGTTGCTGCTCTGCTCCCTTTACAATTCCGCTAATTACACGAGCTTCGTAGTAATAGGAGCCCTCGCGGGCACAGACATTGGCACGCGCAGAGTGCCAGGGTTCGTTTGTAGTTACAGCAAGGCCATCTTTGGTGAATGATATAGCGACCGGCGAATCTTCGAAGCTGAAACGCGAATGGTAAGGGGGAACGTCGGTTTGGCGGTACTTTATGTGTGGGAAAGATGGGTCCATTGCGGCGTAGGTGTAGCGGAAACCGTTCCTGTTGCTGAGCCTGGAAAAAAAATAATAAAATGAATCCATGTCAGTTTTAGAGCGGTTCATGGAATTTCAGGGGACCGCTGGACGGCGGGCGCAATGAATCGTACTTATCAGCAATTTCATAGAACTTCCATGACTGGTTAAGAATAGACGAGTGCTTTTCACAGGCAAAATTCATCTGGCGGGGTCGTGGGTGTAGAACGTCCGTTGGCCGCGGATCCGCCAGATAAATGGGCATGATCATTTTGAGCTCAGAAGACGGAATTGCAGAGTTGGAGGACGAGGAGGTGGGCTTCTTTTCACGAGGAACCGGTGCAGGTACATCTGCTGTCGCTTCGGTGTTGCCTTTGGCCTCGCGCTTTTTGCGACTGTCACGTTTGTTTCTTTTTGAGCGGCCATTCTGCGCAGGCGGATCATTGGTCATATTTGTAAATGAGACCTTGAGAGGATGAGCCGCTTGGTTTGAATCAACGGGGTTGTTGAGGGTGGAGGAAGGATTTGTGATGGGAGATGCAGTAGTCGGGGAGTCATTGGAAGTCTGGGGCAACGAAGAAGACATGGCGAGATAGTGTTATAGAGCGCTATTTTGCAAACGGGGTATATTTTTGGGGCAAATTTTTCGTCTGTAAAAATGGAATTGTCTATCAGCAAATCGCATCTCAACCAAGAACAAGACATGAAATCTGCCAACAACAAAAAAAATATAAATAAAAATAAATAAAAACAAACAAAAAAAATATATACCAACCTGAGGAAGAGACGTTACTCCCGTCAGTGGCTTTTCAATCTACGGTGTCTGCAGAGCTAGAGAGGCCCAGGAGAGCAAACTACAAGAGAGGCACCGTAAATAGCAGCATCAGTTGCTTCATGGGCAAATATATTGTACAGGGGTGGGCGTTCCAGCCCAATCCGCCTAATGATGAGTCCTAGCCTTCCTAATTACAGAACTAGAATTTCAGATCCAGCCGCAACGCAATACCCTATGCCCAATTCAAGTTGGTATACTGGCAGGATCAGACGTGGGTCGAGGCGAAGTGGGGCCGCAGTCGATTGACGGTGGATCCAGAGCACCTCAATTCCCGCACACACAAGGTCTACGGAAGGCAGTGACAGATTCAGTTGTCAGACATGTATGGGATTCTATGTCGCAGGAGCTGCACGACCGTGAAGGCTCGGCGCAGGTTCAAGCCGAGTTGCTGCGATGCTGGCTAACTGTCACACTGCAGCAGTTAGATATTGACCAAAAGGAGTGAATGTGTAGACCAAGTTTGGAACAACCCAAATCAACTTGAACCAGACTGGGGATCTCACATGTAGGCTTTTTCACGCAGCACGAATGCCGGTACTTCTGCTCACCAGCACAGCGAACGAGGCTCCAAACAGTCTTGCCTGCTCAAACTGCCCTTAATCTCCTCTGACCGCTGGTGTGTGAGGATAGGAAGAGGCACTGCTACTGGTGGCAGGGGAATGACCATGTAAATCTGTTGTTTAGGTGTGACTGTGTGAAGTAGAACTTGTACATACGCATCATACAATGGGAGGAGACGATGAAGAGCAGCGTCCGACGTCCGGAAATTGAACGAGGAGACCGCTGAATGCGCTAGTCTCAAATAGGAACCCTTAGAGCTGCTGCCCCAGTAGGGCTGAAGCTGGCTGCAACCTAACAATGAACTTATGTATCATCATTAGACATGTCAAGTTCAAAAATGGTATGCCATGGTATGCTTGAAGAAATAAAGCGTACTAAATGTAACTAACTAGAATAATCACCCAGAAATTTTTCAGAACATTTCCACTTTGCTTCTGTAGACTAACTCGAGGAAACGGATTCTGGCTTCCCACAAATAAACACCTAATGAGATAGCGCTAACAAAGAAGAAAAATCTAAATCGATCAGAAATCTCCCTTTCACCAAGATGGCAGACTGGGGACATGGAGTATTCTTGGTCTTAGTGAAGCCAAGACAAACAATGATTGACTCGCCCTACCACTGCTTGAGTGCAGTGAAATCAACACGCAAAATGGCAACCCTGGAGGGTGTACTTTCGGCTCTGGCCCAAGGGAGAAAAAAAAAAGGTTTACGTAGCAGAAACCGCCCGGTGCATTTCAAACATTCTGTCGTCATGTCAAAGTTATATTTCTACTGGTGGGGACTTGACATTTGACTTGTCTAGGATATCCTGCCAGGAAACTAGGAAAGCTTTTGAAGTTGGCGGCAAGGAAAGGTCAGCTTGAATATTTAGCAGACTAGTGTTTTCAAACCTGTTTTCAATCAACTAGTTGACTTGACTGAGGCAGATCAACTGAAAAGAAGGATTGAATAATCTTTAAGCGCCGGCTTCGCGGCTAATAACCAATAGTACGTATTTCCTAAACTCGGCGCTTGGCTGTGCGCTCGGACCACACTTTAACTTCTGTCACGTGATATATATGTCCCACAATTTCGGCAAAAAATCTACATAAACTTTAGCAGAACTGATGAGACAATTTGTCTTGACAACATACGCTTTATCTGTATGTGTCTTTCTTTTTATGCCCCGGTATTTCTTTCTGGCTGAATTCGGGGCACCATTCTGTTACAGTTAAACCGGCCTACGAACCCTTTGGACAAACAAACACCAAAATAAAACCAAAGATTATAGGGACATCGAAAGATTAAGGATTGAACGAGAAACCGCGTAACGGAAATATGCCAAAGGCTAACGGCCCCTTGCGGGCCTCCGCGACAGAACGCAAACATATGCCCCTCGCTGATGACATCCTTTCAACCGGCCACTTGCGCACAAAGTCAGGCAAGCGAAAATCCCGATCAGACGAAAAAGATGGAGACGATTATCTCGGCTCAAAGACAACCAAGAAGATCCTGCAAATTAGCCAGGATCTTGCGGAGGAAGATGCTGCAGAATCCCGTGCTACTATAGCTGCTTCCGAGTTGAAGACAAACACAGCTTTTGATTTTGGGTCCCGATTTGGCCCAGAGGAAGACGAGAGAGAAGATGATGGGGATCAATATGGGGAAGACGAGTGGGCTGACGTCGAAGAAGAAGTTGAAGAAGCGGTATGCATCCGAACATGAGAGATATTCCATATCCCCGAGTTAAACTCCGTTTATAATTAATTTTCTTATTTTGGTTCGTCTTTTGCCTATATTCAGGAAGTTGATCCCAATGACCTTGACATGTTCCATAAATTCGTCCCCCGCGGTGAAGAGGATCCGATATTCAACCCCCGCAATCCGGATGATCAAGAGCAAGGACAAGGCACAAACCTGGCAGATATGATTCTCGAGAAAATAGCAGCGTATGAGGCTCGACAGGGGGACCAGCCTCAAATTATTGGAGGCGGTGAAATGGAAAACGCTGTTGAGCTCCCTGCAAAAGCCGTAGAGGTCTATCAAAAGGTATGTACAAAGCATCCCCCTCCAAAAAAAAAAAATACTGAAATAATTCTTAACGAATGGCTTAGGGTCGGCTTCCTCCTCTCCCGCTACAAATCTGGGCCCCTTCCCAAACCATTCAAGATCCTCCCAACCCTACCACAATGGCAAACGCTCCTCGAAATCACCCAACCAGGAAACTGGACCCCAAACGCCATTTACGCCGGCACCCGCATCTTCATCTCCTCGAAACCTGCCGTCGCCCAAGAATACATAAACACCGTCCTCCTCGACCGCGTCCGCGACGACATCCACGAAACCAAAAAACTACACGTGCACATCTACAACGCCCTGAAAAAGGCCCTTTACAAACCCTCCTGTTTCTTCAAGGGCTTCCTCTTCCCCCTCGTCCAATCGGGAACCTGCACACTGCGCGAAGCCCACATAATTTCCAGCGTCATCACCCGCGTCTCGATACCAGTTTTGCACTCCGCTGCCGCCCTCCTGCGCCTCTGCGACATGGCTGCGGAGAAGACCGCATCCGCCCTCTCCTCCGAAGGCACAGGTGCCCTAAACGTGTTCATCCGCGTCTTTCTCGAGAAGAAATACGCACTTCCATATAAAGTCATCGATGCTCTCGTGTTTCATTTCCTCCGTTTCCGCGCTACAGATCCTCTCCCACAGGATGGCAGCGGTACGGGCGCCGATACGGCTACGACGGATGCTTCTGCGGCAAAGAATTATAAATTGCCTGTCCTGTGGCATCAGTCGCTACTAGTCTTTGCGCAGCGATATCGGAATGACATCACGGAAGACCAGCGCGAGGCGTTGCTGGATCTGCTGCTGGTGAGGGGTCATAAGGACATTGGTCCGGAGGTGCGGAGGGAGTTGTTGGCTGGGAGGGGGAGGGGGATTGTGTTACTTAAGGGTGAGGGTGGTGAGACACTGGGGAATGGAGGCGATGATACTATGGATGTGGAAATGTGAGATGGAAATATATAACGCATTATTCATATTTTTTTTTTAATGTCAGATTTTCAGCGATTCATGTTCCTGCATCTCTACCAGAGAGTTATGCGGATGAATTTCCTTTTGACAAAAGCTACATTTCTAGCACACCCTTACCTCCGTCATGGCATTATGTAGATGAGGCACTAACCCTACCAACTGCCGGTTTCTGTTTATGACTTCACTTTCAAAAGATAATGAAATTACAATGCTCCATTCTCCCATACCATATTTTTAACAGACTTCTAGTTCGTATTAACAGATCGTATAAATTGTTTCATATTTCCCAGATTCAACACATCATAACTCCAAATAGTCAGCTTAAGAAACAGAGATTGGAGACATCGGGAAATAATAGAGAAAGGAACAAAGATGTAAACAGGTTCGTTAACGTATATCGTAAGTAGAGGTCCGGAATCGGTGGTCTAAATATGACGGTGATGATGGGGTATATGAAGGAGTGTAACATGGCGGAGAGCTGCGAGAAAGATAGCAGGAGGGGTTCAAGGGATGGAGTTTCGCGACACTCGAACCAGGAGGATCACGTATCGTGTATGTGACAGTGTGGATATGGAGGTTGAAATGTGTGAGTCCAAGAATACCTCCAACAGAGAAGCACGGGAATTTTAAAATGCAAAATTTCATTCACGCCCTCAGCGCCCTTAACCGCGCATCCAGCCCATCCTCTTCCTTTTGCTTCCCCGCCCCTTCCCGGACCCCCACCTCGCCCTCCGGGGCTGCATTCGCCTCCAAATGCTCCCGCATATCCACACCGGCTTCATCTGCCAACTTCTGCATCAGCCTATCAACCTCCTCCTTACCCTCACCGCCCAAACTCTGCTCTTGCACCCCCTGCGACACATCCCTAATGGCACTACTGGCAATCTTGAAATCTTGACTCCTCTCCAAAAACGAATTCGCTGTGGCCAACACCCGTTCCAGATTTATAGTGCGTGACGCGCCCTCGAGAGCTTTGGAAGCATATGCGAGTGAACGAGCACGTTCCCGCGTGCTGTATGCTGCTTTCAGGTCGTTGACGAGCACCTCGGCTTCGGCAGCTTCGGAGCGCAGGGAGACGTAGCGATGGTGCTCGCGCACGGCGGACTGGGAGTGGATTTGCGCGATTTGGAATTCACGATTTTTCATCGCGCGGGACGCTTTGGCTTCTTCTGACAGACGGGTTTTGTTGGCTTTTTCGGCTTCTTTGCGGGAACGGGAGGCGAGCATCTGGTGACCCCGCACATGAGGTTAGTATTGGGTTACTTTGCAAGGTTTGGAGGTTGCAAGTTAGAATGAAACTCTGAGGAGGGTGAAGGAAAATATGGGACGGGAGAGGAACGGTATATGGTGTGTTTGGGAATAATCGGACCGATCAACTGGGGACTTGAGGAATGTGGGGTTGGTGGGGGTGGAAACGGGAGATGGCATCGTACCTTGACCTCCATCAGGGCCTTCATTAGGGGATCTACCGCAGGCATATTGGCGGTGTGTGTCCTGCTCTTTTTGTATGAATAATGTAGATAACAAGAAGCGGAGAGAGATATTCGAGGATGTTGAAGATATGAGAGTTCGGCGTAGGCAACCAACCAACCACTGACGTTTGTTCGCTGACGTTTGTTCGCTGACGGGCTGAGAGGGAGGCTTAGATAACATATTTGTCATTCTATTTTAGAGGTTCAGCATACAAACTACTCCGTATTCGGACTAGATTGCGAAGTTAATCTAGTCTTCGGACGAACAACTGAAGACAACATCCAGTTTACAGTCTTGAATTTCAAACAGAAAAAGAAAAAGAAAAAGAAAAGAAAGGAAAGGAGGAGAGAAGAAAAGGAATGAAAATAAATAGGCCATCTGATAAGCCAAAGCAATATTAATACACACCACAGGGGAAAACAATATACCAATTAATATATTCACCATGTAAAACAGTTAGTATGTATTCCACTATTTTTATTACATCATTTTTTATACCGAATTTTTTCTCTGAATATAGGCAATAATAACTTGGCTTTGGTAAATCAATGTAGAAATATGTATCTTAATAAGTATCTCCTACGAAATAGAAATAATAAACTACACAAAAAAGGGATAATTACTCCTCATAAGCTCATTTGAGCATTGTCTTCGAGTCATCACGCCTCCACAAAGCCGAAGCCTCAAAACTTGACCAACGATGGAATATCCAAAAGCGGCCTTCCACCTTCCATGCGGGCTCTCCCGTTAATCGCCATCGGCGTGGGATCCGTAACACCAAAGGCCTGGGCCGAACGTTATCGATGATATGCTGTTGGGCGATGATGACAATGACTGTTCTGCCGGGTAATCAGCCCAACCAGAGCTTGACGAAGATTTCTGAGAGGGAACAAGGTTGCATAGGAAATCACTCTTATCGACTTGACTTGGGCCGGGGTCATAATCGGTACAACTACGCAACATGTTTCCCGTGGTTTATGAATGGCTAACTTTGATGGTGGTTATTTGGAGGCGCGCGCATGGGGAGTACTTCGTTTCAGGCGATTTGCGGGTCTGGTTTTAACACAGGGGGGCCCTTCTCCTCTGTTATTCTGCTCATACATAATACCACGCGTTTCTCCACTAAATAACATCCATGGATATTTTTATGATTTATTCTCAGCAAGGTGAACATTCTCTGATGGTGGATGCCCCAGCGTTTTCATCGACTATGAAATGCTTTACTTGTCATCAAATAGGCTCCGTCTTTGCATAAATTATGATAGATCCGGGAAAATCTTAAGGCAGTACTAAAATTAAGCCAAAACATTTTTTGATCCGTTTTAAGAATTAGATAGCCCGGCAACCTAAGGTAGGGCTCCTGGGGCTACATTACAAAATGTGAAAAGCACAAGCCATATAACAAGATAGGATTTTTTAAAAAAATAGTACCTTAAAATGAACAAATATACAACGAAGAGACAAAAAAAAATGAAGAACCAGAAAACTCCATCACCTCCTGCCTTGCCTCCCTGTCCAACTCCTTGACGTTGAGCGATTTGCTAGAGCGAAAGATTGCTAGATCCAAGCATGACGCACTACGAGACAACCGAGTCTTGCTCTCGAGTGTTCTGTGCTACGATAGCAATGACGTGGACGATAGACATCAATAGGTCTTCCCTCAACGCCTCCTCGTTGGATCTGTCAATACAATCAATTGCCCAGATCATGGTTAATAGCATCTTCCAATCCTGACAACCGCTGTAGCCCGGCAACACCGCCCCAACCGACTCCGGCTCACTGGAAGCCAACGACTCACCCCTAGCCACTAGCTGCAATGCCTTGCTCGTCGCATCTCGAAGTGGACGCGCCAAAGCTGGGCTGCACGCAAGAAGCCGGGTGAGAAGTTGGATCCGAAAAACCGGACGTCGCGGAGGAAGAGTGGTCATCGAGGCTGTCAAGGTCGACAGGGTCGGCGTCGAAATCAACCAGAGAATCAAAGGCAAGTGTTGCTGAATCTCCGCCGGAGAGAACGTCAAAGGAGAGCCTTGTTTCAAGGAGCGAAAGATCGACGTCATCGGACGGATTACCGTAGAATAGGCGGTGAAAGTCATCGTCAGAAAGAGGTGCTGGATGATTGACAGCAGGGCGACTTGAAAGGCCTGATCGCGAGTCAAAGAGGGGTTGAGAGAGGCTTGGGGATCCTTCAAGGATCCCTCCAACTGACACTGCAGGTCGCACAACATCGCTGCAGGATGTTGTGTCAGGTCGGAGGAATCTGTGAGGTCCAAGTCCTTCAGGCTGGGAGAGTAGGCAGAGAGGGATGGAGTGGGGAATGGGATCTTGTCGAGGGACATTTCGTCACGTTCCTTCTTGAAGAGGATGGGGACAAGAGTGGGTGAATCTGTTCCAGAGACGGACTGCGGGCTGGAGCCTCTCGAAGTCCGGATTTCAGCGGAGAGCTGGGCGACTTGTTGGCTGAGGCGGTTGTTTTCGGCTTCCATCTGGGCGAGTCGACGCAGGAGGAGCTCGTTTTGTTGCTCCATCTGCAACTTTTCGCCCTCCAGTTTCTCGACCTCTAGTCGCTTTCGTTCACGAGAGGTCTGGGCCGCTGCGCGGTTCCTGAGAACACGTTCGATGCGACGCTGTTCCTTTTCATCTTCCGTCTTTGCTCGTTTTCTACCCGTCCATGTTAGAAAATGGAATCCGAAAGAAGAAGAAAAATACAATGTACGAATTTTTTTTCTAAAGCCAATATGTATGTACCTTGGTGGGAGATTCGTCTTTGGGGTGGGTAATTCCTGGCCCCACGATTTTCTCTTCTTTACCGGTTTCTTCTCTTCAGGCTTTGGCGTCTCTGTCTTGACCTTGTCGGTAGCTGATGTGTCGAAAATGAGAGTGGTCTCGGCCGGGGAGATGGTCAACTGGGGTGGCTCCGGTGCAGGTGTGGGAGACATAGAGCCCAGGGAGGAGAATGGAGTAGAGGTCATGATCTCAGAAATCTCTTGGGAAACTCTTCGGGCTAACTATACTATCGTCTCGATGTTTTATCACGGCAACAATAGAGTCGTGTACTCAATTAGCGGAGGATAGAGACAGGAGCCAGGTTGATGGTTGAAGAGTCGCGGGAGCTGTGGCGAAGAAGAGTGGATGTTAGGGGCCACGGTGGCATGATCACAGTTGAACAGGACAGCCAATCATGACCCAAAAAAAAAGGGTCTACGGAACAATACTCTGATCAAGAGGACAGGTTGTTCTTTTCTGCAAGGGAAAAGCTGGCTTTGGTTGTTTGTCTGGGGACGAAGATCTGAGGTGGGAGACTCGGGGCATTTTAAAAAGGACACCGTGGTCCAAACCTTGGAAAGGGGGACCGTTAATTATGTCAGCCACTCCAGCCGCACCAAGATCAAACTTTTCCCGTGACGCCGCCTGCTCCAGCCAATCAGAACCTGCAGAGCCTGGCCCAGCCATTACCCGCAAGCCCAACGGTTGGGTTCGACCCAGGATTTCAAGGGGCTGAATCATGTTTCGGGCAACAAGTGATCCATCTGCAGGACCACAACATGCTCCGCCCCCCGCCTGAGATGTAGTTTCCAATTTTATATATATCAAGGTCGGTACATGTACCACTCATTAGGTTACTCCACTCACTACAGCAGAGGTACTGATACATGTTGTCCACATGCAAAGCATTCAAAGGTTCCGTCCGCTAGTTGCAGCCCCAGTCCCCCTTCCCAAGGTGGATCCTTCCCACCATCCCACGGGCTTTGTAGTGCGGCGTAGTAGTAGTTATTGTTGTTGTTTACAATCCTGGCTTTGGTTTCCTATATTACTACGGAGTACATATGGAGGACCGAGTCTCCATAGTCCAACCCACCCAGTTCATGCTCTTAATTCTAATTATGTCAAGAAAAAGAAAAAGAGAAAAAGAAAGAAAAAGAAACAATCTCGCGGCTCGCCTGAAGATTTAGCAAGATCCATCTCGTGCAGGCCTGGGGAGTTTCCACTTCACAACCCCCCCCCCCCCCCCCCCCTTTTCTCCAAACCCTAGTCCTTGATAATTTCCCCTTCTACCCTTTCTGTTGGTGGGACGCCCTTATTCAGAAAGCGGTAATGAAGCAAACCCACATGAACAACCTCAAATCTTACTTTAATATATAGCTAACACATTCTTCGCTGCTGACATGCCAGCCACGTCTCCGTTCTGTTCGGGGGTCAGCAGAATAATTGAAATGAAGCGTTCGGGTTTATTAAGCAACTTGCATGCAAAGCACAATTCATATATATTTGCTCCATTTATTTGGGTTCCTTTATTCTTTGTCTTCCATGCTTCCTATTTTAATGGTTTAAAAAGAGTTTTGTGGGAATCAAAAGAGTTAAGAAAGTCGATGGTTGTGCTTGTTAGTTAGTGACGGTAGTTAGTTAACTTCTCATATGTGACAAAGGACTTCATTAACTAGAGTTGCAACAGGTTCAAGGTTTCGCTATTAACTTAACTGTTAATGGTTGGAGCCAAAATGTGGAGTTGCCCAAGCTCACATCATCGTCAAACGCCCAGTTAAAAATCTCTTGAGAGACATTTACTGTGGGTCTTGTTACTAAGTTACTTGGCTTTAGGCTCTCGTAAGCTTAAAAAAAAGTTTCGATCTTATTTGTTCGTCTGCTTTTTGTCCTACGGTCTGGCAACTGAGAGATGTCAATATCTCTATTTTTTATGCAACCATGAGATACCAGACTTGGGTTCAAATACCGGCCTGACAAGGTTAAATATCTTCTCTTCCGAAAGGAAATGTCGTCTTCATTCAGTTTCCTCAGCCTGTGGTCCAACGGCAGCCGTTAAAATTTTTACGGGATCATGAAGTTCTACCTGCTGAACTTTCAAAGTAAGGCTTATCAGTGACCCCTTAATTTACATAGACAAAACATCATTAACCTACTGAAGATTTGGTTTGTGTTCATCATCTTCCTCACCTTTTCTACTAAATCCCTCCCCTTCTCGAGGAACCATGGAATGCTGCTGTGTTCATATCCTACAGATTTGTCTTGGATGTATTCGGACACTCTCATCTATTCAATACGTAAATCATATGGTAAAAGTTACTTCTGCATATATATCCCTTGAATATATATACTTTTGTTCATGTAAGATCATTGTACTAATCCTGCCTCTCCCTTGTCCTTTCGACAAAGGTAAGTTCCGCTGTTGCTGCAGCTATGGACTCGAACGAGGCAATACAAACAGAGTTACATGGGCTAACTCTGGAAGTTAAACAGCCGTGACATGTTCAACCTTGTAGACAAAATACCATACGGGGCTCTCAATGCTTTCTATATTTAGATACATAAATATGTATTGCCGGGCCCTCAAGATAAATGGAAAATGTAGTCACAAACAATCGAAAAGCACAAGAGGAGTTTAAAGATGGTGTGTGCAGACAGACGTTCTAGATCTTGCGGTGGGTGGCAGAGGCTGCTGGCTCGCGGTTGACCGCTTTGGGGTTAGTTCGGTTGCATCAAGATTAACTATTAATTGTTCCCCGTGCACCCACACCTGATGTGGGTGCGCCCTAGCGTAATGATAAAAACAGTGTAATGATAAAAATATGGATAATTAGAACTTCAAAAATTAATATCTCATCACCATGCTGCTAATTTATGATAATTAATTTATCTATATCATCTGTAGTAGCTGTATTATTCACGAGATGTTTATATATATTATTAACCTCTTGTTGAGTTGGATTTGTGGTATTTTTCTTCAAGCTCTTTCAAAATGTTTGACTTTTTTATAATATTCTTTTTCTGCTTCCTCCTCTTTACATTGTGCAATCTTTCTATTTGCATTTCTGACAGTGAGTATACCTCCTACTTGAACCTGCTGATGTGTATTTTTAATGCTGTGATATTTGATTACAAGATAGTAACTCTTAATCTCACTCTCTCTTATAGCATTGAGTTCTGTCTGAACAAGACTATCTTAGAAAATCTTGTTCAATTGATTGTTCAGATGAGATGATTTGAAATCAAGTGTATTCTTCATATCTGATATTGTCTTCTTTGTCACTTGAATATGATGTTGTAGCTTCTCAATTGTCTTGAATGAGAATAGCTGTGATGAAGTAGTATCTAAACAATTTAATTGTGATGAAAAGAAGTCTTCTTCATATATTTGCAACTTAGAGTAGTCAGAGACCTTTAAATCTAGCTTAAGCAGTATAGATTATAAGTTGAATGAGATAATGCCACAATTTATAAAGTCAGTCTGAATAGTAGAAGATTGAAAAGTCTTTTTGCAGACATCAATTAGATTCTGTAGAAATTGATATTTTTCATACTGCTCATATCTGTATTACACAGCTTGATTAACTGTCTTTGAATGATAGTACTTATACTGCTAAAAAGACACATCATCTAGAGATTGCAATATATGAGTTGAATGTGAAGAGAATTCATATAGAATAATTTTATGAAGATTGCAGTATTGTAAAAATTCTTCAATGAGATGAGATTCATAATTGTTAAAAAGCAGCAATTGATGACTGTCTTGCTGATGTTTTTTAAAGATCTTATTAAAGTGCTGAATTCATGCAAAGTCAATCTCATTATTGATATAATCAGTATTTGATGTCATAATTGTATATTCATCTGATAGATTACTTTATGTATATCAATCTTCAAATTAAATTTTGAATTTCAAGAAGATGAAGAAATTCAATATCTCATCATCTGCAGAAACACACTCAATCACAGTGATCAATCTTTGAGAATATGATGAAGTTATAATTGAATTAAAGTCTTTAAAAGCAGTAATAACTTATTTTCCATGTTCTTGATTTTCTTGAAAGCTAATTTTATCAAAGTTGTAGATATCATAGATTTGAAATATGTACTTTTGAAGTAAGATTTTCAAACAGTCAAATCATATCTTGATGTAGCTAATATTCTCAACAGTAATTCTTTTCAGATTCATTGTCTTCTGCTTAACTCTTTTATACTCATTCAAGCTTTGTATATATTGATAGATTCACATCTTGCTGATCACAAATGAGAAGGTTGAAGAATCAGTATAATGATGTTTGAAAATGAGATTCATATTATTTTGAATCTGCTCTGCAGTCAGTGAGCAATTATTTCTGTTCATATGAGCTATTCACTCTTTTAACACATTCTCCTGACTCTTGCTAAGCTTCTTGTTCAGTGCAGTCTTTGCATTGCATGTTTTTCTTCCATTGATTCTTGCTCAAAGACATTGATAAGAAATGTTAAATTTGCATACCAGAGGTAGGATTTTCTGTTTTCAATTGTCATTATAGACTTCAATGGTACTCTGAATATGTTTTTCAAGATCATCTATTTTATTGGTCATGGTGGTGGTGATATATTATTATTTGAAGATTGATTAATGAAGAAGTTGATATTTTTATTGTTACACTGTTTTTATCATTACACTGTGGCGCACCCACACCTCATGTGGGTGCGCGGAGGCACGATTAATTAACTACGGAATCTTGGAGTTTCAATCCATCGCCTGTTCCTAGAAGTTCATCCGCCGTTGCACACATTTCTGCCTTGAATATACGGTTCATTAAGTGTGAAAGCCGAGATTTCTAGCCTATTTTGAAAGCTCCCAGCATCTGCAAAGCACAGGTGCAGTCAGGCCTACAACCCCGTCACAATTGAATCCCGGTATTTCCTATGCTGTCAGTCCCTGGCAGACCCGGTACAGACGCAATCGCAACTGCGACAACTAGTCCAGAATGAAGAGAAGAAGACAGTCTCTGGCAAGAAACCACACACAGCAGGTCGTGGTTTTATTTCTGTAAGTCGGACAAGGCATCTTTTCCCCAACCAATTATTTTTTATTTTATTTTATTTATTTCCTTTTGTCGTTGCAACACTGTTGAATTTGACGACTTATAGTTAACTAGTTAGTTAACAGGTTGGTGAACTTACCGGGCACAAGCTCCACGCAAAGCCTCCTCGAAAGCCAAACCCAATGTCCAGCGGGATTAGAGGTTTCTCCAGTAGTATTAATTAGATTTGAGACTACAAACGCTGGCAAATACCAAACCTTGTTCTAAATGTCTCTATGGGGGTCATTGACTCATTTGACTCAGTTGACCTTGCTTAGCTTGGGACTCACTAGCAACTTTAACTGATTGATTGTTAAGGTACGGAGAACTCCGTAGTCATTTCCGCCTTCAAGCGCCCTCGTCTATTTCAAAGCTTGAGCAAAAGCTGCCGGGGAAGGCTGTCTAGTCTAAGATGGGCCCTTTATATATATATATATATATATTTATTTATATTTATTTTTGGTTTTGTTTTGAGCGGACCCTGACCCTTTCATTCCTATATCCCCGTACTCCCTTGGATTGCAGCTTATCTTTGTTGAACTTCCACATCCCTTTAGAGAAGCTGAAGAAGATTTTGTTTGTTCGTCTGGGTAACAGATGCTTCTGATGTTTAGTACTAGGATTTCACCCGCCGGTGTCGGTTATCAAAACATAGCTCGAAGCCGAATTACATCGATCCAACCAGCCAGAGGGAATGAGCTTGTGACTCACTCTCTTGTGTTGGGATATAGCTGTGCTGGCAAAGGATACGGGGGCGCCTGAAGATACAGAGCAATCCAGGCTTTGATTCCTCGTCTTGTCCTTGGTAGGAACACCCCCTTCATGCCGACCTGCCTGTACACATGATTTGTTGATGCAGATGCAGCAATTACCGGAACTTTTCACCATAAGTTTCGTTGAAAGGCTATCCAGTCTCAAGTTCATCATGACCCAAGAAGTTTAATAACAGTGTTCTCTACTATCTTCTGAACTATAAACATCGTTAACGTTGAAAAAGAAAAATAAGAAATCAGTATTGAGAATATGTAAATATGAATATGAATTCACAGAGATGATGAAATTCTAGCAACTAAATATCTCATTTTTCCAGCAGCCTTTTTATTGTAGTTCTGTAGCTCTCAATATAGTTCATACGGAGTTCGTACGGAAGTAGTTAACCTGCTTGTAGTTATTCCCGAAGTTTGAAAAACACCAACGTCATCATGCCTGATTTGAATCACCGGTTTATTTCTGCACCAAACCACATGAGCAGCACCGAAAAACCGAACACCTACCGTCTTGACTCTCCGAACGGTTAGAAAGCAATAGTAATGTTTTCTGTTAGAGCTGCCCTCCGCCTACCAGGCCAATTAAAGCCTGCGAGCTGCCTTAACCCCATCCATGCTATTCCTGCCTGCCATACTTCTTCCAAACTTCCGCTTGACTGTCGACGGTACATCTCCGCATACGGCTACACCCAGGCCAAGGCATTGGTATATGGCAACTACGGCGAACCCAAAGATGTCCTGAGGTTATTATCCTTCTTTTAACTTTCCTCCGGTTCACCCATTGTACAAATCAATGTCCTGCTAACGGTCGATCGAAATTAGTCTACACTCATACTCCATTTCCGCACCACACAACACCCAAGTCAACGTCCGCCTCCTCACCTCTCCCGTTAACCCTGCTGACGTCAACCAAATTCAAGGCGTCTACCCATCCAAGCCCGCTTTCAGCTCCGCCCTCGGTACCAGCACTCCCGTAGCGATTGGGGGAAATGAAGCCGCGTTCGAAGTAGTCTCGACAGGCTCCGGCGTCAAATCCCTTTCCAAGGGTGACTGGGTAATCATGAAGAGGACGGGGATGGGTACCTGGCGCACGCATGCACAATTCGACGAATCATCACTCCTAAAAATCGACGACCGCACCAACCTGACACCACTGCAAGTCGGGACCGTTGGCGTTAACCCCGTTACCGCATATCGGATGCTCAAGGATTTCTGCGACTGGGACTGGGTGGGCAAGCCGGGAGAGGAATGGATGATTCAGAACGGCGCCAATTCAGGCGTGGGACGGGCAGCCATCCAGCTCGCGCGGGATTGGGGTATTAAGACTCTCAACGTGATTCGCGAGCGCGACACACCCTCGGCGACAAAGGCGTTAAAGGACGACCTTCTCTCCCTCGGCGCCACGGCTGTCCTGACCGAATCCGAGCTCCTCTCCTCCAAGACCTTCCGCGATATCGTGCATGACTTGACGCGACGGGGTACAGAGCCTATCCGGCTCGCGCTGAACTGCGTTGGCGGGCCCAGCGCGACATCCATGTTGAAGGTGCTCGCGCCCAATTCTCGCATGGTCACGTACGGGGCCATGGCCAAGCAGCCCCTGACGTTGCCATCCGGACTTTTGATTTTCAAGAATTTGGTCCTGACTGGGTTTTGGGTGTCTAAATGGGGTGATAGCAATCCGTCACTGAAGAGTGAAACGGTCAATGATATCCTGAGACTGATGAGGGAAGGTAAGTTTAAGGATATCCCTGTGCAGGAGGTGAAGTGGGGTTGGGGAACGCAGCTGGATGTTTTGGCGAATGAGGTCCAGGGTACGTTGACGGGGAAGAGGAGTGGGAAGAGTGTTTTTGTTTATGAGGGGGATTAAGTTGAATGATGGCTTGGGCATGTTGCTGTTTTGTAATTATAGAATTTGTCTTTGTAAATCTAGGCGTAATATTAGTTAAACGCCTCAGAAGATCCGTCGACCCCATATGCCATCCAATATGGATATTTTGTGCTTTTTTGGAAGACGAGGCAACGTGAAGATCTAGAAAGAAAACCTAGGGCGAATGACCAGCCCATTTGATGGTTTATTGCTGGTAGCAAACAATTTCTCCAACGCATTATAACATTCTCTGAAATTCAGGTAGACAGCCCCTATAAATCATTAATTGTATATCCATACCAAGACCGCTAGATCAACGCAGCATAAAATCCAATGTGTATAGCTGTATATCTCCAAAAGTAGTATCAACATCAAATAAACTCCTGTCCGTAATCCCGAGATTCCAAATATCCATAACCGAAAGGTTCCAAAGAAAAAAAGAAGAGAGGGGGGGGGAAAAAGAAAAAAAGAAAAGGAAAAAAAAAGGGGGGGGGGGGGGGAGAAGAAGCAAATCCCCCGAAAATCAGTTTATCTAAATCCTCACTCTACTCCCCCTCCTCACCATCGGTAGATTTACATCTCCAGTTCTCCTCCACCCACTTTACAATGATCGTCTTGAGCGTCTTACCCGCCAAAAACGTCTCAGTGTCCTTCTCAATATCAACATCCAACCCGACAAACTTAAACGCCAAATCCATCCACGGCTCGATAAAGTCGATATAGACTAAGTCGACCGTGTCGGTGTCTGCGGAAATGCTGGACATAGTGGCGGTAGCGGATGGAGATGAAGATGGAGGAAGCATCGCTGATATGCAGTTGGGTACACTATAGAAATTGATGGGAGTGTGAATGGTGTCATCGCCGTCGTCACCTACGCTGTCCTTTGTTGTGTAGCCTGGGATGCGACAGATTGTTGGTGGATTGGGGTTTTCGTCATCGTCGTCGTTGCTAGAGAAAAGGGGGATTTGATCTTGTGCGTTGTTCATGTGGATTTGGTTCTGATGGTGGTTGTTATCATAGTCATCGTTTACAACGATACCAGAGTCTATCGCCTGCTGCTCGGGCGGGGAGAGGAAAGCCGACGAGGAAAGAGTCGACTGCGGCATTTTGGTTAGTATTTTCATTTGCCGATTTAGGACCTCGAGGACCTGTTTGGCTTTTTCGACCTGTATGTCTTTGACGTAGCGGAAGCCAGATGTAAATGGGGATAGCATGTAGGCTGAATCTCTCGTGAACTGGCCCTTGAAAATGTCAAAGCGGATGGCGCCTGTGTTGATGATGGCCATACCGGTCTTGTCAGCACGCAAACCCGCGCGGAGGATGTCAGGAAGAACCCGATTTTCTAGCCAGCTGTATACACTTGCATTGTGGGGGTATGGCGCGCGGGACATCCATAAGTTATGCGTCGGGCAGCCGTGTGTGTGGTCTAAATTCAGAGCAAGTCTGGCATCCTCAATCATTTTCGAGACATTCTTGCCTTGCTCGGTTGGGAAAGTGGATTCGTTGAGCCCTGTGTGGTAGTAGAAGGACCAGAGATTATTGTCGATGTATCTGCGGAAGAAGGACAGATTGGCTGAGGCTGGTGATTTCTTGCCACCGGTCGATACGCCATTTATTGAAGCGAAGCCAATTGTTTCCATGAACCGGCCGCTGGCAAGGCCATAAGCCTTTTCATCGTATTTGGCATAATCCCTAATATGAAAATGGCCACCGAAAAAATGGATGGGGGTGTCCCAGTTCATCCCCCGAATCGCTTTGTAGATGGTTGTATACTCCTCCGACTGCACAGCAACATGCCCAATCACAAGGAAGAGATCCACGTCTTTGTCTCGAATAGCGTCTTGAAACCACTGTTCCTTGACTGCCTCTTCGACAGGTTGCACAATGGTATTGTTGTAGTTCTGCTTGAAATCAAACAAGAATCCAAATGCCACGATGCGTATGCCCTGCTTCGCTGTAGTGAACTTTTTGAAACGAGGGGCTAAGGGTACACGTTGGCCGGATTGGGGGTCAATAATGTCGATGTTTGAGGACAGATAGCTGCCTTTAAAATTGGGAACCGTAATGAGGTACTCATCTTCAGAAGAATTCTGCTTGTATAGCTCATGGTTGCCGGAGCATATGACGTCGATATGTTGTTGTGTAAAGATGTCTGCAGTATAGAGACCCTTTGGATCTGAGCTATCATAGAGCCCATTTCCTTCTATTCGATCGCCCGTGTCTATCAGGAGTAAATCTGCTCCCTCCGCCTCGACCATTTTTCGTATATGGCTGGCAAATGTGATGTAATCCCCCCAGTCGGCACCGTATGAAGCTCTGAGTTACCAATGGAATAGTTAGCTTGGATCTTCCTCGAGAATCTGAGCGACTCTTACTCTTGGGGATGGCCACTGAGCCAGCCATGAGTATCGGTCGTATGAAGGAAATTAACCTGGCCAAATGTAAGATTCCGCATCGGGGCCGGTATAGGTTTAGGAGCTGAAGATTGCACAGCGAGTGCGGAGGTGGAGAGCCCCAAAAGGGCAAGGAATAAGTTCATGGCTGTTTTAAGTAAATATATAAACAAGATAAGAATAATATAGCCCAAAATCTATGTCTATATATTGATAATTAACCAGCCATCGCTCTCAGTATGGGAATGTCAGTTCTTATCAAATCGGAACCTATAGTTAGATGGTTACTATTGAAGATGAACAAGCGTTTTACGTCAGCAGAGCTGAGCAGATGACGTCGTTGAGCTGTCGCTGGTTTAAGGTTTATGGGACGGGCTAACTGTTAATGGAATGGTGATAATCTTAAAGTATTTATATTCTGATGACTAAACGCCAGATGGTTTAAGTGCGCAATGTGAGCGAGTCGTGCTGCTAGCTTCCTATTGGTTGACTGGTGCTCAATCCATGGAACAAAGTGGATAGCCGAAGCTTCTCAGCCAATGACCGCTTTTGTAAATAATCACGTGATCAAGCTCCTTTGCTGAGTCAGCTCCATCGGGAAGCCCAACAAGTTTCAACGCCAAGACGCCCCAATCCGGAAATATACAACACCGGGGTTCCTCTCATCGTCCAAGCACCGACTCTCATCAGCAAGCTGCGGATTGTCTCATTGTTGCGTCTCAATTCTTCCGTTTCCTCTGCCAACATCTTTTCTGTTCGTTGTATTCTTTCCTCCCTTTTTTCATTGGCTCCTCCTTTGTCCCCAATGGCCACCCCAAGACTGCTGAGGCCGGCTTCCCGCCTGGTATCATCACGGCTCTGCTCCGCCCCACTCCGCTTAGCTTTCAGACCTGCAGTATGCGCTCCTTCAGCTCTCCAGCGGCGGGCATATGCGACGCCAAGCGGGACGAAAGAAATGACTGTCAGAGATGCCCTCAACGACGCTTTGGCGGAAGAGTTCCAGGCGAACGAGAAGGTGTTCATTTTGGGAGAGGAGGTCGCACAATATAACGGAGCGTTCGTGGTCCCTTCTCTACTCTTATATATATTGCAAATATTTGCTGGATGTTATTAACTTCTTCGGGGCATTTAGATACAAAGTAACAAAAGGCCTACTAGACCGATTTGGCCCGAAGCGAGTCATCGACACCCCCATCACAGAAGCCGGATTTTGCGGTTTAGCGGTTGGAGCTGCTTTAGCTGGTTTACAGCCGGTGGTTAGTGACATGATATCTTAATGTAGGAGCCGTACGCTGAATCGTATCTGATGTAGTGCGAATTTATGACCTTCAACTTTGCCATGCAAGCAATCGACCAAATCGTTAACTCTGCGGCCAAAACACACTATATGTCGGGCGGTATCCAACCATGTAACATAACCTTCCGAGGCCCCAACGGATTCGCTGCTGGTGTTGCTGCTCAACATTCCCAGGACTACTCCGCATGGTATGGATCTGTTCCAGGTCTGAAAGTGGTCGCTCCGTGGAGCGCAGAGGATGCGAAGGGCCTTCTTAAGGCTGCAATCCGCGATCCTAACCCAGTTGTTTTTCTCGAAAATGAGTAAGTAAACAATTTATATGTTGTACTACGCTATGGATAGCGAAATCAAGCTAATCAGTTTGACTCTATAGACTCATGTACGGCCAATCTTTCCCAATGAGCGAAGCCGCGCAAAGAGACGACTTCGTCCTACCCCTTGGCAAAGCCAAAATTGAACGCATCGGCAGGGACGTAACCATTGTCTCTCTTTCCCGCTGTGTCGGCCAAGCCATTGCTGCCGCTGAAGAGATGAAGCAGAAATATGGCGTCGAGGCGGAGGTGATCAACCTGCGCTCCGTCAAGCCACTAGACGTGGAGGCCATTATCAAGTCTGTCAAGAAGACCGGCCATCTAATGGCCATTGAGTCAGGCTTCCCAATGTTCGGTGTCGGTTCTGAAATTCTTGCTCTGTCAATGGAGTACGCTTTCGATTACCTCAAGGCCCCTGCTGTCCGTGTTACCGGTGCCGAAGTCCCAACCCCTTACGCTGTCAAGTTGGAGGAGATGAGTTTCCCACAGAATGATACGATCATCTCACACGCTGCTAAGTTGCTCCGGGTGTAACAATAGGAAAGGAACGATAGAACAATCATATGTACACTTTACATCATGAGAGCTGCACCAAGCGAATTGGTTTCATTTCTTCTATTTCCTCCGTAGTTCCTCTTTCAATACTCACGAACCTGTCGATGACAGTTAGGAGTGAAGGATGGAAAGAAAAGGAAACGGATATTAAAACAGAAATATTTAGTAAACCTAGGAAGCACATCTTCTGTGCATTACATAACCAGTTTGCTATCGCCTGTCAACCATTTTTTTTTTAAAAAAAACATTAGACTTTTTGAGCTATGCCTTCGTGTCTGCTTCTAAATTTTCTTGAACAGTTCTCCTCATGTACCCAATTAAGACTTGCGGTTCCTTTTGGATTTTGGCCCTTCCATTTCTGCTTGTATGATTACCTTATCTTACCCACTACATACGACGCATATTATATTGAATGGTAAATTTACATTTTACAGTTACAGTTTACACATATCTTCTGGCTAATCATAGAACCCAAAACACCAACTAGTGATATATTCACTTTTACGTTGCATATTACGGATCAGAACTACTTGGGTCCTATCCATGATTGATGCTGATATGCGGAACTGATGAAGATATAGGATTCGTGGAATTCATATCATCTTTTAGCTGACTGCTGATTATAACTATGGATGCTGCATTATTATGTGAAAAGGAGTGTATATCACTAGTAAAAAAATAACAAATAACAAATATTCCATATTCCATATTCTGAAGCTAACAGTCGTGAGCCTTATATATCAGACAAACTTATGAAACAAGGACATTCAACTAATTACACGATAGCATGGCAAACAAACATGTCATATCCAAAACAATTCTGATACATTCTCCTTCTCTGCTGCAAATCTTAACAAATCGCTATTTCAATTTGATTCTCCCATATCTTCTTACGATATCCCCTGCCTCTTACACCTCATTCCCTAAATGTACAACATGGAATCTTTCATCCTTGCATGAACATTCACTTCACACTCACTTTGCTTTCTCACCCTCACCTTCACCCTCATTCACCTCTGCCTTCTGCTCAAACAACCTGCTCAAATAACACCCAGCCCTTGAAGAAACTAAAGAAGCATAATAAGCCGTAGGACAGATACTTACGGCCCTCTTTGCGCGGCCAAACAAGTAGCACATATTATGCGTCAGGGTTCGACGGCATCTGCGACATTTCCACCAGGGTGAGTTCGACCCTCGACATCGCCGACGCTGCAGCTGTTGACTTGACCTCGTCGTTGTTGACGATGTAATAACGGCCTGGGCGCGCAGTCCCTTGCAGCGCTGTGTGCGATTCTAGGAAGAAATCCCAGTTGCGGACGTCAGTGACTCCACGGTCAACAACGGTGCCATTTCGCGGGTTGAAGGAGTGGTCCGCGTCGCCTAGTTCGGAGAGGAAGAAACGGGCATTATATCGCTTGACGACAATGATGATACTTTATGCGCGGGAGGCCGGATTTGGTGTCTGTGGCCGAGTAGAGGGAGGCGCTCACTTTTGGAGAAGTGGAAGTTCATTGTTGAGGACGACCTGATCCTGGCCTTCCGAGACACCGTCACGGTATACGAGGATATACGAGGATGTTTTCTGGGAAATTTTGCTGGCGGTGCTTGGCCCAGAGTATCAGGCGGGTTTTCAGAAGGTCGTCGAGCACTGAGACCATTTCCTGGCAGGAGGTTTGGATGGGGAGGTCTGCAGGCCATTGGGCCACCTGGCTGTTCATGAATGCAACAACACCAGCGATGCTAGGAGTGTTGGAGGCAGAGCCTGGAGAAGGGTGGGTATCGTCGATGCCGACGACCATGGTTTTGTTATAGGAAATGAGAATCAGCTTTTTTGGCTCCAGTGGTTGTTTACGCCGCCGAGCTTGAGGTTGAATTTGAGTGCAACATGGGAAAAATACATGGCATTAATTGGTTTGGCGAACTTGCTGGCAACGGCGCAAAAGCTGTGCACGCCAAATTTAACATGGCAGAGGTCCTTGATGCGATTGTATTTGGGGCTTGCAATTGGGAGAATAAAACAAGATAGGCTGCAGCCGCGCATCTTTTTTAATTAGTTTCTCAATTTGGAGCTCGACCGCTTGCTCATCGTCCTTTGGAACGATAACAATATTCGGTTTTTCAACGCTCATGCCAACTTCTTGTAACCTGATGACAAAACAGCTCAAAGTCTGAGTCACGAAATTCTGTACCCCAGGCCAAGGGGATTGAGAATGTTGCGATTGAATTTAACAGATATATCCAATTTTGCACGTGTTTTGCGGTCGAAAATTTGTTATCATGCATGTTACAGCTGCCAAAGTAGTGTTTGTCGGCCTGTCAATTTTCATGGAAACTTTTGTACCTGATTTGGGGTCCTTTCAAGACCCTTGCGGGCACTGCAATCACTTCTGGGTGTGAAGCTTGAGCCCAAACTCCACTAAGATGAAATATTGTTAACTTCCAGACAGGGGTGAATAGAAAACATGTCGAATCTACTTACCACTGTAGACCTCCCAGGAGGAGCGACGCCTATAATCTGTGACCCCTTTTAGTGTATTGACTTCGCATTCTGTGAAGACTTTGCGAACAGCAAACCTGATCATTTGCTGAGTTTGGGCGGGGCTCAAAGTCATGTTAGAAGCCTGGCCAGACAATATAATACAGACATGAGGAAGGAAATATATCGGGCGCTGCCTGCTTCCGATATTGATGACTGGAAAATCGGGATCTGCTACAATTATGCCATGAGCTACAAAAGATATTAGCTTATCATTCCCTTTGCCATCCAGGGTAGATGATCACAATTGCGGAAGTAGTCATAGTCGCTCACATAACTACGAGATGTCTCTTCGGCATACCTTGTAAAAGTTCACTTCTCTGGATCCTGTGCTTGTTCTCAGCATTCTTGGCACCTGATCCATCTTGTCGCCGTCACAAACGGTAGCCAGGCCAAGAACTGGTCTGATTGCGAGGATTTTCACGGCCGTCTCGGGTGGTCCTTTTCGTATGAGTGACCTTGACACGGACTGATTTCAAGAAATCTGTCCAACATTTCCATGCTCTTCGTGTCACGGCTATTATTCTTCAAGAATTATTCAACCTCGGAAAGAGGACCTTTAGTGAAACACGCAGCATGTTTAACCTGAACGTTGAGTAGAATGAGGCCGTAGCAGCTCGGACACTGATGGAGAACCCCCACAATGCCCCAAGCCCACCAGCCAAGCTCAGCTTTTTTGCATCTGGCAACCCAACAAGAAAATGATTGTTTGAGCCGATGTTGCTGATATCTTCTGCCCTCTTAGGGTAATGCCCCATTCAATGTTCAGTGCCTGAATGACTCCCTCTTTTCCACTGAATATTGAGCTTGCATTGGTAGAGGAAAAGGCGGTCGACCAGTTCACCAAGTTGCAGAGTCCCAGAAGGGTCGACACGAACGTAGTAAGTTCTAGCGTATGCTGGGGGCTCATCCTCACCCTCCGCGCAGTATTTGATGGAATAAGACGGGGACTCATCAAACCTAAGATTTGCACTGCCGATCAGTATGGCCTTAAGAGTCAGTTGCGATGTTCTTGCTGAATGCAGGAAATTGTTGCTCTATCAAAAGTCAGATTGATCTGCTCAGCTTTCCTACCGATAGGAAGATTTCCACCCCCATCCGAGCAGATGACGATTCCGTATCAGAAGAGAGCATCTGTGCTTCACTGTATAGTTTGGGAATGTTGATTGGATATCTGAGGGCAGAGCCATATGTATTAGTTATTACCGGTATATGTTTATACCCAAAAATGGGAGACGGGCATCTTTCGAGAAGATATTTGGGATTGATGACAAGCTACATCTCTGATTCCCTCTACCCTGACCTCCGCCGCCAACCCCAACCCCAGTCCCCCTACTACCACCACTACCACGACGACGACGAGTGCGATCAGCAAGCATACCAAAGACGGCTTGTCTCCCACCCCCAGCGTCGTGGCCACACCCAGGATCATGGCGACCCCGCCATCATCCTCTCCTTCCCTTCCATTGTGGTTTGCCTGCCATGTCTGAAAAATTATAAGATATGGACAGGACAGAATAAGCTCCCAAGCGCTTCAAGAATCATGTATATGATGTATCGTTACATACGCAGTTCTTGGTGAGCACGGGAGAACGGAGGCACGATGAGCCACCGCAGGGATGGAAGAGCTCTTCAACGGTAAATATATATATACGTATATGTAAATATATACCTGTCCGCCATTTGCAAACAGAAGTAACCCCAGGGTTGTAGACTGAAGCTCAAATTTGAGGGAATTTTTGAAGGTTTCCGGTCTCCACTTCCATCCAGTTGGCGGAGAGTCTCTGGGGTGGTAAGAAAAAGGGAAACAAAAATAAGGGAAGAGGAAAACCTAAACTGGCGATTCGTTATCTCCCTTTTCCAGGCCCATTGAGTATCAATGAAACCAGGGTCCTTCATTGGTGGCGGATCGCTTCCCTTGATTTCAGCATGCCGGCCGGTACTAAGGAAAGGGAGAAAAATGGTAAGGAAAAGAGACAAACCGAAAAAAATAGTTGGAAAAGACGCAAGCAGGAGAGGAGCACGGATACAGCAAATGTAACAGAGGGGCTTTTGATGCCTGGATACATACGTTTAGTGAACTTCTAGTATGGAAGTGTGCCAACGTAAATAAACGACTTCAGCGAGTTGGCAGTTTAAACCCCCCCAAATCAACTCTACCTATGGTTAAGGGTCCTATATTCTGTAGAAGTGACAGATCTCTTTGGCCCAGTGGTATTCTCACAGCTTCGTTTCTATGTAGAAATTAAATCAGCGAAAGATAATTATAATAAGAAACTCCCATGTGTCTGCGGGGTGCGTGCCAGTGCCTTCAGGTTCTGAGCACCTGAAAATGAAGAAATCTCAAGACGAACTTGGGATGAAATGCCCCAAAAAGTCTTCCGGGATTTAGAAACCTGGCGTCTGTTGATACATCGAACACGCAAAAGGCAGCAAAGTACAGATTCTTTGAAGCTCTGAAAGACCCATTCAGTCTACACTTCCGGCATTTTACCGCCAGTCCTGTTCGCTGAATGACCCAGGTTTCAGTTGCTTTCCGGTCCTCGAACCGCTGTACTGCCGCTATTTAAACCGGTCTATCTGCGGTGCGATGGTCACAAGTCTAATGGGAGTTGGGATGAAGGCCGTAGGTCTCAATCCGGATACACCATCGAGCGATCTGTGAACCCAGACTTTGAGGAAGAGTTCGAATTTTGGATGCACCGGTAAGTTGGAGAATATACCATTCTCAAAAGGGCAAATGGATGCCCTAACTACATCATTATCGGATCATTGAGGAAATTGGAAAACTTCCAGAGAGTTATGTTCTAGGACTTGTATTTTACTTATTTAGCAATTTCTAAATATTGATCCACTCAAAACTCCCCACTGCTGCAGAGGCCCTGAGACATCCCTGTGTTCCTCATGCTCAGTATCATAGCTGAGGAGGGGATGGATCCCTGACATACTAGGAATTGCCGTCAATGAAGTGAGGTTCCAACGATTGAGAGGAAGATTTAGCTTCTGGTAGTCACAGAAGGTAGTCTTTCGGGTCCTGGTGAACTGAACTGTGCTGAGTGCCAGAGATGAATCGTTTACACACCCCGCGTCTACTTATGCCGCGCTCGATCTGCCAATTTACAGCCTACTTATTGTGTAAAAAGAAAAAAAATAAATAAATATAAAACGTTGTATTTTTGGTTAACACCAGTAAAAAAACAGAGGGGAGTAGAAAGGGGGAAACGTGATGGATCATATCATACAAGCAACCAGCAGACTTCGATCCATATTACCGACCATATTAAAACCGATAGTTCAATCCAACGCAAAGGAGCTCCATTAGGTTCGCACCCGACGAAACTCAGAAGGGGAAAATTATATCATGAAAATTTTCAGCGGCTATAAAGTAAAGTCTCACCTGCGATGATCAGAAACAGACAAAAAGAAAACTTGAAGCCCTTAGTTCTCATCCTTACACTCTGACCCGAACCTCCTCTCCCTATCAGCAACACTCATACTGTCACTCCCACTCCGATTTCCGCTACCGCCCGCGGTATCCACCTCCGCCCCCTTTCCCACCTTCCCCACCTCCTCCGCAATCTTCTCAATCTCCCCGATCTTCCCCACAACCCCCTCACTAAACCTCTGCATCCCCATCTCCTCGAGCTGAAACGGGGGGATGAATTTCAAACTGGCTTTCCAAAGCTCATCAAACAGCACCCTCAGCTCTCCAGCCCGTGACTTCAGCGCCAATGACACCTGCCTCGCCGCGGCCGCCGTTGTCGAGTTCGACGACAAACCGCTCAATCCTGGGCAGGGAACTAACAGAGCAAGCGACGACGACGATGACCCCTGACCACCCACGCGTAGCGCCAGTGGCTCACCATCAACGAGGTCGGGAGCGCATGCTACAGAGACTGTAGCAGCCGCCTGCTGCATTTCCACCCTTTTCCTCATCTCCTCAAGCTCAGCCTCCATCTCTGCCATGCGATTCTCCATCTCAGCAATGAGGCGGAGTTGGTCCCGCTCACGGATTGCGAGGGTATCGGCGCGCTCGCGCTCGGCAGGACAGGACTTCGCTAAGTTGTATATGTAGGTCCAGTCAGCAAAGTTAACCCGATCAAAACGGATCTTGGACCCGACGTCATTTGAGGAGATGGGAGTGGCGCCTGGAGTGGTGCCCGGCGTTCCCGTTGGTGGAAGGGGGATGCAATGGTGCTGGTGCTGATGCAGCTGCAGATACAGGGATTGAGGTTGGGGCTGGGAAGGCAGTGGGGACGGGCGGTTGGTTTGTGCCAACTGGCCCGGAAGACGATGAAGGTTTGCGAGAGCGGTTGGTGGCTGCGTCAGAGCCCGTGAGTGGGGTTGTGGGCCGCGATGATGTGCTGATCCTGGGCCGCTTGGTTGGGCGCTTTTCTGGCCCAATGCTCATTGAAGTTGCAGTAGCTGTTCCTAGGCTCTTTCGAGCTGATGTTGATGATGGTGCCGAGACCGGTTTCGGTTTCGGTTTGCTGGCTAGGGTGCTTGGTGGGTTCTGGTTTGATGTGTCAGGACTTAATTCATGTAATGAGGATTGAGAAAGGAGAAGGGGGAGAGGAAGAAAGAGGAGGGAGGAGGGGGGGGGGGGGTTAAAGGGTTCTAACTAGATCGGGTCCCGCGGATGTGTTTTCGGTTTGATAAGGGAGATCACCGCCTTCACTCTCGGTATCGAAGTCTTCTAGTTCGCTTTCGGTATAGAGCTTTTCAAGCGAATACCTGGACTTGCGGATCCGGGGTTGCATATTGCTTGGGAGATTGACCGACGAGATATTTGGCTAAAAGGAGGTTACCTATTTGCAATACTCCCCATAATGGCACAAAATTTTGCGTAGGAAAGCGAGTATTTACCAATTCATTTTTATCAGCCAGTTTTCTCGCTTCCTAGGGACCAGGTTAGTTGACTATGCAGGAGCCTAGGATGAGATAGATACGGCATCCCGCGCGATTAATGCAGGGACCAAATTCCGATTTGATATAATGTCACTTACATAGAACTTGAACCTCACTCGCGTATGATAGTTGGGGTAGAATTTCTGAATATAACAGACACAAAGGGACAGAAAATATTCACAAATCAGTAAAACGATTCAGAAAACTGGAATAGGTGGAAGCAGAAAATTTGATATTTCCGAACGCACTTCCTGAAATTCATCCCAGTTCAGCCTGGAGTTCTGAAGCCGAATAACGTAAAGTTCAGCAAGGCGATCAAGTGGCCAATCATCTTTTTTATGAGAATGTTGCTGCTGCTGTGGAGTCTGCAGTGGTGTGTGCTGTTGAGCACTATTCTTTGGTGCAGGAGAGCCAAATGTGGACTGCTCGTCCATAGGAGAATGTAGATTCGGCATGATGGCAGAGAGCGAATGATGCGGTAATGTTTAACTATATGATAAGAGAAGAGACTAGAGCGTTGGGGAACTCAGATGAGGAGGTCAGATGGAGCTGGGATCAGTTGTTGATGTTGGCTGGTTTCATTGACGTCAGTCTACGGTCCATCAGCCACCGTGGTCACTCCCGGCTCTCTTTCACGGGTTAGGTAATTATTGTTTCAGGTGATTAACCAAATGAATGAATGAGATGTAGCAGCGGAGGCCAAGGGCATTCATTCATGGTACCTTCATGAGGTTTGTGCTGAGAAGAATGTTGAATGGCTCGACGAGCTGGCAGCAAATTTATTCAGGTTTACCATCAAGACTGCTAGCGGGTTTGAAACCCTCCTCTCTCTCTGTCTCTCTCTCTCTCTCTCTCTCTCTCTCTCTCCCTCTCTCTCAGCCCGGGGGCGTTGCCCCCCCACCCCCCTACCCCCCTACCCCCCTTTTCTGCCCCCCCAATTCCAGAAGCTCCAGACATAAAATATGAGGCCAACGTCATGTGCAGTATGTACGTACATTGGGCCGACCGCCTCTGGTGCTCGCCTCTAACCGCTTGCCCTTTGCTCGCTATCTCCAGAACTGAATTGCTGGCGGTCTCAGAAGTTAATGAACACGCTTTCCACCAGGTTGGTTTGTTAGAATTATCTGGTTACGTTATCTCGAACAACTAAATAATGATCAAACTCAAACCTAAAGTCCCGCGCCTAACTCGCTAAGAGTTACTGCGCAAGGTGGCCATATCAATGGGTGTTGGACCCACACCCTAAGAATACGCGAAACCCAAAACTGGAATTGGATGCTTTGTTCTATAGACTACTCCTAGCCGAGAGCTTAAGTGGAACCTTAGGGGCGGGCATGGGCATGTCTTCAGTTCCAGCGGAGAATTCCACCTGGAAAGACAGGCCAGCTTGAAGCCCCCAAGATTTTGGTTAGGGCCAAAGTAATTTGCGGCCCTTTTCGTGTCGGCGACTCAAAATTTCGGTAGCGACCGCCCCCGTACAAGATATGAATGGTTCAGACGAAAGGTCAAGGAAGAAGGACACGGCAAGTTTGAGGTTGATGTATTTATTACCAGGCGTCCGGAGGTTGGATATGCATACAACAGACCAGACGGGCGGGACATTACAGATAATCTTATATTGTTGTGTATTATATTTTTAGACTGTTTCTCTGTCGGTTGCCCAGCGAATTTGACCCTAATTCCATGGTTTTACATTTGCTATCAAAAGGAGCATTTTCACCGAGGTCAGAAACCTGTCTCAGAAAGCAAGGAAAGAATTTTCGGTGGAAATTGACCCACGGTTCTATGGAGGGGGATAATCAATCCATGGGAACCCTGGCTAATTAAGTAAAACCGTACAATGGTTCAAAACCTCGCTTGCAATAATTAGGACTTCATTAATGAATTAACGCCTCGAGGCTAAAATATAAGCGCGGGCAGTCTTATTTATAATTCTTCCCACCCAACTCCCGCATCCCCGGTTGTTGAACAATTCAGCCTTTCTAAGTCTCTTACACAACCACTTTGCAAAATGAATGAATACCCACCGTAGATGCAACAGGGGATCCAGATACATTCATATATCCGGCTGGTGGATGCCATGACAGTCGTTACATCAACCAACTACGCAGACCAAGGTTAGAACTCGGTTGTTTACTCAAGAAAAGCTTCCCTTACAGCCGGGGGATTGACAGCAGTTGTTCGCCATTCCAACTGGGCCGGGGGGTTCCTAGCAAAAATGTAGGCAAGATAGTGCAAGTTGTGATGAAAACAAACAGTCCAAGATGTTTTTGTGTCCGGATGCCCTGTCGATTAGGAAAAGACGGCCGTAACTGATCCGTCCGGGTTAAACTAGTTAAACTACGCCCAGTAAAACTGCGGATTTTATCCCATGCACCAAATGTGCTCTCTCTCTCTCTCTCTCTCTCTCTCTCTCTCTCTCTCTGTGTATGTGTGTGTATGTGTGTGTGGGTGGGGCATCAAGCTCGGGGTGATATAACACGCCCAGCCGCCCCATTCTCGGGTCGTTAATATGCCATTATAAAATATCCGTTTCCGTCCCTCCTAGCATCCTCCCTTTATATAATAGGTACATAACTAGCTACTGAGTCTGGATTAGTTATATTCAAATTGTTGTTCACCTACATATTATTATCCTGTTTCCTTGAATGGCTCAAAACCCCCCCGGCCAACCCCGAAGCCGGGACCCACCAAGAAAGGCCAGCAACCCCATTATAGGCGGCTGGTACGCCGATCCAGAACTCCGCATCTTCGACAACAAATATTACCTCTATCCCACTGTCTCTACCGCATACGAGTGCCAAAAGTACTTCGAGGCATTCGTCTCCACAGACCTAGTGACCTGGATAAGTGTCGGGCGCATCTTTGACTTCAAAGATGTGCCATGGAGCACCAACCGTGCCGCCTGGGCGCCCTCGGTCGGCTGCAAAGACGGCCTCTACTACCTCTACTTCTCAGCCGGGGACGGCGTGGGCATTGGCGTGGCTTCTTCAAGATCGCCTGCGGGTCCGTTTGCTGATGTCCTCGGGAAGCCCTTAGTAGGAGAAGATGTGTTTGGAGCGCAGCCAATCGATGCAATGGTATTTATGGATGAGGATGGGCGGAACTACTTGTATTGGGGCGGGGGGGGGCATGCCGTCGTAGCTGAGCTGGGAGATGATATGGCTTCCTTTAAGGGGGGAATTAGAGAGATTACCCCCGAGAAGGAATACGTCGAAGGTCCGTGGATGATGAAGAGGCGGGGGATTTATTATTTCATGTATAGTGTTGGTGGGTGAGTTTAAACCCCCTTTCTTTTCCCCCTTTTTTGGTCCTTTTAAAAGTGTCCCATATATTTAAGATCCCTCCCCTTCCCTTTCCCCCTTACGCCCCCTCCTGTTTATTTTGAAGCTCCTTTTGCATCCTATCACGTCTCGAAACACCCGTTATCATGCTGATGAACTTCCTACAAACGAAGATGGGGTGACTCGTCCTACGCTGTCAAATATGTCAAAGCAGACAATCCACTTGGTCCCTTCGACGGCCCAGCCAAGAAGATCCTCAGTAGTGAATTAGCTATCGGCACAAGCACTGGGCACAACAGCGCCTTCAATGTTGGGGATGATTACTACATCGTCTACCATCGACGGCCCACAGATGATAATGAGCGCGATCACCGCGTAGTGTGTATTGACAAGATGTATTTTACCAATGATGGCGAGATTGGGGTTGTTAGGATTACAAATGAGGGGGTAGACGAGAGACCGTTGAAAAGTGAATGTTGAAATCGGCATGACTAGGGCTGTTCCAGTTCATTGATTTTGCTAGCGTATCTGCGTTTGGAAATTGAGTTGGTAGGTTACGTATGAGCCAAACGACCGTTTGACGGAAGCATGCTATTTATAACTCTCTCAATTAACGTAACTTGTATCGTACACATGTTGTCATACATTTGGAACGCCGTTGCAAATGCCAAATAAATATTTACTGTATCATCCATAACACCCAGTAGTTATTCCAAGGAATCACAAATCCAAAATCCAAATCCAAAAAATAAAAATAAAAATAATAAAAATAATAAAAAAAGCCCCATATTCACAATCATACAGCCTGGGTCATCCCGACACCCCCACAACCCTCAAAACACCCCGTCGGTTTCCTGGGATCGTAATACCCACTGCCATCCTCATCGTCCGTCTCACTCTCTGCGTCTGCTAAATTCCCCTTCCTCACCAATAAACCACCAGGCGCAGTACGCTTTCCCTCTTCACCTCCCGCGCCTCCTCCCTCATCCTCATCCTCATCCTCCCCAAGTGGATTCTTCTTAACCTTGCCAACCCCAACAGCCGCACTCCCTCCTGTCCCCACAGCCGTAAACGAACTCTTAAACCCGCCCTTCTTAAAACCTCCCCCTCCCCCTCCAGGCCCTTTCACCTCTGGCTTCCCCCCCTCATGCACCTTCTCACTTTCAACCCTCACAATCCCCGCTTCCTCGTCTCTTTTCCTTTCATCTCTGCGCGCTCTCTCCGCTGCCTGTGGGTCCCTGGATAGTTGTTTGAGGTCGCGCAGCCGCTTGCGGTGCTGGTGGTCGTAAGAGCCGATGTGTGCTTCGTATTCTGGGTGGCGGGAGTAGGATTTACTACAAAGGGTACAGGTGAAGGAAGTTAGGGCTGAGCGGGCAGATTCTGTTTTTGGAGCTGGATTGGTGAAGCCGCGCTGGAATTTAATTGCTTTGTTAGTTCTGAAGCGGGTTGGGTTGGGGGGGGGAATGGCTTGGGGGCGAGTGAGGATGGACAAACTGGCGGCATTGTTTAGTCTGTTAGATAATGCTCTCCGGATGTTGGGATCTACGTAAAAACACTTGAGGCATCGGCAGTGGTGAGATGTTATTATGTAACCATTTACTTTGCGCTGTGGTGATATTGTAGCTTTATATCAACTGTTCTCACCTTCATGCGGAGTGCTCCGTCAATGAAATGTTTAGGGCATTCTGCCTATGGCAACAAAAGCGGTGAGCGGAGTCCGGGGAAAATAGCTTGCTGACCAATCACAGACCAAGTAGTTAAATAACTGATCCATTGTCAGCTTCATTTTTCCAGCAGATATTCATAGATATTCATAGGTTCAGAGATATGTAGATGTACGGATATGTTTAACCACTCTCTTTGACGCCATTTCCCACTGGTTTGCAGCTTATATCCCTTGCTTATAGACACTCCTTTTTGGCATCTGTTTGCCGTCTTTCTTCCGCCGCATCCATCCCCAATGCAATAAGATATCAAACGAACGCCCAGCAATGGACGAAAAGCCCCACGCTTCTGGCCAGAGAAGGTCAGCTGAGATCAACCAAGCCTCCCCCATATTGCTGCAGGAGCTAGAGCCATCTCCTATTGAGTGGTCTCCGGACTTAGAATTGGGAGAATACTTCCCCAACACCCGTAGCGGCAGTGAAGGCAGATGCAATTGCAGATACAACCCATTCCGATATCTAAATCTGGGTCTGGGACTAAGCGGAAGGGGTTGGGAATACTGGCGTATGCATCGTCCTCAATCTCATGCAAACAAATAATCATCCATCTAACCATTTTCCACCAGTATCTATCCTCCAAAGAACCTCGACCTATCCGCCCACTATCTTTCTAGGGCTACATCTTTCAAACACTTCCATAATCCCTCTCTTCACAGGCTCTGTGCCCTCTGCGGAACCATTCCTCCTCCTGACCCGCCCACTATACCAATCCCCAGCCCTAGAACCCCTCCTCCTTACTATTCCGGTACTCACCCACCTCGCCTCCGGTGTAGCCCTGCGTATCCTTCGTGCCAGACGCCGTACTCGCCTTTACGGCGCCGAGACACACGAACAGCGTAATGAAATTCGCTCTTCCGGAAACTGGAAATACCCTAGCGTCCAGGCGCGGCTGGGGTATATGCTCTTGCCTCTACTAGCATCGCACGTGCTTGTTAACCGGGTTGTGCCTCTCTATGTGGACGGGGGCAGTTCGGGGGTTGGATTGGGATTTGTGGCTCATGGCATTGCAAGGTCACCGTGGCTCATGAATCTGGGGTACGCGGCGTTTGTGGGGGTAGGTGTTTGGCATTTTGCTTGGGGGTGGGCATGGTGGATGGGGTATAAGCGGGAGGTGGCGGAGACCGGTAAGGGGAAGGGAAAGAGGGTTGGGAGGAGCACCGGGCCTAACGGCGGTTTTCTGGGATCATTTGAAACAGGAGGCGAGTTTAGAAGAAGGTCGAGGAAGGTAAGGTGGATTATCAATGGGATTGCGGCGGTGGGAGCTGGGTTGTGGCTGGCAGGTGGTTTGGGGGTTGTGGGACGGGAAGGGCTGGGGAGTGGTTGGGAAGCGAGTGGTTGGGATAAAGTTTATAGAGAGATACCAGTGCTGAGCCGGGTTTTCGGGTTGCAATGAGATGATTTAGGATGGTGTGTTTTTTGGTGCGAGTGTATGTGATAGATTTCTGATGTTGGATTCATTTTTGCCATGTACGGTATAGATAGGTATGTATTTGAAACTCTGGTATTGATTTGAGGCATTTGAAATGACATGACTCTAACAGTTTAGAACCATTCGCATGCTACAAGGGAGGCATTTTTAAGTAATTATATCTACAGGCCAAGAGGACGCTCGATAAGTCCTTCAGGAAATGAGGCACTGATGAGTGGCGTGCATCGGACAACCGAATTTGCATCAATCCAACCTGAACCAAACCACTGCAGCAGATAATCTCAAGACTGTATATGTGTTCTATACCATTTTTATACCGGGTGTGTTTTCCACTTATTATTCAGAAAGGCGACACAGATCAGCTTACTCAAGGCTCGAGCCAAGTCGGCATCCCTGGGTCGGATGCCGTATCGGAGAGGCTTTTCGCGGAAACCAATTATCAACGCCGGCAACCACGGGAACAGGACGTATACAGTTGAAGGGAAAGACATGGAATCGAAATAAACCCCAGAGTTGATTTTTATTTTATTTTATTTTTATTTTAATTTTGAAGGATTTAGCCTTCAAATTAACTTGTTTCTGTAATTTTTCATGGTGGCTGCTGTTTATGCGGTTATTCTTCTGTGAATCCCTGGCCGAACTTAGCGTGCGGGATACCGAACGCGCTGGTAGAGTTTGATGCCGAATGCGCGCTAAATGCCCGAACTTTTGCTGTGCTTCAGAACCGCAACTCACGCCCTTCGGAATAATTACCTGAGAGAGGGGGGAAAATAAAGAAAGAAAGAAAGAAAGAAAGAAAGAAAGAAAAGAAAAGAAAAGAAAAGATCCAAGCAAGGCCATTGTTCGGGGCGAGTCGTTCAAATTATCCTTATTTTTTTATATTTTTCCTTCTGACGACACAGGCTGCAATGAGCTCGGCCCGTACCGTCCCCTATTCCAATTGTCACATAGAAACTCTGTCGGAACTATATGACTCCTCTTATCTACAGTCTAAGATGACCACTCACAAAATTCTTGGTCCCCCTGGTGACGGGATTGGCCCCGAAATTACCGCAGATGCCGTCAAAAGTCCTTTCCGCTTTCTCTTCGCAAAAACACACTTTTGACCTCCGCAACGACCTAATCGGTGGCTGCAGCATCGACACCCACGGCACCCCAATAACAAAGACTGTCATGCAGGCAGCTCTAGACTCTGATGCGGTTCTATTTGCCTCCGTGGGCGGGCCCAAATGGGACGGTGTCCGACACGGCCTGGAGGAGCAGGGCTATGGTAAAATAATTCCCGTGTTTTTGATATTTTAGGATTGCTAGATATACATGAGTAACTATGCCATGTACTCATATATGCGCTCCATCAGCAATGGACGAATGGGGTTACAGCGCCCCTGAAGTGTGAAATAGGCGGGAGGTGAAAATACCCTTGACACCAACATAGAGAGTAAGCTCCTGACACAGATTCGAACTAGAATTTGCACTTACTACCGACAAAATCTATTTCTACGAATTGAATATGCATCTCTTTTTCTGAATGCAAGGTCAGGGGTTCACTTCATGTGACACTTCTGAACTAATCAGACATTCAAAGTCCTACCAAATCCATTGTCCGAATTATCTATTAATAACCTAGCTTTGGTGTGAAGTTTTTATAACTGATATTTTATATCAGAATTTCTTGGGGGAAAATCCTTAAATAGAGTTTTATTATATCCAGGGCGCAATGCTAGCCGTTTAGAATGTATATGGTCCCCCAATCTAGTTATAACATCATGATTTCCCACCCTTTGATGCCCTATTGATCGGGCCCCAATTCGCTCTAGGATTCATCTGGTACCTTGTCAACCGCTTCTTCCGATGTGCCGCCAGCACAGTCCTACCTAGCGCCTCGTCAAACACAATATTCAGGGTGCTTGGATCCGGACCTATACGAGACGGAGACGGCGATCTCCTGTACCCTCCTATTCCTGGAGAATATGATCTCTGTCGCTGCTGCTGCTGCTGTGGAACCGCATCTCCCTCCTTCTGGTGCACACCACCACCGTCTTCAGCACCGCTTTTGCCATCACCACCAGCACTTCTTGATACAGCACCAGCTCGATACAACGCTGCCTCAATTTTCATCACCAGGTCCGAAAACTCTCTCGACCCCTCTGCTGCCGCCAGTACATCCCTCTTCAACCCTCTCAATTTAGCGCCAGCGTCATCCTCACCTCCATCAATACCACCCACAATCTCCCTCTTCCTCCTCATAATCCCCATCCCCGCAGTTCCCTCCCTAATCTTCCCCTCCTTAACCGGGAACTTCTGCCTCACCCACTCACGTATAATCTCCCATATGACATTCCACGGCGCATCCGTGCGCACGGAGCCGGCCTTGGTATGACTACGGCTAGATCTATAACCGAGATGATGCAGGGCTCCGCGCAGACAGTCTTCGGAGATTGTTTGCGTGTGTACAACTTTGCAGACGTAGCTGGGCATTAAGAAGAAGGGGTGAGGGTCGAGTTTGGCTGGGTCAGTGCGCGGTATTAGGAGGGATGGGGAACCCTTTTCTTGAAGTGCGGTGAAAGGGTTTGTTTCCCCATTTGTACCAGAAGGCGAAGCAGCTGCCGGTTCGGGGGCCGGTGTAGCCTCTTGTGAGGGACCACCCATATCCAAATCCTCTTCCAATGCGGTTGATAGCATCCCTTCAATCCTCCCTTTCGTCGGGTATGTCTCCTTATCCGCACCAGGAAGCAAATCTAAAATCCGCTGAATAAATACATTATTATGCAGCGGGCCTCCCCACATGGGTCCAGCAAGATGCAACTTGAATCCGCAATGTTCACATGTAGGTGTCGTGCTGGGGCCCTGCGCGAATCCGTAATGATAAAACGGGTTGCCCTTTCTGTCACTTTTGCGTTTATTGGTGGCGAGCGGCTGTGTTTTCCAAGCCCCGCAACCGTTGTCACATGTATACACAATCATAGATTTTCCAGCGATGAATTTGACCGACGCAGGAGAGCGGTGCATACGCACGAAAACTCTTGCGTAGAAATCGATGGAGAGAGAGAGGAGTGGCTCAATGGATAGACCATATTTGGCACCGGAAGTAGCTATTGCATGCAAGATCAGTCGCAGGCCAGCTTCGTGCGACTGCGGACCTTTAAAGGGCAGGCCGCCGTAGAGTGCATACGTTTTTTCGGGGTACCCGTTGGACGCGAAAACGCTCGCATCCGTGCAGGTGACGCAGAGGAGGCCACCATCAGTGACGGCTTGCACGGCAGCGTCCAGGAAAGGCGCTGCAGTGCCATAGGGATCCAGATCAACGACGTCAAATCTTCCAAAGTGCGTGCCATCTTTGTTGGGTTTGGGGCCTCCGAGGATACTATACATGTACGCGCAGGCATCGCCATTATTGGGTACGACGACATCACCAACACCGTTATGCTGAATGTTCAGCTTCATGGACTTGATGGCGTCGGGGGAGAGGTCATTGGCAACGATGCAGGTTGTGAAGGGGATTTCCTTTGCATAACGGAGAGCGCGAAGACCGGTTGCAGAGAGGGCGTCGAGCACCGAGAAGGAGGGGTTTTTTGTAGGAGGGGGGGGTTCATGGCTTCCTTGAACTCCATTTCCAGCACTGGCATCACCCTCCTGTCCCTTCTCCATACCCTCCCCGGATTCTTCTTCCCTTCCTCCCAAATCCTCAGCCTCCCTCTTCCTCTTTTTCCCCTTCATTCCCTTTTTAAGAGCTGAGGCTCTCATCATTTTCTCCCTTTTCACAATCATGGCATGTTCCCCATATGCCCGGATCGCCAGTACACTCAAGTCGCGATTAAATTGTTGGATAGGATTGTAGAAAACGGACTGAACCTCGGGTTGGTGTTGTTGTTGTTGTCTCTGCTGCTTTTTGCCCTGCCGTTGTGGCTCTGCATCAACCTCTGGTTTACCTCCCTCTACACCAGTTCCAGCTTGCAAAGAGGCAGTGGTCGTAGACGTCGACGAAGCTGCATTTGGTTGTTCTCGCTGCTGTCGAGGAGTAAGAATGTATGCCAACCCCTCCTTGACCGCCTGGTATTCCTTGCCATCATGCTGTATAATCTGGCCCGCGCTCAATTCTGCGCCCAATTCCACCGCTGCGGGGATAGAGCTGGAGTCCTCCGCAGTCTCCGCCATTGCAGATCGGCTCGTTTGCGTGAGAGTGCCTGCGTATGAGCAAAAACGCAATCGCGATCGTGGCCCAAAAGAAATTTGGTATCTCTTCCCCCTTTGTGGAACAAATGGAGATGCGCTGAAAACACTCCTGCGATTGGTCGATGTTATACGGAGCTGTAGCTGTAGTTAGTTTTGTCCGTCGCTGTTAGCGAGCCTGCCACCAAACATAGCAATAATCTCAGTCTATACAGGTGCGTGTGCTTCTTGAAAGTGAGAAGGGAAGCATTGATGGTCTACAGTGTCTTCAACATATATACGGAATAGGATTGTAGGATTGTGTTTGTATTTTGGCATATCGGAACTTTTTTTTTTTTTTTGGCTCCTAGGACAATCAGTCATCACGTGAAATGCTGCTTGACCAACGACTCCCGAGTTTCAGGGGCTGGGAAGGGGAGAAGAAAAGAGAACAAGATCAAAATGAAGGGTGAATGTTCCATTAATGATGATGGCTTGGATTAATATGATTGCGAAATTCACTGAAAAAAATCTATGGAAAAAATCTACTTAATGAGCAGTAGTAGAAGCAGTATTATTACCCAAAAACGAAACTCAACATCATCAACAGCCAACTTCTTGCTTTAATTTCTCCACGGTAAGAATATCAATCAAATGAAGGTAACATCAATACACTACAAGGAATCATTATGCTTCATTCTCATTCATTTCCCAACACCCGTCAGATACAACAAAGTAACTTTTTCACCTCTCAAAAAGAAATAGAAGGTGTGGTGACAAACATCATTACTCTCTCCGTTCATCAAGCCAACCAATGAAGAAGAATACGTGAAAAGGAAAAGGCGGAAATTAGAACTGTACACAAAAGAAAATGAGAGAAATATTAATTATAAATAAATGAAATGTTGCCGTATACACATACACACACCACAAAAAAAAAAAAAAAAAAAAAAAAAAAAGGGGGGGGTGGGTGTTGGCGGTTGGTCTCTATTTGAATCACATCACGGCAACCTCACCTAAGAGCAAACTCTTTATAATGACACAACATTATACAATGTATACAACTATCTAATTTTCTAACCCCTTCTCAAAACTTCGATATTGCAATTGCAATAGCCTGTGTATCGCTATGGCTAATACTAACAGAAACCTCCTTAACACCAACCTTTTTGGCAGCAGCGGCCGCATCACCATGCAACTATACAACCAAATTTCCGTTAGTAAAACTGCTCCAGTTCCAAATAAGACCACCCACCCAGACAAACACGGGTTAAGACTTTAAGACTTACAGTAACAACCGGCCCCCCATTCCCATCAACTCCAATCTCAATATCCCTCAGCGGCGCCCCAGCCCCCTTCCCCTCAACACCCAGACTCTTAAACACAGCTTCCTTGGCACTCCAGCGCCCAGCGAACGAAGCCTGCGGCGACGGAGCACCACGGCAATATTTCTGCTCACTAGCCGTGAAATTCCGCTCGATGAACGTCTCATTTTCAATGCTGATGGTAGCGATACTCTCGACGTCAACGCCCACTTTAGAGTTCTCCGCCGCGGTCGCTTTGGCAAGGGACTCAACCATCTGCCGCGTCTGTTGCATCTGCACATCCTCTGCCTCGGTCTTTTGTTTATTATTCCTGCCGTTACCGTTGCCATTGCGGTCGTTACCAGCGTAACCGAGCGTTGATGTCATCTCATTAAGCTCGACGCGGATATCCGGATTCAGGAAGACCTTCGACTCCATCTCCTCGGCATAGGGTGATTTATCCTTCGCGACGAAGAGACTGTTGTTAATCAGGCCGTTGTGGAAGTAGCGGTATGCTTTCTTTTGCCGCGCTTCGACTTTGCACTTGTAGGATTCGAAGGTGGCCTGGTCGAGAGTGGCGAAAAGATATTTGGGATGAATGCCGATGGCCTGGGTTCCCTTTTGGCCGAATCCGAAGGATGTGACGGAGAACGCCTTGATGCCGTCCGTCTGCAGGCTTCGGCTTGGATAGACGATGTAATCAAACTTCTCCATGACCTTGTCGATGTTATCGGCGTTGCGGTTGCCGGGCACAAGGCCGCTGTTCAACACCTGGAGAGCGCCGTTGAACATGAAACCACCTGCGGCACCCTTGGGATGGCCGGTGAGGTACTTCTGGAATATACCTAAGAGGGCGTTGCCCTTTTGCCGTCCCAGATGCTTCATCTGCTGACAAACGACATCACACTCGTTCTTGTCGTTGGCGACAGTGGACGTTCCGTGGAAAGAAGCAATGTCGAGATCATCTATTGTAAGACCCCAGGTCGCGAGTGCACCACGAAGAGGAGCGATGCGAGAATCCTGTCTCCAGAAATTGTTGCCCAAGCTAAACGCAGCATCCTTTTCTTGACGAATAGCCTCACGTTTAATATGTTCGACTCGCTCCTGCATATACTCGTCTTCGTTAAAAGGTTCGACGGCCTGCGCCTTCATCGCCTCGACTTCTTCATTCAAGTACAAAAGCTCCGACTCCTGCCATTGTTTAATCTGAGCCTTTCGGAGCTCAAGCTGGCGACGACGGTACTTAATGTCCAAAAGTGGCGAGGGGAACTTGCCAGCATTCTCACGGGCGGTGGTTAAAACACCCTTCCCGGGAGCCGGAACGGATCTGCCAATCTTGTCCGTGGCGGTTGCGGTGAAGCCAATGATACCATAGATGGGCACACCCATATCCAGCGCAAGCTGCGCGCTCATGATCAACTGCATACCGCAACCCTGAGACTCCATGAATCCACTCCGAGTCGTGGTAGTGGGTCGGGACATTTCCTGCGGTGTGCGGCCATGGGCGAATTCCTTCTCCGCATTGCTGGTAGCCTGCATGTTCGCGAACTCATACGATCCTTCTTCCTGGAAGTCATCGAAGCCACCCACAAGGCACACACGCGCCTTGCCTTCGACAATAGTTTCGTAGCCAATGTCGATAGACTCGACAGCCGTAGCACAGGCACCGACCGGTGTCTTGATGGGGCCCGTGGAAGAGAGCAAGAGCATGTTAACCCATGCGCTCATGGTGTTGATGAAAGATTCCTGCAGAATATCCTTTTGAAGAGGCTTGTCCAAGAAGCGATCCTTGTACATGCCCCGTAGAGCGTGGGAACCACCGATACCAGAACCAATACAGTTACCAACTTCGGAGATGTGAACGTATTTGTAGAATTCGTACGGATCAGTGATACCAGAGGCAAGCAGCGACTCGGCAGTGCAGACAAGGACATAAAGAGTGACCGGATCCACCTGGCTAATAATATCGTCGGGAATACCGTAATGTTTTGGGTTCCAGCCAGTTGGGATCTGGCCAGCAACAAAGCGATCGAACTTGAGAGCCTTCGGTATCAAAAGATTGGCACCCTTGAGCAAGCGAACAGTGTATTCACTCGAGTCCGGAATTTCGAAAACTTCAACCTTATCACCGTGCGCACGTTTGAACTCCTCAGCCGTCTCCTTGGATGCTTCAAAGGCATCCAGATCCTCCTGCAAAATAACCTCCTGCAGAAGCACCTTATTATTTGGATCATACCCATTAAAGAGCTCTGGTTCAATAAGACGAATACCAGAGTGTGCAAGAATGTACTTCTCGTATTTAGCCTTCACATCCCTATCGTTGACGGGTTCGCCGGTCTTAGCATCAACCCAACCGGAATAGGGTTTACCCTTGATGGGCCCGTTATGGTTTTTGATCAGGCCCATCAGCCACGCCATCTCAATGCAACCTTCCAGAGAGAACTTGCCATAGGCCTCCATCTCCCAGCGAGTTCTGGAATTGCCCCATGGGCCAATTTCAGCAAAACCAGTAACAACAACAACTTTATCCAAGTTGACCATACCCTTGAGATTAGCATTGAGTGGCTCAATCTCCTCTTTCCAGTTGGGCAGTTTGGGGAACTCAAATTTGATATTCGCACGGGGTTCCGTAATGACCTTCTTGTACAAGGCTTCGCTACTTTCGCCATTGACCACCTTGTTCTCCAGGGTGGTTTCTTTCATGACAGCTTGACGAACTGTGCTTGTTTCCGTGATTTCACTGCGAAGTTTCTTCATCAGCGCATTAACGTCGGGCAGGAATTGGAAGCCGCCGTTCAAATCTGCAAAAACAGGCTCGTTCTGGCATAGGTCGACAATGGCTGGTGCCATGAGACCGAGCAAGTTGAAAGCCATTTCCTGCTGTGAGAACGTCCGTACGCCAAGTTTCTCGACGCCTTCGGCAAGTATGTCATTAGAATTCATGAGACCGGTGGAACGGGTCCAGCCAATCACAGCACCGCAGATAGTGAGATAGCTGGCCCAGCTTTCCGAGAACCAGCGGTTGAAGAGCGTCTCCAATCCCAACTTCGATTCGGAGTAGAGGCCATCATTACCAAAGGTGCCGTGGTTGGGAGAAAGAGGTAATATAACCTGTGCAGGTCTCGTTTCGAAGCCCCGCTCCTGCTTTTGCGTTTTGACAAAACCAAGTAAGCGGTAGATGTTGGTCAGCATGACACGATGAGCAAGTTCGGATTTCGAGTCGATGCTATCGATTTCCCGTCCATTCTCTGAGATGGCCGCGAATGGTACGATATAGTCCAGATCCCAGCCTAGGCCATTTTTTGGATCGTAAATGTAGTTGACAAGAGCTTGGACATCTTGTTTACTGCCTTGGTTGAAGGGCACAACAACCAATTGCGATCCCCGCGCACCATAGCGGGTGTACATGGTCTGGTAGTACCCGGTGACCTCTCGAGAAAACCGACTAGTGGTAACTACAACTTTAGCACCACCGCTGATCATACCTTGCAACACCGCCGCACCAATCGATCCGGCACCGGCCCCAGTCATCAACACATTCTTGCCATAGAAGCTGAGACCAGCACGAGCAGCAGATTCTAGCACATCGAGATAGATACCAGTGAGTTTCTTGCTATATTCCCAGCCATTTGCCTCCTTCTTTCTGAGATGGAGGAAAGGTACCGTCTCAACTTTCCCAGGCCGCGTATTCCCATTTATGTTGCCATTCATACGAGATCTTGAAACATTTCGGCTTCCCTTCTTCGCATTATCATTGTCCTGGGGCATGATCTGCGTTTCGTTCATGGACAAGGCACGCAGGACCTCTCGATATAAAGAGGTGAATTGCAGCTGAGACGACTTGGAGAGTTTATGCTGCTTGCGAATCAGCTTGTAGACACTGCGGAGGTCGTTCTGTACTTTAGTACGGTTGCTGTATTCGGAAATTGGCCCGCCTTCCGCCATGGCCTTGACGTAATGCTCGAGTTTTCTGGCGCTTGTTCGAGGAATCTCACTATAATTGATGTTACCGCGTGAATCAATGACCGTTTGAGGTCCAGTGGGGATCGCGACATCCTTGTAGACAGGATTGGCATGGAGAACCTCCTTGCAGTTCTCAATGAGTTGCTGACCAAGCTCCTTTGCGAGCTTGTAGGTTTCACCGCGCTCAGTGGGGCAGTTGTCGATATGGTACTGCATAAATTCCAGAAGGAGAGGATTCGACCGATTCATGATGCGAATACATTGACTGACTATTTCACGATCGACAACCTTCAGTCGGCCGAAAATAATGTCATAATACATGCTGAGCGCATCCTGTCTTGCCCAATTCCAGGACGAATCGTATACTCGAGCCTTGAGAGGGTCAAAGGATGGCTCAATACCAGAGGCGTATGTGTCACCATGTTCCGCGTGCCACAGTTCAAGTTGCGCTTGAAGAGTAGCCTGAGCCTCTTGAGACACCAGGAAAGCTTTATCGCCAGCCCGCAGGTCCCTCTTAAGATATCTCGCAGTAAGTTCGAGCTGCTGCTTGAAGAACGCCCGTTGGTCTTTAGTTAAGGCGTCAATAGCGGCTGGGTCCATCATCATGCCAGAGCCTCCGCTACCTGAATCTGCACCAGCAGAAGCTGTGGAAAGGCTAATGCCGGCATTTGCGGCATATTTGTTGGCAACATCATCCAAATATGCTTTGGCATCTGCTTCAGAACCCAATCGCGAGGCAGGTTCCATGGTCAAAGCGAGCAGGAGAAGGCCGTCTTGTCGTCCGGATTGCAGTCCCCATCTCGTTTCAAGATACTTTCTAACAGCGGTAATATTAAAGCCCCCAGGCATTTTGGATGAAACGAGTCTGGCGACAAGTGATGAAGATTGTTTGCCAAGCTGGCCATTAAACATAGGTTGGATCGCAGCACCCAGTTCATCTAATGGAGTATCTTCTGGTTTCTCTGGTGTCGAACCGAATTCCTTTCCAAGATCACCCAAAATTTCATTTTGAAGGGTAGACTTGCCTGTAGGTTGGTAGCAAGTTAGTTTAACACTTACAACTGTAGAATCTAAATAAGGAAAATAGAAAGGAGAGCAAAAGAAGAAAATAAACACTCACCTCCAACAAGATCCTTAATTGCTTTTGTTACTGGTACATCAGCCAGTGGCTTCTTCAACTTCTGCGCCACAAGCACTCTAAGAACATCCAGAGCTGTGACTGGCGCATCAGAAACTGCCGCAGCAGGTCCAGCTGAGGAAGATGGCGCCGGAGCTGGAGCTGGAGCTGGAGCAGCAGCGGAAGAGGAAGGGGAAGGAGCAGCGGTAGCTTGAGCAGCGGTAGCTTGAGCAGCGGTAGCTTGAGCAGCGGTAGCTTGAGCAGCGGTGGGTGTAGGCTGTGGTTCCTCTTCTACAGGGTCGACATCATAATAAATCTCCTTTGCATCTTTGTTATAGCACAGAATCTGACGTTGGACAGAGGTGGCAGCATCATATGCTTCATATTTGGAGGCGATTGTGCGCCGGGCCATTCCACCCAGGGTATCGGCGGGGCCAATCTCAACAATGCGCTCTGTCCGTTTCTCCTGTAGGATGACATCCTGGGTCTCAATCCATCTGACGGGAGAGGCGAATTGGTATGCAAGAAGCTCTACGAGGAGCGTATGGGCGAGTTCTTGCTCGACTTCGGGACGCATGGTGGGTAGTTGATAGTGGGGAGGTAGAGAGGAAGGAAGAGGAGGCAAGGTAGTTATTGGACGTGATGAGGAATTGGAGGGGTAAGAGTGTCCGGTGATATTAGACAGTCGTAGATCTTTTGTCGAAGATGTGCAGTGAAGTGATAAACGATCAATGACGGGAGCTGCTGTTTTTGCTTTTTCACTCCCAGAGCACAGAGAGAGGATGGGGGAGTATAAAAGAACGGTTGATTAAAGAGAGTCGACAAAGAACTAATAATGAGGGAGCTGACAGAGATCTCTTCTGGAAGCAAGGGGTGGAGATCTTGTCGACGGAGAGGGGGAGGATAACGAGATTGGTAGAGGAGGACGGGGATAGGAGAGGAAGAAGGGAGTTGGTGAGGTTGATGTCTAATGAACGTGATGTTGTTGGGAGGTTAAAGGCGAAGAAAATTATTATGTTGAAGTTTGTTTGTTCCTTGAAATTTTTAGTTCGCAGGTAACTTTCAACTGCTATGGGATTGGCTGCAGATATGGCCCAAACGGGCGGTACCTTACAGCTTAGTCATACAAATACAGCAGATAACGAGGTAGTTTACTAGTTATAACTACAGCAGACATACGGCAGATTACCGGTTCCTTTCTTCCAGTTGGGACACTAGCACGGTAGAAGAGTGGGGTAATATATATAATGACAGGACTAAAACACCCGCATGAAAGGACCTCTGAGTCACAAATAACCTCAATGGGGGCCTGGTAGTGATCCGGGTATGGCCAAAGTACTGGAATAATGATAGGCAGATAAGGAACTAACTAAGCTAATTGGGGTAACTGACAGATGTTTGTATTGAAACTTGGCCAATTCTTATCTCTAGGAGACACGTGATTAGGGTTGTCATAATGGATACACTAACAATCTGACACTAGTAACTAGAATTAACAATTAGTTAGTTACACATATCCGGCTAATAAGCTAATTGGAAGGGTAGTTTAGGGCTAATGCAGCTTGCTCGTCATGAGCTCCATAAACGCTCCATAAACTTCCTGCTTGTTGGGAGCTCTCTGCCCAAGCGACCAGTAATAGTAATCACTGGGAAGTTTTGGGGCGTATAGGCGTATCCGTGCCGTAAAACCCTGCCAAGCTTGCCCCATCCCGATACGCAATCCCACCAAAAGTTCAACCCTTTCTGGGTTTTTGGGGCTGCCCTGGTACCGCGCTAAACCCAATGAGAGCTCTCTGATTCAACAATATGTATTACCGTACAGAAACCATACAAATACACATACATGCCGGTGTTTCTCAAACCTTGGAAATATTTTTTATTTCCCTAATCCATGATGAGGACAGGCAATCTCGAGGTTCAACTTCAATTCTTCCAATCCTCAACCTCTTCTCTCTTGTTTTTTCCTTTCACAATGCTAGTCCACTGAACTCACGGACAAGCGGATTTGCTTCAGCCATAGTTTTGGAATTATTCACTACATATTGTTTGTTCCCTTCTTTGTCCCTTCTCTACAAGCCCACCACTTCATGGTTTGATTGTTGTCGGTCCTGTCCTTCCCTCAACGTCCTCCGTTCTTGTCCTCATCCTCATCCTGTTGGTGACGTTGGGACACTAGATATAGACAAAAACGGTAAGGTAACATTGTTTTGCTAGAAATTGTATTTTCAATTTCTCCTCAGTCGTGCATGGCTGACTTTTTGACAACAGACATCCACCCCAACCCTCCTCGAATAAGATTCCACTCCCTACATCATCATTATCATCATAGCCATGTACGGCACTTCCACTGGCCCTCAAACGGGCATTAATACTCCGCGATCCTCCCAATCCCTCCGCCCTCTTATCCTCTCCCATGGCTCCCTCGACTTCTCCTTCCTCGTCCCTACCTCCCTACATTTCCATGCCCAGGAACTCAGGGATAACTTTTCCGCCTCTCTCCCTGCTCCCACAGATGAACTTGCCCAGGATGATGAACCGTCCTCCGTAGAAGAGCTCGTTGCCAGGTATCTGGGTTTTGTTGCAAGTCAAGTAGAGGAGGGCGAGGACGATTCCCAGGGTTCCTATCTCGAAGTATTGAAGCTGCTCCTCAACGAGTTCGAACGGGCATTCATGCGGGGCAATGATGTTCATGCAATCGCAGGCTGTCTTCCAGGCATCAGTGCAAAGAAATTGCTCGTTGTTCAAGCTTACTATGCTGGTCGTGCGGCAGCAAATAGGCCCACAAAACCACACGAGTCAGCGTTGCTGCGTGCAGCAGCGGACGGCAATGCGCGTCTGTACAGTGTGTTTGGAGGCCAGGGCAACATCGAAGAATACTTTGATGAGCTGCGAGAAATCTATGTTACGTATCCTTTCTTTGTGGAAGACCTCATTTCATCGTCCGCAGAATTGCTTCAGTCCCTCTCGCGGGATCCCGATGCTATTAAACTCTACTCTAAGGGAATGGATATTGTTCGATGGCTGCGGGACAGCGACTCACAGCCTGATACCGATTACTTGGTGTCTGCCCCCGTCAGTCTCCCCCTGATTGGTCTAGTTCAGCTTGCCCACTTCATGACAACTTGTAAAGTGATGGGCAAACAGCCTGGTGAAGTCTTGGAGAGATTCAGCGGAACTACAGGCCATTCACAGGGTATCGTCACTGCTGCCTTGATTTCCACAGCTACCACCTGGGACTCGTTTGAAAAGGCTTCCAAAAACGCCCTGACCATGCTGTTCTGGATCGGAATGCGCAGCCAGCAGGCCTACCCTCGAACTTCGCTTGCCCCATCGATTCTGCAAGATTCAATTGAGAACGGTGAGGGCGTGCCAACTCCAATGTTGTCCATTAGGGATCTTCCCCGCCCAGCGGTCCAGGAGCATATCGATGCCACCAACCAACATCTGCCCAAAGACCGCCATATCTCCATCTCCCTGGTCAACAGTGCCCGCAACTTCGTTGTGACTGGACCCCCCATTTCTCTATATGGTCTTAATCTTCGACTGCGCAAGGTCAAGGCTCCAACAGGCCTGGATCAGAATCGTATTCCTTACACGCAACGAAAAGTCCGTTTTGTCCATCGTTTCCTCCCCATCACTGCACCCTTCCACAGCCAGTATCTGGCCTCTGCTTTCGAACAAATTACAGAGGACCTGGATGATTTGGTGATTCCGTCCAAGTCGTTGCGGATTCCAGTCTATGATACCAACACCGGTGAGGACTTGCGGGCCAAGGACGAGGATATTGTCCCAGCATTGATTCGCATGATCACCAGAGATCCTGTTAACTGGGAGCATGCCACTGTTTTCCCCAACGCTACCCATTTGCTTGACTTCGGCCCAGGTGGTATTTCCGGCTTGGGCGTCCTTACCAACCGCAACAAAGATGGTACTGGCGTTCGAATTATCCTTGCTGGTGCCATGGATGGCACAAACGCAGAGGTTGGCTACAAGCCTGAATTGTTTGACCGCGACGAGGAACATGCAGTTAAATACGCTGTCGATTGGGTTAAAGAACATGGTCCAAGATTAGTAAAAACCTCTGTTGGCCAGACCTTTGTCGACACAAAGATGAGCAGACTGCTCGGTGTAGCCCCCGTCATGGTTGCTGGTATGACTCCAACAACGGTCCCGTGGGACTTTGTGGCCGCGACGATGAATGCTGGTTATCAAATTGAACTTGCTGGTGGCGGATACTATAATGCTAAATCGATGACGGAGGCTCTTAACAAGATCGAGAAGAATATCCCTCCCGGTCGCGGCATCACCGTTAATTTGATCTACGTTAACCCACGCGCGATGGCCTGGCAAATTCCCTTGATTGGGAAACTGCGTGCTGACGGTGTACCCATTGAGGGCCTAACGATCGGTGCTGGTGTGCCATCTATCGAAGTTGCCAACGAGTACATCCAAACACTCGGCATCAAGCACATTGGTTTCAAGCCCGGTTCCATGGATGCTATCCAGCAGGTTATCAACATCGCCAAAGCCAACCCTACTTTCCCTGTTATCATGCAGTGGACTGGTGGTCGTGGTGGTGGCCATCACTCGTTTGAAGATTTCCACCAACCCATCTTGTTGATGTACAGCCGCATTCGCAGATGTGATAATATCGTGTTAGTCGCCGGGAGCGGCTTTGGAGGGTCTCAAGACACATATCCTTACCTAACCGGCTCCTGGTCCCGGCAATTCGGCTACCCTCCCATGCCCTTCGATGGTTGTCTCTTCGGCAGTCGCATGATGACTGCTAAGGAGGCCCATACCTCCAAAGCCGCCAAACAGGCTATCGCTGAAGCCGAGGGGGTTGATGACGATCGGTGGGAAGATACATATAAGGGTCCTGCTGGTGGTGTGATCACTGTCCGCTCCGAGATGGGCGAGCCAATCCATAAACTGGCCACCCGCGGCGTCCGCTTCTGGCATGAGATGGACCAGAAGATATTCTCCCTGGACAAAGCCAAGCGTCTCCCTGAGCTCAAGAAGAAGCGTGATTACATCATTAAGAAACTGAATGCCGACTTCCAGAAGGTTTGGTTTGGACGGAACTCGGCTGGCGACACTGTCGATCTGGAGGATATGACCTATACTGAGGTGGTTCATCGGATGGTGGAGCTTATGTACGTGAAGCATGAATCGAGATGGATCGACGACTCTCTGAAACGGCTAACGGGCGATTTCATCCGTCGTGTCGAGGAGCGCTTTACCTCTGTGGCAGGTCAACCGTCACTCCTGCAGTCATACTCTGAGCTTGATACTCCTTACCCATCGGTTGAGAAGATCTTGAGCGCATACCCTGAGGCGGCGTCGCAGTTAATTTCTGCACAAGATGTCCAGCACTTCCTGCTGTTATGCCAGCGTCGTGGCCAGAAGCCTGTCCCCTTCGTCCCCGCTCTGGATGAAAACTTTGAGTTCTGGTTCAAGAAGGACTCACTCTGGCAATCTGAGGATCTTGAGGCCGTTGTTGGACAGGATGTAGGCAGAGTGTGTATTCTACAGGGTCCAATGGCTGTCAAGTATTCCAACACTGTCGATGAGCCTGTGAAGGATATCCTTGATGGCATCCATAATGATCACATCAAAGGTCTTATTCGCGACGTGTATGGTGGAGACGAATCCAACGTCCCTGTTGTCGAGTATTTCGGTGGCCAGCTGCTTCTGGAAACTGAAGAGGAGCGTGATATCGACGGTCTTACCGTCTCCGAAGATGCCAATAAAATCTCCTATCGCTTGTCGCCTTCTACATCTGCCAGCCTTCCTGATCTCGACCGCTGGCTGCGTCTGCTGGCTGGCAAGACATATTCGTGGCGATATGCAATGTTTACTACTGAGGTCTTTATCCAGGGCCAAAAGTTCCAGACTAACCCCATGAAGCGTATCCTGGCACCCACGCCTGGCATGTTTGTCGAAATTCAATATCCAAACGACGCGAAGAGAACTTTCATCAGTGTCAGGGAGCCCTCGCAATCCGGGAGACTGGTCAAGACTGTCGAGGTACGAACAACCGGCGACAGAGAAATCTCACTTACTCTGTTTGAAGGCCGGACTGCTGAGGGTGGTGTTGTACCCCTGTGCTTCCGCTTCACATATCACCCAGAGACTGGATACGCCCCCATCCGCGAAATCATGGATGACCGGAACGACCGCATTAAGGAATTTTACTATCGCATTTGGTTTAGCGATCGGGATGTTCCTTTCGATACCCCTGCAACTGCCACCTTCGATGGAGGCAAGGCTACCGTTACCAGCCAAGCTATTGCAGACTTTGTCCACGCTGTTGGCAATACTGGAGAAGCATTTGTCGATCGCCCTGGGAAGGAAGTGTTTGCTCCTATGGATTTTGCTATTGTTGTTGGGTGGAAGGCAATTACCAAACCAATATTTCCACGCGTGATTGATGGAGATCTTTTGAAGTTGGTTCATTTGTCCAATGGCTTCAGAATGATCCCGGGTGCTGAACCGCTTAAAGTTGGCGATGTTCTTGAGACAACTGCACAGGTTAATGCGGTAATCAACCAGGACTCTGGGAAGATGGTTGAGGTTTGCGGGACGATCAAGAGGGATGGCAAGCCGATTATGGAGGTCACGAGTCAGTTCTTGTACAGAGGATCATACAATGACTTTGAGACCACCTTCCAGCGCAAGGAGGAGGTCCCCATGCAGCTCCATCTCGGTTCCTCCAAGGATGTTGCCGTGCTTCAATCCAAGGAGTGGTTTCGCCTCGATGAACCTGACGTTGACCTTCTGGGCCAGACTCTTACGTTCCGTCTTCAGAGTCTTGTCCGCTTCAAGAACCAGACTGTTCTGAGCAGCGTGCAGACTATCGGTCAAGTCCTCCTCGAACTTCCTACGAAAGAAGTTATTCAAGTTGCTTCAGTGGAGTATGAAGCCGGCACTTCTCATGGCAACCCGGTCATTGATTATCTCCAACGTCACGGCTCTGCTATTGAACAGCCAGTTCACTTTGAGAACCCGATCCCGCTCAGTGGGAAGACTCCTCTTAATCTGCGTGCGCCTGCTTCGAACGAAACCTACGCTCGCGTTTCTGGCGATTACAACCCCATCCACGTTTCCCGTGTCTTTTCCAGTTATGCAAATCTACCTGGCACGATCACCCATGGTATGTATACTAGTGCCGCGGTGCGCAGTCTCGTCGAAACATGGGCTGCAGAGAACAACATTGGCCGTGTCCGCAGCTTCCACGCCTCCCTGGTTGGAATGGTACTTCCCAACGATGACCTCGTCGTCGTCCTCCAGCATGTTGGTATGGTAGCTGGCCGGAAAATCATCAAGGTGGAAGCAAGCAATCAAGCGACGGAAGAGAAGGTACTGCTTGGTGAAGCGGAGGTCGAACAACCTGTCTCTGCATATGTCTTCACTGGTCAAGGATCTCAAGAGCAAGGAATGGGTATGGATTTGTACAACTCCAGCCCTGTCGCGAAGGAAGTATGGGACCGTGCAGACAAGCACTTCATCGAGAACTACGGCCTGTCCATCATCAACATCGTCAAGAACAATCCGCAAGAACTCACCATCCACTTCGGCGGTCCACGAGGCAAAATTATTCGCCAGAATTACATGTCCATGACTTTCGAAACGGTCAATGCAGACGGCAGCATCAAATCTGAGAGGATCTTCAAGGATGTCAATGAGAACAGTACCTCATACACCTACCGGTCGCCCACTGGGCTTCTCTCCGCCACACAATTCACACAGCCCGCTCTTACGCTGATGGAGAAGGCCAGTTTCGAGGATATGCGGTCCAAGGGCCTTGTGCAACGCGACAGCAGCTTTGCCGGGCACTCTCTTGGCGAATACTCTGCTCTCGCTGCACTTGCTGACGTTATGTCCATCGAGAGTCTGGTGTCCGTCGTGTTCTACCGTGGTCTGACGATGCAAGTTGCCGTGGAGCGCGACGAGCAAGGTCGTTCCAATTACTCCATGTGCGCGGTGAATCCGAGTAGGATCTCCAAGACCTTCAACGAGCAGGCGCTGCAGTATGTCGTGGAGAATATATCCGAGGAGACTGGCTGGTTGCTTGAGATTGTCAATTATAACATTGCCAATTTGCAATATGTTTGTGCTGGAGATGTAAGTTTGTTCTATTCCCGATTTTTCCCCTGCCCTTTATCTAAGCTAACAATTCACCCAGCTTCGCGCCCTCGATACCCTCACAAACGTCCTAAACGTCCTCAAAGCTCAGAAGATAGACATCACCACCCTAATGTCCACCATGTCCCTCGACGACGTGCGCGCCCACCTGGTCGAAATCATCACCTCCTGCTCCCAACTCACCTCCTCAAAACCTCTACCCCTTACACTCGAGCGCGGCTTCGCCACCATCCCACTCAAGGGCATCGACGTCCCCTTCCACAGCACCTTCTTGCGCTCTGGCGTGAAACCGTTTAGATCCTTCTTGCTGAAAAAGATTAATAAGACCACGATTGACCCCAGCAAGTTGGTTGGGAAGTATATTCCGAACGTTTCGGCCAAACCGTTTGCGTTGACGAAGGAGTATTTTGAGGATGTTTATCGGTTGACGAATTCGCCGAGGATTGGGAGTGTACTGGCGAATTGGGCGAAGTATGAGGAGGCGGGGGTTGGGGAGAAGGTGTAGATACGCCCTGATGTAGAAGTTTGGTGTAGCGTTGGGTTGGGTTTGGAAGAGGGGTTTTGCCTACTCTTCTTGTCTGTTGTGTTTATGCTTGTTGTTTCTCTTTTTAATTTTTGAAAATAGCTGGTTAATATTTGCATGGTTTTAAGATGGATGGATGAGTTTTATTATATGTGACTCCGATGGGGCGGTATGCGATCAAACAAAAATAGCTGTTGGCGTTTCTTGTTGTACTCTTAACTATTCTTATCACACCTGCTTTCCATGCTTCTTTTTGAGCTGATAATTTATCCATGTAAACTTTTGCTATTCTACATTTCCTTTGTTGATCAGCAAAAGATTAATATTCCTGTTTAGTTTGATTTGGTCGCTTTGCTTCTTATCCTTTTTCTGTGTAATTTGTGAGAAACTATGAGCACTGGTTCATAGAAATTAGACATATACATAAATTCCTCTGTTGTTACCCTTCACGTAGCTCTCCACATCGCAGATCACTCATCTCAGCCCCTCCAGTTACGTAGGCATACTAATCTTTACATATGTTGATGAAACTCCAGAGCAAAAAGCATTTGCAAGACAATACATTTTTAGCCTTGACAGTCTATTATCTAGCAATCAGGCCTCTTCTCTTCTCCCATGTATATCATCTATTCCTGGTGGGAAAGCGAGTTAAGGGGCGGCAAGGGTGAGCATAAACCTGCTAGGAACACGTGGAGAATATGCAGGGGGATTTAGTAAATGGTTGAAATGCCATTTTGAAATCCGTGGAAGATATCTAAAACAGTTGGTGTATCGCACTGTAAGAGCCATTCAAGGCGGGTGGCGAAAATGAAGTGAAAAAATAAATTCCTGAATACATAAACGTGACAAAGGAGTTAGTTACCCATCTACATACCATACAACACATATAGGACGTAGAAAACACATCAAACCAAACCCAACCGGCAGGGTCCATATCCATTATAATCAACAGCCATCATTACTATCCGCTTAAAAAAAAAAAAAAGAAATATGGAAATCGGCTCAGTCTCTCCAACCTTGTTTCCCTTTCCCATTCTACCACCCACTCGCTACACTGCTTCACTGTCCAATCAAAAAATCCCTAAGAACAAACCAAAGCCAATCCATACATAACCCACCCCAATCGCAACTCATCCACGTACCAATCCAATCACGACCCCTCCTTCAAAACCCCAGGCCTCAACAACCGATCCTCTTTCCCATAAATACTCACATCGCGCACAATAGCAATGAATTTCCGATGATTCTCCTTCGAATCCCCAATACGAGGACGGAATATCTTCAACAACTCCCCACTGGCAATACCCATAGCGGGGATCGCGGAATGAATTTCCGACGCAGTGGGGAAGGTGAGGTTTGAAGGCATCCCAACGGGTGCCGGGACGGGTGTGGAGGGGCGTGTCGTCGGTGCTGGAACAGCTGGACTCCCCGCACGAGAACCATGAGGCGTCCCAGCCCGCGATTTCACGGCTGGCGGGTTGAGTTTCAGTTTCTTAGAAGCTACAGCTGTTGTTCCGTCGCTCATTTCGGCGCCTGAGCCAGCTGCCCGTTCACCATCGCTACCCGATCCGGGTCCGTTTCTGGCACGTTTCCTTCCGGGTTGATCGGGTCCTTGTTTGCGTTGGGTCTGGAGGGCCGCTGCAGGGCCTGGGGAGATAGGTCGTGAGCCAGGTTGGGCATCGTGTTTGCTCTTGGGCTTTTTGCGGGAGGTATCTGTGCCGCTGGCTTCTGAGAGATTGGGGGAACCAGGACGTTTTCGAGTAGAGTGGGATGCTGCTCCTTTTTTGTTGAGCGGGTCGGTGTGTTTGGGGCGGCCTGAGGGGGTATTTGTGCCCTTTGTTGAAACCCCGGAGTTCTTGTCGGATTCCTTGGCTCTCTCTTTCTTGGTGCGTTCCTCTAGCTTTCGCTGTTCTTCTTTTAAGCGCTCGGTTTCGGAATCATCTGAGCTCTATTGTAGGATAAATGTGGTTAGTTAGAATCTGGAATATACTTGGGGTGAGTCATTTTGAGGATACAAATATACACACCTCTTCATCAGAGTAAGGATTTGCATCCGAGCCGCTGCTGTAATCAAAATTCTTCTCTCTCCGCTGAAGAGCTTTTCGTACGCGCTTTCCAAAATTCTTGAGCTCCTCCTTTTCTTTTTTCTCCTGGTTCTCCTCTTCATCGTACATCTTCTCATCCTTAAGATCGAAAATATTGGCCTTTAGTTGATCCTCTTTTATTCGCTTCTCGGCTGTTTTGACATCTTCGTCCTCGTCGAACATCCCAACATGTTCTTCATCGTCAGCAAATCTGTCTTCTTCGAAATCCAAATCATCTCCTTCAAAACCATCACCAGCCCCTAAAAACCCTTCTCTCTTCCCGGTAAATAGTCGGCTCTGTTTGGCATACTGCTCAAGCGCCTTCTTCTGAATTCTAACCTGCTCTTTCTCAATAAACCACCGGGGATCTTTGTTCTTCTTTGCCATGTGCTTCTCCGCCTCTTCAATGGATAGAGTTCTGAAGGGATTTTTGGTGATGAATTTGTACCACTTGTCAATCGGAACCATTCTCATCTTTCCATCGTTTTGAAGAACAAACATCGCATGTGTCTCCGACATGGCTGCTTCATAGTTCCCAACCCAAGTTCCCTTATTATCAAAGTCATCCAGATGCCAAGGCAGCGCTTCCTCATACTTAATCCGAGCTCTAGCCATCTCCTCGGGTGTCATCTCAGATTTGAACACCTGTTGAGTCCGCTGTTTCGGTGCATTGGCCTTCTTTGGTACAGTAGCAGCTGACGGCGCTATTTGTGCCAAATTCTCTGCACGTTCCTTCTCCCTTGCCGCTTTCTTAGCCTCCAGTTCCTCCCGCTCAGCCTCATTGAGCTCACTCTGTTTTCGTGGAACCTGGCCCTCTTTCTCGGTTGCTGGCCCAGTGTTCAAGGTACGAGGGTCGCGGCGCTGTAAACGGACCGGTCGTGTAAACTGTGACTCATCTCTAGGATCTATATTTTTCTTCGAGGCAAATCTGGCAATATGATGTTTTAAGCCCTCTCTCCATGCACGTTTGGTGGTTATCAATGGATAATCAACGTAAGTCTCAGAAAGCAAGGGTCCGCTAAATCCATTTACGGTCAAGTCGTCTGCGCTGGGGTTGATAGGTTTGGGCTTTGCTAAAGGCTTTGGTCTAGGTACAGCTAGTGGAGGTCGAGGCCTTGGAGCTGCTGTCCCGTTGGCAGCTTGACCTCCTGGCTGGCCTTGACCTGGTGGACGCGGTATTGGTTTCTTCTTCGGGCGGACTAAGGGGTCTGCATTTCGGCGACGTATTTTAATGAACGGTCCATTTGGACCAGGCGGAGGAGGGTGACGAGCTGGTGTAGGTGGATTGGGTGGCGTAGCACTCATGGTTAAGAAGGTATTGTGTCCTCGACAGGGTATTATCTCGAGAGTCTATCGAGAACGTAAGATAAACGGAAGTGTCGCAAAGATAGCAACTGGTTAATCACAGTCGTGAATCCCTTGGGGAAACGACTTGTTCGGAGGTTTAGCGGTTGCGGTAAAGAACCATGAGACCTGTAGCTTACATATGGGACGGTTGGGACAGTCGTACAGAGGTAACGGAATACCAGTAGAATAAGCTCTATGTTCGTAGGCAGTTCTCACAGAGATGATGTACTTGTCAGTGAAAAAAAAAAAAAAAAAAAAAAAAAAATATTCTGAGAGAGAGAAACAGCCAGAAGGGAGCAACACAGGTCAAATATATTGTTTCTTTATTGAGGTGAATGAACAAATGATTAGAGGTTGAACAAGAGAGTTTAAGAGATCACATGATATGTCTTATATAAGCAAAAGCTAACTAACGTAATCAATAAGCGAGTCGGCCACATAAGCAAGTCGGCCACTTCTTACCCCACTCTACGATGAGAATGCATCTATGCCTCAATCATAAAGAAAAAGAGAAAGAATTATATTATCAATTATTTTCTATATGCCTAGAGCATGTATGAGCAGTATGCTCAGTAATCCCACATACACTACACTGTGATGCTGTATGTTTTTGTAATTGCAACTCAGCAGTCTCAATCATTCTTTGCTCTCATTTATTAACTCTTTATATAATTCAAGTCTTCTTCAACTCTCAAAGCACTCTCTTGAACTACATATATATAGTCTCTTTCTTGCTTTCTTTTTTGCTTGACATTTTGAGCTCTTAACTCTCTGTTTTCAGCTGCTAAAATAGCAGCATTATGCATTGTCATTTAATATCTCTTGATCAGCTGACTTAGAGCATGATTGATTAAACTAAGTGAGCTCTGTGTACAATGCTTGATATATTCTTTAATTTCCTCAGTCTGCTGCTTTAATTGATGTATATTATGTGATATAACTGTCACTCAGAAGGTCTAAGAGCTGTGAGAGATCTCTGAAAGAGTGGAAATATGTATTATGATATTAAGTTATAAGAATCTGTTCAGAATTGTACAGAATCAGTTCAGCAGCTTTAAAGCTGCTTTTGATATTGCTTTCAGTCAGAGTCTGCATTTGAGCTGCAGAATAGAGACTTAGAAACTTCTTCTTATTAATATAATTGATTTCAAGTCACATTTGATTTTTTATTTGCTGTCTATATGCAGTTTTTAAAGATGAGAAGCAGTTAACTTTCAATGACTGAAGAAGATGAGAGAAATGTGACAGTATATAGAGAATAATAATCTAATTCTCAGTGTAAAATTAATTAAATTCAGCTGAGACATGACTTCAGTATCAGTCTAGAATCAACAGTTGATATCTGCTCTTCATATAGAATAAAGTCTTTTTGTTGAACATCTCTTTTAATCAATACAAGCTCAGCTGATCAGTAATATAGTCATTCTCACTAACTTCAATTACTCAGTCATATAATAGCTCTTCTGTCTTATATTAGCAGAATTGATGCATTATTTCTTTGAAAATAATTATTGTATATAATACTCAGTCAGTTGTATTGACTTCAGTAATAACAGTCATTCATTTCTGATCTTCAGACTGTATAAGTTCGAAATTCTCAGCTCTTTCAAATTCAGTCATCACTCTGACAGTCTTAATTACACTTATCTGAAACTCTGTCTTATCAAAGTTATAGATATCATTTTTCAAAATCTCATACTTTGTAATAATATTTTATATAAATCTAATGACTTACAGATAATCTCACAATTCTCACATAAAGTCTGCTGATGATCATACTTATGTGAGAACTTGAATTTCAGCTCATCATAACACTTGATAAAGTTTCATACCCAGCATTCACTCACTATGAGTGGGGGATTGAATTCTCAACTGGTAAGAAGATTGATAATTTTTTATATAGCTGCAACTTAAAGAGACTAATCTCACTTATTCATGATCAGAATTTATTGAACAAGAGATTTTTTTTCTGTAAGACTAAATTTTCAATTCTTTAAAAATATGTCAACACATGCTGTATGATTATATATACAATGAGTTAAAGTTGTATAAGAGACTTCATATAGCTTGGCTGCAGCTTATATACTTGAAATTTGATCATTTTTAAATGCTTGAATGACTAAAAGAAGCCTTTCTTCCTAAGTAGAGACTTTATTTCTTTATGAGATTGATATTTTTGATGCAGAGCATTTCTCATTGTATGAAGAGTGAGAAGTGATTCACTCACTTATATGATTCACTCACTTATTGATTACATTAACTATTAACTAACTAGTTAACTAGTGTTGAGCAAGTTGAGCACTGATTGCTCTGAGCAGCCACTTCACCACATATGACAAACCCTATATAGTTAGCTAGCTTCAACCACAGTTGACTTAGTTAATCAAACTTTGAGCTTTATAAAGTCTTGCTCTATTCTTCATAACTTTCACAACAACAGGCAATCAAACACACTTAACACTCTTTACCCTGGAGTGATAACTTTACTTGGTCAATGCTTGTGCACTTCTTTGAAGATTGATTAAAAAGTGTTATTTCATCCAATGCCATCTTCTGTAATTGAGTTTCTTTTTTGTTTAGATACCCCTTAAGCTGCATATTCTTGTAACTTAGTCCCACTGTTCAAACCTTGAGATAAATCAAGTTCATCAAACACTTGATTTATCATTTCTTTTTTCTTTCTGCTATACATTTCGGATCTCTGCATTCAACAATGATGATGTCTAGAGCTGGTTGGTCTTTTATGTCAACCCCAGGCAAAGAAACTGATCATAACTATCTTCACTTCCTCACCACATGAATCAAAAAATGGAACATATCCTATAATCATATTCTTATAGCTGAGAAATTCTGTTGCAATTTGATTGTGATGTCAAATAAAGCTGTGAAGGAATTTCTCAAGAAGAGAATTGAGGTATTTGTGAATGTGGTTGTGAATCTTTTTTGCTATGAAAGCTTCAAGTCAGGATCTGTATTACTGACTTTTATTGCAGATTTGCAGTTCATCTCTAAAAATATGCTCTACCATCTGAGAAGTCAAATGCCCACTGTTTTGAAAGAGGCCTTCCATAGGAATGGATTGTTCATGTCATTTATACCAGGAAGAGTGACAAAAGTCTTTGTATGCGATGCATCTGTTGAAACAATGGAAACCTCATCCGCAGCATTACCAACAGAGTTAGCCAACCCAGCCACTGGCGCTGAAGTAGTCGGCCATCGCAAAACCTGTTCAGGAGTTCACATCATCATCATCCATTTCCCTTCCTCAGGCGGTGATCTGGCAATCCACTCGACGGAACTCCTTCACAATTATGCCAACTGTGACACTCGCGTATTGGAGATGGGCACTTTTGTGAAACATTGGGCTACCGCACGTCGAATTCAACGGCCCCTCAACTCGGACCCTCTCTTCGTACGGCTATGTCTTAATGATCCTCCATTTCCTTCTAAACGTCGTCGAACCTCTTGTTCTCCCAAAACCTGCAGCACACCAGCATTGGTCTCCACGAACTCCAGTGGATTGAGGGGTGCGAGGTATTCTATTGGAGAGACGTTTCCGCAATAAAGAAGGCTGCGCATCAGGGGAAATTGACACGCAATAAACAACCGGTCGTCGAACTCCTGAGGGGTTTTTTTGACTATTACTCTGCGGGCAAATTTATCACAGGGCGTCGTCGATTCTGTTACAAGACTGACGTTGTTTCGGTCCGAATCAGCGGTGGACTGACGACGAAGAATGAAAAGGGGTGGGACGTTAGCGAAGGTGGGGAACATGTCAACCCTGCCCGGAGGAGACAAAGGTACTATTTAGCCATCGAGGATCCATTCAGAACAAAGCTTAATGTCGCCGGTGGTGTCAACATGAGAGGTCTTAGCGTTATCAAGGATGAATTTGCTAGAGCAAGGAACATAATTTTGATTACGGATAATGGGGGTATTGGCTACGACTTGTTCCGGCCCAAAGTATCGCCACAGAATAAGCCCAATTTGCAACGCGAGTTACATGACTTGGGTCTTGTAAATACACAATAAACCAACTTTCAACCACGGTTTTCTTTGTGTTTTGATACACTGCGGTGGTGAGATGAAGGATTCATCAGCACCTAAGTGATGGCAGTTTTTCTTCGCTGTAGTAGTACACCTGTGAGCTACCGCATCAGTCATGGTGTAGTATGCTCTGGTACATTGTCGTGGTTGTGTGATAGTTACTTCCCTGTGATTTCTGGTATCTTTCATTATTCTTTGTTGATTCATTTTCTTTCATGTACATCTGTTCAGATCATCATTTGGACATCAATGTCTACAGCGCCTGATCATAAGATTTAATTATGGCATCTCTGAAGTTTCTTGCCTTTAATTCTCTTGTTGTTGATTACTTTGTAACTTATTTCCCATCATCTGGACATGTTCCAGAGAAATTCCTTCTGGTATTAATATCCTCTAGAGTTTACTTTTGTCTATTTATGTTTTCTTCACACACGGTTCTCCTCACACGTTCTCCTCAAGCATATTGCTTATTATGAATTTGTTGCTAGCATGGTTTTCATAGTTAATAATGAAGATTTACTATTTTAAGTCATATTCACATTTATTCTTAAACCGGAGTACCACTCTAGATGCATTGCTCAGCTGGTATCTGCACCTACTCTCATATCATGGCATCATAAGATCATTTCGAGAAGCAATTGTACAAAAACAAAAAAAAAAAAAAAAGAGCCCTTTTATCAACTTCCGTCCGTCACTACCTCCGCTACTCTCCCTCTTCCCCCCCATCTTTACACCTCCCTCTCCACCACCCCTCCAAACCCTCAACATCAAATCTGCCGCCACACCTGTCCCCTTCCATGATCTCCCTTAACTTTCCCCTATCACTCACAAACCACTCCCTCCCCAAACAATCCTTCTCATACGCATTCAAACTCACACCTTCCCACTCATGGGTCTTCAGACTGCGGAAAAGCCCCACGGTCCCCACGGGCGGGTTGAAAGTCGCCGCATTCGCGAACACGCTAACGGATACTCCAGTCCTTTGCTGGTGATCTTCCAAGGATGGGTCCATGATGCGTAAATCGCGCTTGGGCGGCATGTGGGGACGTTTCACGATGGTGGGCGATATCCAGGATATCACGGCGAGGATGTCGCAGAGGTAGTTGCGTTTTGGTAAGGGTTTGGGTGGGTGGAGGAGTTGGGAGAGGGTAAGGAGGTTGAGAGGGCGATTGATGGGTTTGAGGATACCTGGGAGCTTGAAGGGGCGGGGTGTGGGTATTTTGGAGTTTTGGATGATCGTGTGGGCGGTTTCTCCTGTTGGAAGTGATGGGATGGGGGTTGTTGGTTTCCTGGCTTCAGGCGATTCGGGAAGGCCATCGTTGAGTACTGGTAGTTCTTGTGGGATGGATTTTCCTGGCTCTTGCATTGGCGCTGGCTGCCCGGGACAAACACCAGGACAGGTTTGGTGATATAGAGTTTCAAAATCCTTGAGGACTTGAACAACTTCATTTCCAGCATCAAATACTCTGTCCAGGTTTTCTGATGAATATTCAGACTCCTGAGCTTTAAACGCATGGACATATTCTGAAATCTTCATGCCTTCGTCCACATGACTTAACCTAAAATGTTTTTCTGTACGTTTAGATTCGTCAACAACATCGTCCTCATCATTGCCACCATCATCCTTCCTCTTCCTTTTCCGTTCAGCTGCCCTTCTCTCCACTTCATTCCCTCTCGCTGTCGCTGACGCCCACGCTCTTCTATGCCCAGTCCTCGTCCCACCCAAACACCGAAACCCATAAACAGCCAGAAACACCACATGGCCTCCGTCTTCCCCAATCCTCTCTCCTTTCCGTACCTCAAACCGATCCAAGCTCACCACAGACCCCGCCATTATCTCCCCCGTCAGAGCCAAGGGATGCAGCGCTTTCCCCAACAGCGCTTGTATCACCAATTCGCCATCACTAAGAAAAATCCGGAACGATCTGCGTTTCGGTTGCTCAGATGTTGAGGATGGTGATGCTGTTGCCGTGCCGGGAGTAATTAATACTTCAATGACACGCTCAACGCGCAGGATTAGTTCTGATGGTTGATATCCTGTGCGCAGCAGTTCCGCTATGCAGGGGCGGATTTCGGGTTCGGGTCCAAGGGCTGGCGGATAGAGAATGGGAATATGATCCTAAGGAATGGAATTTTAAATTTGTTGATCGATTATAGAAATGTGGGTGGGCAATACGATATTAAGAAAAGAATAGGAGCTGTCGTTTCAACGTACCATAACGATCCGATTGCACCTCCATGGCGGAGATTTGCGCTATTACTCTCAAGCTGCTCTCATTGGAGGCGTCTAAATGTAGTGGCGAAAACCAGAGGACTTGGGGATTTGGTGGGAGGATTTGAACAGGGTAAATAGTGCAATTTGAGAGTGTAAGAGTAGATGCAGAAGTTGACGACCAATTTTATTTCTTGTTCTTCTCAAATGCCGCCCAGCTCTTTTGTTTTGATTCAATTCATAATCTCAAAATATCCGAGTAGAAATCAGCTAACTATCAAAAATACGAGTTTGTGAGATGATCATTGATGACTTGCATAAGCTACAAAGATGAGACGCGATGGACAAGGTAAAAACCTAGTTATATCCGCGCGTTTATTCTGCGCTCCTTAAACGCGCCTAGCGTGGCATAGATTCCAGGCCAATACTCGATAAAATTATATATATATGCAAAGAGTTCATGATCTTTAAACTGTTTCAACCCGGTGTCACCAGCTTGCGTTAGCGAGTTTGTTTAGAGCCCATTGATAGATATAACCCCTCCCTTTTGCTATATCCTCAAAGACCATTAATATGTTATGGATCGGCACTTTTGACTATATGGTTTTCACAGTCCAGCTGTTCTAATGAGAAACTAGCTAGCTAGTCCTCTTTATTATTACTACTACTATGATTGCGCTCCTTAAATATCATTGGATGATACTTATTGTATCAAAACAACTCAACAATCTCCGCGTCGTCATCAACATTATCTTCAATTGCCGCTCTAGCCTTCGCCATTGCTTCCTCCTCCGCACCCCCCTCGCCCTCCTCATCTCGCATAAGCACCTGCACCAATCGATCGCACCCTTCCTGCACCCCCTCATCATCAACATGCAAATGACACTCCCGTATAATCGGATACACTTTCACCTCCCGCATCAGGTCCCTCCCCTCTCTCGTTGTTGTTAGTAGAAGCAATGTTTCTAGATGGGTAGATATGATATCCTTATCAGATTCCCGCTCTTTATTTGGTGGCAGGAGCTGTAGATCCGGCAACATCGCCGCGCTCTCTTCATCCGTGAACTCCTCGGGTCCCGCGAGAGGTAGCAGTACATAAGGGAGGATGTTAACATCTGACTCAGCCAGCAGTTGCGGATGCGATTTGATCCTGAATGAGATATTTTTTAGTGTAGATGCTACACCCTTTCTGCGGATGTGGCTGCGGTGTTCAGTGAAAACGGTGAGTTTGGTGATGGGAATGACAGAATCGTAGTCCTGTTTAGTCGTGAAGTAGGCCCTGCCTTCTTCAAACTTGGATATGTCTGCGAAAAGGTAGGCTAGGTAGTCATAGTCAGAGTCAGCGGCTTTGTTGATACCCCCATTCTGCCCCTTGATGAAACAGTCCATTAATTGGTCGAGGGCTTTGGGGGAGTCGGAAACACCCTTCGGCACGCTGCGGGTTAGGTTTACTATGCGTTTGAAACTTTCTGATTTGGCAAGATTGGCGAGGAGCATAGTGATTTCGTTGACGTTTGATTCTTTTTTGCTCTGTGGTTTCATTTAGTTTATGACTTTTGCCTAGAATTAGGTGCGGGCAATGTATGTAAATACCGTTACTTTGCCCAATAGGGTTTCCAGAAAAGCGTCATCTTCCGCTAATTCTTTAAGAACTTCCTCGTCCCCGGAAAGGTTTATCAAGATTGTCAATGCATTTTTTGCAATGGGCTAGAGGGCCAGGAAACGTCAGTCCGTTCTCAAAGAGTCATTTTCAGTTTACTTGAAATCACCTTCATATCTCCTTTGCAGAGAAATATTGAAGATACTTACAGCATAATCCCGAACAAGCAGTTTAAGGTCGCGCACTGGCAAAAGCTGATGAACCTTAAAAAGTGAGGGCTGTGATATCGAGAATCCAAGAAGGTTTTCACATGCTGCATGGCATCAGCTAAATAGTTAGCAATAATACAGATATACGTGCACAACAGAAGAAAAAATTCTATCATAAAAAAAGGGGGTTATTATTGCATATGCAGCAGGAAGTCTAGAGGAACCTCAACAGACCTATTTGTCTTATCTGAGTGTTTCCATGATGAAGAAACTCGACAAGCTAGTTATATGTGCATACATCGCGCAAGTTTCTACGTCAGTTAACCAAATCGAGACAATGCAAAGTTTTCTGGGGAACCCTTTTTGAGGCCCAATGAATGAGGTATGTTGCATACCTCTTCTAGTTCGGTGGGCATTGTGTGCCCACTATAATATGACCGCTATTTTGGTGAAAGATATGGTAAATACTACGACACGAAATGGAAAAATGTGGCCAGATACAAGAGCGCACCAGTGTAGAAGTTCTCCGGATATTTGTTGGAGAATTACAGGAAATATAACAGTCGGCTCTTCCGTAAATCGATCCTTGTTGCGCTTTTGCGATGCAAAATATTACGACAGAAATAGCTAACTTTTTTATTTTGCTTAGTCAGTGAGCCCTAATTGCAGGTTGTCTTATTAGGTAGTTATAAATAACGAAAGCACTTCACTTATTTTCATGTTTGTATAATTATTATCATATTAATATTTGATGTCCCAGGGAACCTCTCCTTGATTAGACATTATTATTTACTGCTTGCTTCTGGGATTGAGGGCGTTATAACGTCGTTTATTCGGTTTTTTATTTTTTAAAACAGTCAGCCAGCTAAAAACGTCGCTGAAACCCAGGTCCGTCTGCCTTCATTGGATTAGAATTAATACCACAAATACGAAGATTGTGTCGATTCGATTGGGTCTCTAGCTTGCCAGCATATGTTAGGTTCGGCTAGGGCTGTTAGTTAAATAAGTTGCTTGGTGAGAATTATTACTATCAATCTTCTATTTCTTCTCTGCCAGCCACACCGTCACATCTATCTGCTCCGTTCCTCGATGGTGCGTAGCTAGTCCTTTAAGATCAAAGTTCCCGATCCGAGACTTCTACCGAATTCAAGTCCGCCTGAGCCTCGACATTGCCAGAAGCTAGAAACATCAATTTGCCGACGACTGGCCGGCTTAGCATAAGAGATAAGACATATCACAGGCACATAAATCACTGATATAGCTGCAGTGTGGGAAGAAAAGGCATTATGCCGTGCCTTTGTTCGACTGTTCCAAAGTAATGAACGATTAACAGAGTTCGAGACCTTGCATTTTGCCTGGATATCACGAAAGAAGAACGCCTATTGTTCGGGTCTTGGTGAGATCGCGTACGGGCATAACCGAACGACATGGTGCAATGTCTGATGGGGGGAGGGAGCTCTTTTCTCAGCGGCGGAACACTTGAAGAGAATCTGGAGGGGCGGAAATATGGTGTGCATATTGTAAAACAAGCGTTGAACGTTTGAAATGAATGGAACTCCGAGACAAAACATCAGCATGGAAATTGAGTCCGAACCTCGCCGGTACAACAACCAAACGAGTTAGTCTGTAGTTAAAGGGAATTAAGTCATAATCAAGACCCATGATTGCGCAAATGGCACCGTCTCGTTGGTGCATGCAGCATGCAGTGATGCGCTGATTCGACTTGCAGGCTGTTCTTATCCCTCCTGGCTCCATCGCGTCTCGAGGAACTACGCATCATGCAGGTCCATTGACTCGAAACAACGGAGGCTAGTTTGTTCTCGCTTGGAAGCGGTGTGAGATATATCAAGACCGATATGAGCTCTTTTGAGGCGTTCTAGATAACTGATGTATGAGTACACCTGGTTACAGTGGTACAGTCCATAAGGTACCCTGTATCACCCGCAGATATGATTCCAGAATGGTTGGTTGAGTGTCTGGCTATTTCATTGCGAAGAGCAGTTACTGTTATCTTCAATTGCTGTTATTGTGTACCGGATTCTTCAATGTTGGGTGAGATGTTGATGCACGAAGCAGATCTTCGAATTTCTCGGCAATTTTTTGGGGACCTTGAAGATTTGATGGAACTTTGCTTTTTTTTCGGCTTTTTTTTTTTTTTAATTTGTGTTTCTTGCTAAATAAAACTAAATCTCACGATGCACCAGCATCAGGGTATTTACATACATCTAGGATCATCAATTCTCCAAAACTCTAGAATAACTTAATCCGGTTCTACGTTACTACGTCTTGGTTGTCTTAGACACTTGAACTGGGTATATAAATGTTTGGATTCCCTGCTTTTCGCCATTTTGCTGTCTCCCATTTTTACTTTGGTAACTATAAAGTAATTAACCTTAATTACTTCACAATTCTCCACCTTGCTACCCTCAGAGCTTAAATAAAAGAATTGGTTGTTTCGCTAAACCTGGACAGAAACCTTCAATATACTTTTCCCCACCCTTTTTATCTCCCTCCTCTTTCCCGCCCCTTCTCCGCAATTAGCCCTCGCCCGCCTAAACATCAGGACAGTACCGTCAGCAAGAATGGTCGCAGAAAACGGCGTCAAATCATTAGCACCCGATCTCCAGGAGATCCATGATTTCCTCATTGACCTGGCTTACCGGGCTGCGGATATCATCACTGGAGCTAAGCCATTTGTCAATTGCGTTGGCTCGAAAAAGAACAGTAAATCTCTCCCCCCAATTGTCTACATGCGGACCTCTGTTGGAAGATGTAATAACGTACGGACTTCTGGCATATAGCATCCGACCTGGTAACAGAATATGACCGTGCGGTCGAAGCAATGGTTGCCAAAGAGCTCAAATCCAAATATCCAAATTACGAGTAAGTCTTCCCTTTCCCGTGAATGTTAACTTCTGTCCAAGCCAATCGAAGTTTTGCAACCGCACGATAATAACTTAACCAAATCAAACACAGATTCATGGGTGAAGAAACCTACCACCCCTCAAAACCCCTCACAGAAGCTCCAACCTTCATCGTCGACCCAATCGACGGCACCGTAAACTTCGTCCACAGCTTCCCGAACTCCTGCATCTCTCTAGGTTTTGCCATCAAGAAGCGTCCCGTCGTTGGCGTCGTCTTCAACCCCTCCACAAAAGCTCTCTACACTGCCATAGCTGGCAAGGGCGCATATCTGAACCGCAAGACAAAGCTTCCGCTCAAGGGACCCGACACGATTGAGCCGCTGAAGGGCCTTGGAAATGCTCTCATAGCTGTGGAGTGGGGTTCTGATCGCCACGGGCAGAACTGGGAGACCAAGCTCCGCACCTTTGAGAGACTCGGCAAGAGCCGCGAAGAGGGCGGAGCTATGGTGCATTCGATGCGCAGCATGGGTTCTGCAGCACTTAACATGTGTGCCGTGGCCGCGGGGGTACTTGATTTGTATTGGGAGGGCGGTTGTTGGGCGTGGGATGTGTGTGCGGGCTGGGTCATTCTGACAGAAGCTGGGGGAATTGTGGTGGACGGGAACCCCGGTGGATGGGAAGGGAAAGTTGATGGGAGAAAGTACCTTGCTGTCCGTGCGTCGCCGAATGGGGAGGGTCAAAAGGAGATTATCGAGGAGCTCTGGGGACATATGCAGGGGACTTTCGATTATTCTCATTGAGAATGCTTCCTGCAGGATACGTCGCTGATGGAACCATTAAAATGCATTTCGCGGCTATGCTCAATCAATTTAATTTATAATTCTTGGATGGGATTTGAAAGTCGGCGTTTAAATAGGCTTGTCCGGGCAAATTTGACTCTGGGACACGATTTTTATTTTTATTTTTACTTTATTTATTTTATTTTATTTTATTTTATTTTATTTATTTATTTTCAACTCTCCGTATGGGAGTAGCCGAATATTGATGATGTAATGATAAGGGGATATATGCATATTTCTTTCTGCTTCACTCAATATACTTAACCCCTTTTAAATGAGGTTTGGAAATAGAAAGATGCGATTGTGATAGATACAGGTTCAAACCCGGCTGCTAGAACCAGTAGATAGAATCAATCCCATGCTTGTTTCTTTTCATTCAAAGTCTTCTTGCATACCAGTGATGAACCATCATCGATACAATATCCTCTTTCAATCGTCTATTCAGTAAGACTTGAAGTCACAGCGTAGCCCCAATGGATTGAGCAGATACTATACGCATTTGGTCATGCTAGTTTTTCCCAAGGTGCTCCACTAGGACCATAGTAAACGTATTTGTAGCTTGGGCATGGTTACATATTTCCCGTTCAACATTAAAAATGAACAATAATATAATAATTCGTCTGTTCTTGTCTAGGGGTTCCCAGCGTCGCAGCCGTTTATCCACGTGACCCTGCCGTTTTCGGCACCGGCATTCATTAACTAGCCAACCCCCTGCATAGACTTGCTCCATCTCACGCTCAACTTCACACCCAACGACAGGATCTGGAGAAGAAACAAAAGAAGAGAAACCGACCCGGAGTCGGCAGCCTTGTTTTGCTTTTAGCGTATTCCCTCCTCAACTGCTCGTCCAATTGGTGTAACATCTTGGAAGCCCCCTCACCTTTGTGACTCTCGAGGCGGTCAAATATCGATACGACTGGATCTGACTAGGACATCCTCGCCCTGCCAGCTGGCCAGCAACTGTTGGTTTTCACGTTGGCCCAAAAGCGTGGCATGCAAAGCTACCAGGTCACTGTCGGCTCTGTCAACCACCCAGTGGCACTCACCTTTGCCTGTCAGGCTGTTGCCAATCGGCCCCAAAGAACCTATGCATGTTTTCTCCCAATGAATACAGCGTGAACTACTCCGGACTGTCATTTCTTAATCGGCCTAGTGGCCCTAACAAGCTAAATATACCCAGTAAACTATCCTAGGCCCTTCCACCAAAAGTAAAGAAAGAAAGCAAATGTCTTTTTGGGCTGGGGTTGGATGTCTCGTGTATTTGATTGAAGATTCGCGCTGTTGGCCATCGTCATCATAGTCTTTCCCCCCGCCCGATCCATCCACATCTTGCGAACGAACAGTTCATGTATCCCTCGCTGGCGGGGACGTTATGACATGGGTGATACTCTGTGGTGGTGGTGAGGGGCTGTGAGCATTTCTTTGCATTCCTCTTTCTCCCGTTCCAACAAACCCGATAAACATTATTGTAAAACAAGAGAAAAGAGTATTCAAGGGGGAGCAAGGACGTGGGAAAGGCGAGATTAATACCCCTTCTTCTTCCCTTGCTTTTTTTTTTTTTTTCTCTACGACTGGCATGCGGACAAATATGCTGCGAAAGTTATGTTCCCTGAGAAATACATCGTCTCGAAAGGAATAAACTGACTTTCTGTCATATTGATGGTTCCGGGTTATATCCACTGTGCCTGATAGTTTCCAAGGTTACAATTAATTGCTCTCCAGGGTGAATAAAAAGGAAAGAAAAGAAAGAAAAAAGAAAGAAAGAAAGAAAAGAAAGAAAAAGGAAAAAACAAAAAAGAAAAAGAAATCACACACGCACACACACATACACACACCCAAAATAAAACGAAGCTTGCTCTCTGGAAACCCTGTCGAGAGTGTGTTGTATATACAGCTGACTTCTATCCTTGAATTCACGTGGACGTGAACATCGCTCTCTCTATTCACTTGCACGATTAGAGCTCTGGGGGGACGGACGAACTGACGAATAGTTTACGATCCCCACTATTTAGGTACCACCGGAGCTCATCCGCATTACATATCATAATGTCATCTCGATTAGAACGTCATCATCACCATCATAGCCATCATCGATCCAGACATCGCGATGAAGGTGGGGAAAATAAACACCGTCGGCGCAGGTCTCACCGGGTCGAATTTCCGGAGAGGGAAACTGACGAATCCGTTCGTGATAGCCGCCGGAATGAGAACTTTGACTCCCGAACTGCTAAGGGGCATTCTTATATCGATCGTTCATCGAGCCTATCAACACCCAAGCTCTCGAACTCCACCCGAGTGTCTCCACGAGAAAGTCATAATTCTACTGTGGGGAAAGGCCCAGTTCTTCTGCGAAATACTACCCAACGCACCGTGATGGCTCATTGGGAAAAGAAATACCCTAGCAGACGTTCCAGGGTATCTGATCCTCCTCAACACTCTTCTCATACCACAACCAAATCAAGCTCTCCTTCCAGGGGACGTTCTAACCACCAGACAACTAAGATTCCCTCGAAAGCACAGAAAGCTCCACCCGTGATTGCTCACCTTCGCTCGGCGCGGACGGTAGCTGTCAAAGATAAACCAGAGAACCGCCCAGCGCTGGTGAGGGAGGGTGGGAAGAGTCCTAGTGTGTTCGGAACTTTTTTTCGTGGCCCATCTCCTGCTAAGCCCGCGGTGGAGAAGAAGTATGTAGCATGTGAAATTTCATGTTAATGTCAATGCGTGGTTTTATAAGTTAACGCCCTGAATCTTGAAACTAGGGTTACATGTTTGACCTGTCTCTCGGACGACATTCCTATCAGTAAAGTGGCCAAGCTTGCCTGTTCCCATAGAATGTGCGGGGACTGCCTCAAACGCATATTTGAGCTGTCCGTGAAGGACCCGCAACATATGCCCCCCAAATGCTGCACATCAGATCACATCCCTCTCAAACACGTCGACAAATTATTTGACCAGAAATTCAAGATGCAATGGAACAAGAAATACCAAGAATACACCACAAAGAACAGAATATACTGTCCCGCCAAGGGATGCGGCGAATGGATCAAGCCCAGCAATATTCACCTCAATACCCGCTCCGGTGCCACCGGCGGCCGAAAGTACGGCAAATGCTCCAAGTGTAGGACAAAAGTCTGCGCTTTGTGCAACGGCAAATGGCACATGGATAGTGACTGTCCGAAGGACGAAGATACCAGACTCTTTGCTGAGGTGGCCAAGGAAGAGGGATGGCAAAAATGCTTCAACTGCAAGGCCGTGGTTGAGCTGCGTGAGGGCTGCAACCACATGACCTGCCGCTGCACGGCTGAATTTTGTATGATCTGCGGCGCCAAGTGGAAGACATGCGAGTGTCCCTGGTTCAGCAACGCCGCCATCGAAGCGGACCGTCTAAACCATATTGTTATGCGGAGGAGACAGGGGCATTTCCCCAACCACATCCTATGGGGGAACCCGATGCAGTTCCAGCGGCAGATGGATATGGATATGCGACGCCAGCAAGAGGTGAGGGATGAGCATATGGCCAGGCACTTGCACCGCTGGCAGGAGATGGATGAACATATGACCAGGCAATTGCACCTGAGACGCCAGCAAGAGGTGAGGGACGAACAGATGGCCAGGAATTTGCAGGGTCTTTTTGGCCGCATGCATATAGCTATGCCTGGGCCTGGAGGTTACGTGATGAATCCGAACGAGCAGCCCCGCTTTTATCCGGTGCAGATGCAGATGCTGCCGTGGCAGGTCTATGATGAGGGGTTTGTCGCTCCGTTTGAAGAGACGGGCCATATTTTACTCAATCATACGCCTTCGCCACCGCCACGAGATATAAGATACGAATATTACGAGGTCCGGTCGAACAGGCCGCCATATTAGCTTTCTGGGTAGTGGGAACCTCCCATGTGGCAGGGCAACATTGGTGAAAGAAAAGTGTGTTCCTTTGGACCAGATCTTTCTAATATACGGTTACGAACAACGCCTGGACCCACCGGTGATATTGATTGGAGTCTTTTGCTTCCGAACGGTATTAATGACGTCTATGCCTACGCTGATCGTTAGTACAGCACACACAATGCAGGGATTGTTTTCAGCACCTGCGTCCCTTCAATTTTGAATTTCATTCCATCCTTTCGCAGCGGCATCGCATATGAGCATTTTGAATATCTTATATTCTACCTGCTTATCTTCCTCATTCATTCTCAGAGCATATTTTCCTATCTCTCTGTGACCGCTTTATGTTTTGTACGATGCTATGTCCTTGGTAGTTTTTGTTAAGCGGGCTTTTTGTCTGTGCATTTCTGTTTGGTAATCATCATGGGAAGGCGGTCATATCTCTTTCTATTATATCTGTTGCCATTTACCTATTGGAGAAATAATGTTTCAATATTTTCTTGTTCCTTCTTGAGAGAGGAACTGTGTTTTCAATTTATCATCATCATCATCATCATTTGGATATCAACTCGGGAGGATTATATTCAAGTTGTCTAATGCAGGGATTGCTCACTGCTAACCTCTTAGTAATGACGCCTTTATCTATCTGAGGAAAGCCAGGTAGGAATTGTAGTAATTGATTCGTCATGCTCAAGACAACATTTGTATAGAGAGCTGCTTACCTCGTGGGTATGTAGTAGTTAGTCATGTGCTTCCAGGGGCTGATTTCGCGCTTGATGAGCCGGATTAATGTTTTTCCACTCTTCTAAGTTTCTCGTGCAATGAATGATCGAGCCTCTTTAAGAGTATTCTTTTGAAGATTATGAACCACTGCACATATATTCCACTACAATAGCTATGTCGATTAGGCTAGGCGCACTCTCAGACATTACACAGGCTCGATATGTGATTCATCTTTCCGATGGTAAGCGGCTAGTTCTTTTCCGCTTACCCTGCATTGAGCCCTCCACCACACCAAAAGCCAACGAAACCTCAGATGGATGGTCATATTATGCCATGGAGGCAGAATGCCCACATGCGGGAGGCCCCATGGCCGAATCTCAGGTTGATATTGAAGATTCTACTTACATTGTGTCTTGTCCATGGCATGCATATGACTTCAACGTCGAGACCGGAGAGTCTAGTGTGGGCATCAAAACGTGCACTTTTCCCATTGATATCCAAGGCGAGGTTGTGACTTTGAGATACAGTGTAAAGGAGAATGGAGACGAAGATGTGGGGTTGAGCAAAATAGAACCCGTCAGCGAGAAGGTCATGTTGAAGAAGAAGAAGCAACAGAGGCGCGAAAGGAAGAAGAAAACAATGGAGCTTCCTTCGACTGCGACCACTACTTCCGCTGCGGCGTCTGAGCTCCTAGAAGAAGAAGAAGAAGAAGAAGAAGAAGGAGATGAAGGAGGGGGAGAGGATACCAAATCTGTACCTCGCTATCTAGACGAGCACGCCACATTCTGCGATTGGGCTGTTCACATCCTGAACACAGCGGATCCTGAACACAAAATCGAACTAACTACCCACCTCTTCTCCCTCTTCACCAAAAACGAAGCTTCCACCTCTCCACTACCTCTGGGGCGAGGAGTTGTGGCACCCCCGGACCAACCACCCCGCCAAAATAACCTGGCAGAGGTCAACCCCTGGGAAACTCCCAAACCAGGTCGTGGTGGGACGCTCAAAAGCCGTATTGCTATGCTACATTCTCTGGCTAACATCGAGCTTTGGGCAATCGATCTCGCCATTGACATATGCGTGCGATTCTCCACATTTCGAACAAACTCAGAACCGCAAAAGGAACTCCCCCGTACTTTCTTCCATGATTTCCTCAAAGTCGCTGCGGACGAAGCTAAACACTTTTCCCTGCTGCGTGCGCGCTTGGAGCAATTGGGCTCACGCTTCGGAGCTCTCCCTGTCCACCACGGCCTCTGGCTCTCCGCCACAGAGACTGCACACGATATTCGAGCACGAATAAGTATCATCGCCCTCGTGCATGAGGCGAGGGGTCTCGACGTGAATCCCATGACAATCCAGAAATTCCGCAATGCGGGGGATATGGAGAGTGTGGCAACGCTAGAAATCATTCATAACGATGAGATCACCCATGTGACGACTGGGCATAGGTGGTTATGTTGGATCTGTGAGCAAGAAGGGACGGATGCAGTGCAAGTGTTCCGGGAGAATGTTACGAGGCATTTCAGGGGCCCGCTTCGGGGACCATTTAATGTGGAGGATCGGAAGAGGGCCGGGATGGATAAAAAATGGTATGAGGATGGGATTAATCATGCTAATAATGACGTGAAAGTTACTTCATAAGAAAAAGGATTACGACGATGGTTGTGCGACTGAGCAACTGTGTTCTTGTCTTCCTTTTTGAAGCTATGTTCTCCAAAGCGGATAAAGCATACACTTGCCCTTCATCATCAGCAGGAAATTCTACTTTACAAATTTTTCACCCACAATTCCATTTATTGGTAAGCACGACGCTCAAGGAAAGCAGCGGTGTATGATACAATACCAATTCCTTTATACATCACAATAAGCATATTCATCAGGCAAATTTATTAACGCAGTGCATGTACACAGATCACAACTAACATTTCCATGACCTTCAACCCTGGCCAGTACCCTGCAACATCTAATTGGGATGGTTCTACCAACAGTTCGACACAATGGACGCCCAACCCCCATTTATTGGAATTTGCACGCCAGGCAGACTCGGCGCAGGATAGAGAAGCTAAATGTTGACTTACCACTTAACTACCTTGGTGTGAGCCTTTCAACCACGGCGTATATCCTCTACAGAAATACTAACTATCTAAGAAGTATTATCTTGGAGGCTCGTCGCTTCCTCCTAATTTAGGGTTTTAAATTCACCTGACGCCCATAGTTTAAGGTCAACCACGGTTGAAACTCCCCTGAATGCTGGCTTCTGCCTCCTCGGATGCTGTTTTCGCGCTTTAGGTAACCACCAACATCAATGCTTTGTGGGCAACCCGAAAATCTGACAAAGGCGACAATAAGAGTCGAAGCTGGCCGGCTCGAAATATTGAAGGAAATATTGCTCCTAGCGCCAGAGGAGGGATGTTATATCCCAAATCTCTGGAGGACATATATCTTGGAAGGTTACAGATTTAAACACAAAGCCTTCTGGGTAATGTTCAAGATTTAATGTCCGTCAAAGATAAATTATTTGAAATTATTGAGATGTAGGAGGAGTCAATAGTAGGATATCGCAGAGACGAGCCCTGAGACAGTTGGCGTATTCGCCTCATTTTCCGCTCCAACCATCGGAAACTCTGTTTTTAATGTTGGAGAAAATACTACTTATTTGGCGTTTTTATCATAGTTCTGACAGTTTGTGCCATTCTGGGAGCAGATCTGCAACCGGGAGGCGGAGGCTAGATACGGCTATCTAGATCACGTGCAGGATGTGGAGCGTAACAACTGGTCAAATACCAGCGGCTTATAGAAGCTTCGGGGGCTGCAGGGGCCGTAAGCGGATGAGAGATCAACAGTACATAAACAATAATACTATTACTTTATCCTTGTTATTTAGGAAGAGATAGCAAGTCTATATACGCCTAAGTCACGTGTGATGGGCTACTCCATGTTGTAACACCCAACAATTATTTAACTTGTTCCATATTTTTTTTTTTTTTTGCTTTGACCATGATTTTCTTGACAAGAGGATTAATAGCACAACGGTCTAATGGGAAAAACAGCAGCTGGTAACCTTACAAAAAGAGAAATTTAATGAACATATATGCACATCAACCCTTAATTTATCCAATTCATGACCAAACAGAACAGGAGGGAGACCGAAGGTAGAACGGTATAATAAAGTACTTGAAGAGAGTATAAGAAAGGGAGAAGGGGTTTGGCTTAAAAGGTAATATGGTACATAATACTCATAACAAGGAATGACCAACTCCGAGTGTGTCAGGCGTTTCCAGCTGCGGAAGCTCTACCGTGGATATATATGCAGTAAGAAGACATGATATCGTTACATGACGTCGTTGCCTTAGGGGATAGATATCGCAGGGCGAGACGGGCTGATGAGCCTGGCAAATCGTTAAAAACGAAAACCATTAAAATCCCCATAAAGGCAGAAAAGACAAAGAAAAGAAGAACGAAATCCAAAAATCCATAAAGGAACTAGAACCAAGGATCCTCATTGATCTTGCTCAGACGCCCGTTTCGCGCCAAAGTCACCAGAGGAGCAGCCAGCCAAAGTCTCCTCAGTCTCAGTCTCAGTCTCAGTCTCAGCCTTAGCTTCTTTCGGTTCATTTTTGGCATCAAGCGTCGCAGCGCCCAACATCTTTGTTGGAGACTCCGTCAGTTCGTCACTCACAACATGGCTCTCAGTCATATGAGTCACGCGGATACCGCTACAGCGAAAGTAGCCTTCGTCTTGGGAGTCATAAGGGCTGTTGACATTGTCTTCAAAATACCGATCCGTCCATCTAGAGGACTCCTGATACGAGATCCTGGAGTGGAAAGAGGAAATTCGGCTCACGCTGCTGGACGGCGGTTGTGGGTTGATTAGGGTGAGATTGTTGTTGGTATCCGCGGAGTCAGTGTGGTTGGTGGTAGCTGAGGAAGGTAAAGGCATTTCCTGGGGTTTGTTACTTTCCTCAGATGAATCTAATGTGTGTTCACAGCTATTGTTTTCGGGTTTCTTTGCTGATGCTTGACCAGGGGCATCGAATTGGCCAATGACCTCCTTTCCAGATTCTGAGACTGGGTAGCTAGTTGGCAAAGCGCGTTCAGCGCCACTTTCAAACTCATCTGCCGTCTGAGCGGCAGCGGTGTTTGCGAAATGCGTATCGACGAGATGCTTCACGACAGGCCAGCCATAGGCGTTTGCAAACATGCGGCGGACTATGATGTTATTGTGCGCGTCAGGCTCTAGGCGGACGAGGACTTTGCGCCAGGATAAGTCCTTGTGGTAGGCACGGGCAATTTTCTCCTCGACTTTCATGCCACTGCTTGAAGAGAAGAAAGAATCCGAGGTCGGTTTGACTGTTGGGCTGTTGGGTTGGTCTGGAGATTTGGGGTTTTCGGCGGGTGAGGGAAGATTGGTGACGCTGGAAGAGGAGAAAAAACTGCGGTTTCTGACACGGGGGGGCGGAGGGATATCCGATGGATGGTACACACGATCGTGGAAGATAGTTCGCGGACGTGTTGAAGGATCAAGGATGAAATCTGCAGATGGTATTGGGGGTTTGAGCACATCACCGGCTGCTTCTAGAAATGTAGTCTTTGGTGGCGCATGGAGATTTTCCTCCTGGTATAAAGAATCGCCTCTGACCAATCCACTGCGGGGTGACTCGGATGGTCTATCTGTCCATGAGGCTTCGGGCGAATCATCTTTGCAAACAGTCTGACTCCGTTTATAGATTTTTGTGCCCCTGGTATTGCGGTTGTTTTTCCCATGTGGTCTAAATAGAGAAAGGAAACTGGCCCAAGGACCCTGAGAAGGAGGAGAAATATGGTTCACGAGTTTCAACCCAAGTGAGGATCCCGTGATGTCTGACATGTTGAAAAACTGGGATGGCTTCGGAAGTTCTGGAGAATTCTCGAGTCCTTCACCTTGGCCTTCCAGGGGATCACTATGGGCTAGTAGCAGTTCACTTTCTCGAATTTTCGGTGATATGGGTGTGGTCGACTTGCCACTCCTCTCTCGTGGGGGCTCACTATCACCACTGCCAGCATTTGCCATTGGCTTCGTTGAACGCATTGAATTAGTATTAACGTTGGCACCAGTAATTTCAGCCCACCCCCATTCTGCCATGGTTCCCACAAGACCATTTTCCCGTCTAGCCTTTTCAACACGATCAAGACCCCTCCAATCAAGGAAAAGAAGACATGACGTTCGTAATGGAACAATTCCATCATTCACGACATTCGAGTATACTGTACGATTGCGGAATTTCTTCAGCACTACATGAGCGGGGCCGGTTGGAAGTATCCTCAGCAGAGGCTTTGACTTGGGATCTGGTTGATTATGGGAATTAGAGGAGCCGTTTCCCAAGCCTCCGATCATCGCGCCCCATCCACTTCGTACTCTCGTTGGTGCAGTCCAAGAAAGACCAAGGTCTTGGCCAGTCCGGCCAACTAGGCCAAAATCCAAAGCGAACCGGACATATATTGGGTTTTCGTTACTAAGGCCGAGAAATGGGGATGCAAGCGCCACAAAATTAATAGGTTTGATTCTGTCAAAGAACTCGGGAGAGTGTTTTTGAATGTAAGCAACGGCATATGTTTGAACGAGACCGCCAAGGGAATGACCTATGAAGCTGATACTTGTGATTTTGTAAGGATAATCTGAGTTCTTAGGGTCCTGGCGATAGATTGTGCTTCCAGAATGAGACGCATGGCCAGGATGCATTGAATCTTTGTGGCTGGTAAATGCTCGATATTTCCGATGTGATTCTTTGACAGGGAGGTACGGCTGGTCAGGGTATGTCATGAGGAGGACATATTTTGCAAGCCGTTTACCCAGATACTGAATACCTCTTTCAGTGCGAACAGCGTTACCTGGAAACCCTCGAACAATAACATGTTCATCATAGTCTTCGTCATCTTCTTCTGAGCCGGTGCGGGTATTATCCTCTGAGAGCGAATCGGGGAGACATGGGTGGTCTGAGTCTGTTGGCGGTCCGGACTGAGCATCCCTAGCCTTATTCCGTTGCTTCCGTGCATCTTCCCGTGCCTTTTCAGAAGCGGCGTCTATACTCTCTTTAAGATATAGCATGTCCGCCCCGAGGTTGCTGTGTAGTCCATGTGTTAAGATGACGAAATGTACCTTTTTCTGCTTCTTTTGGGTTCCTTGTTCTTTGATAGATTGGCTTTCAGCAGCTTCATGGGCTTCCCTGGCTACGTCCGTTTGCGCCATCTCCAGGTTCCGAAGGTCTTCCTTTTCAGTCCAAGACGGAAAACGCGGGGTGTTCCAAAGGCTAGCGGTATCATCAACGACCAAGTTGATGGCGCTTGAGTATACTCCCTTCACTAGCCCCGAGGATTTCTCAAGGGGTCCCTTTGAGCCACGCTTGGAGAGCTCGCGAACATGGCCAGGAGCAGACAAGACGGTCGAGTTTCCCGCCCCTAATTCCAAAGATTTCAAATCCCTCCCGACAAGGACCTCGAAGTTCACAGCAGCGCTGGTTGAAAAAATCACCTGCGATGCAATTTCGATTATCCAAGTCACGCTATACGGATCCACTTCAAGCGACGACCGCGGGCCTGGTAAATCTGCAGGTCTCTCCGGCACCGAGATTACAGCGTTAAAGGACCCACCAGCCTTTAGATTTGGTTCAAATTGTGGGACGCCACGGGTTTCATAGTCCTCGTATTTCTGGTTGGGGTTGAAAGACGCAGGGTAACAGGAGGTATACAGAGTGTACGGCCCATGTAAGTAAGCTGCACGCAGAGGGATCGCGGATGTATTTCTAGCTTTGACAAAGAGCTCCGTAGGGGTGGGGCGGATATGATCCGCGGAAGGGGTGTATGTAAGAGTAAACCTGATCGTCCCGCATGAGCATAAAAGAAGTTAGCAAGAGAAAATCGAGAATATCCATACCGGACAACTTCGCCTATGCGGACGCTGCCAATCTGGTGGACCAGCAGCATATCAGCGGCGCGTTTGTATTCCGCCGGCCCAACGTCCCAGGAAGTCAGGGAATGGAAGTTAGGGTGGTAGGATGACGACGCGTGTGAGCCGTTATTTGGGAGTTGGGATAGTTGATAGACACGGGGAGTAACAAGCATCAGGGCTCTGCAACCTTACAAACCGCCTCGATGACGTTGTCCAGGAGGCCTCGGGGTTCGGGGTCATTGGCAGATGCATCTGAAATTGAGGCGGCCAGGACTATAGGATGAAGCTGAAAATATACACTGCTGCGCGGGGGACGGGCGGACAGCAACCTCTACAAGTGGCAACTTGTAGGGCAAGTACGGTAACAACGACGCTGCCAGCAACAATATCTGGTCCCTGCCATGCCTGCGCGCTGGCTGTGCTAAATGGATGCGGGGATAGAGGAAGTAGAAGATGAAACACGAGTTAAAAGTTGAAGTCGAGGTGACGAGCAGCGGCGGCGGAAGTAATTAGCTAGTTACCATGTGATAGTTTATGTAATCAGATTTGGACTAACGTAATCGATCACTCAACTGGCCAGATCACTCAACTGGCCATCTTTCCAATTTCAACCCATCATCAACAATCAAAGCTCAATTTCTCAACCACAATGAAAATTCAAGCCTCTAATCAGGAAGGAAAACTTCTTTTGGCCATTAGAGCCTATGAAATCAAGCAAATTTCTAGCATTCAAGCTGCTGCTAAGGCCTATGGTGTCTCATGCCACTCTATCCAATCAACTACATGGAGGCATTCCACGCGTGAAATCCCAGTCTCAACGCCAGAAATTGACACCTACAGAAGAAGAAGCTCTAGTTCAATGGATAATCTCCATGGATGAGAGAGGCCTACCCCCCCGAATTGCAAGTGTATGATATATGACCATTGAGCTACTCAGGGCCCGTGGATCTAGCATATTCTCTAGCATTAAAGAATGCTGGGTGTGAAGATTTATTAAACATCATTCTGAGCTGAAGACCAGGCTCACACACAGATATGATCACCAGCGAGCTCTATGTGAAGATCCAGAGATTATAAAGAGGTGGTTTAGAATGGTGGATAATGCCATGAAGAAGTATGGAATTCTACCTGAGGATACATATAATTTTGATGAAGTTGGCTTTCTTATGAGGGTTATTTCAACAACCTTAGTGGTCACTAGGTCAGAAAGAGCTGGAAAGGCATCTCTTATACAGCCAGGAAATAGGGAATGAGTGACTGTGATTGAGTCAGTCAATGCAAGAGGATGAAGCCTGTCTTCAATGACTATCCTCAAGGGCAAGCTACACCAGACTTCATGATATACAAATCTGCCAGCAGATTGGGTAATTGGGGTTAGTGAGAATGACTGGACCACTGATCAGCTTGGTCTAATATGGCTGAAAGAGATGTTTAACAAGCATACTCAGGCTTATACAGTTGGAAGATATAGACTTTTGATTCTGGATGGGCATGAGAGCCATGTCACTGCTGAATTTGATCAATTCTGCAGAGAGAATGCTATTATAGCTCTCTATATGCCACCTCATTCTTCCCATCTGCTGCAGCCACTAGATGTGAGCTGCTTTGCTCCTCTGAAGAAGGCATATTGCAAGCAGATTGAATCTGGCATGAGGCTTGACATTAATCATGTGAATAAGAAGGAATTCCTAGAACTATATTCTGCTGCTAGAAAGGAGGCATTGAAGAATATGACTATTAAGAATGAATTCAGAGCCACAGGCTTAGTGCCATTCAATGCAGAGGAGGTTCTTGAACATCTATATTATCAACTACATACACCAAGTCCCCCAGGCACATCTCATGAATCTCAGGCCTCCTGGATCTCAAAGACTCCCTGAAATGCTGTCCAATTGAAACACCAATTCAACAAGCTCAAGCAGTTTATCAAGCATTGTACACAAAGCCCGTCTAGTCCTACCAATCAAGCTCTAGATCAACTAGTTTGGGGGTGTCAACTAGCTATGCATGGGGGTGCTCTTTTGGCTCAAGAGAACAAGACTTTATGAGCTGCAAATGAGAAGCAGAAATGCAAGTGAGGACAAGGTCATGTTTACATAGGTCAGGAAGGAATTCTGACTGGAGAAGAAGGATTAGCTAGAGCTCAGACTGCTCAGACTGCTCAGCAGATGGTGGATAGAGGGGTGGAGGATTCAAATCAACCCACTAAAAAGCAAGCACCGGCACACTGCAGCAAGTGTGAGAATACTGGACATAGAGCCCCTGGATGCTTGCAGAGCTAGGATTTAATTGTATATAATTTTTTAATGGATAATTTAGTATAGTGGTGGCAGAATTTAAAGATTTGTTTAATGTACAGTGGGGAGGTGGCCAGTTGAGTGATCTGGCCAGTTGAGTGATTGGTTACATTAGTTAGGTTAACTAGTTAACTAGTTAATTAGTTAGGTAACTTCACTAATTAATAGTGAGGTATTATTGAAATTAGATTAACAGGAACTATTTGAAGCTGATGGTGTATTTACATGATCTAGCAGAAATTCTAATGTTAACAGCATGTTTCAAATAAATAAAACCTTTAATAATTCAGCTTGTTCCAGTTTAAATTATCTTAGTATTATATTATCAATAAAAAATAAGATAGATTCTCTTAATATTCTTATTAATGTTTATGTGCAGAAGAACTAACTTAGTTTGAGTTCAACTGGACTTTTTGGTAAATTCATAACTAGCAAGCTTATTTTTATAAGAATTCACGTTGTTTGAGCTGATGTTGGAATTGTTGAAATGAGGGAGTTGAGAGAGACAACGGCGCATTGTGGCGTGCGCTACGCAATGCCACCCGTTCCCGTCCGCCTCAACATGACTGTCACTCCGCTCCTCCGTCAGCTCCTCCGTCAGCCGTATCTAGAATCAAAGAGTAAGAGAGAACTTAATGCAGTGCGGATTTTCAACTAAGATATCCCATGCTCTGTTCACTCTCAGTCATCAGCCGCCAGCTCCGCAACGCAAACAGCCTTCAAGCATTCAGCTAACTACTTTCCAGTTATCCACACAGTCATGAATGCCGCCTGAGATTCACACACTCAGAGTCTAACCATCCCCAAGTTATTGCCTTGCCCTGGCCATTTTTTGTAGTCTTGGATCCCATAGAACGAATATCCGTGAAAAATGATTCCAGCCACACCGCTTGGTATGTATGACCAACACGTTTCCTACGTACGTTGATAAGTCAAGTCCTTCAAGTCTAGCCAGCAATCTATCATCCCCTTGCGATAATACTTGCATGCGCAACTGGGCACTGAGTCCATACACAATAAGCACTAATCGTGCCCCGCGCACCCACAACTGATGTGGGTGCGCCACAGTGTAACGATAAAAACAGCGTAATGATAAAAATATGGATAATTAGAACTTCAAAAATTAATATCTCATCACCACACTGCTAATCTATGATAATTAATTTACCTATATCATCTGTAGTAGCTGTATTATTTGCGACATGTTCATATATATCATTAATCTTTTGTTGAGTTGAATCTGTGGCATTTTTCTTCAAAGCTCTCTCAATATGTTTAACTCTCTTATAATGTTCTTTTTCTGCTTCCTCCTCTTTACATTGTGCAATCTTTCTATTTGCATTTCTGACAGTGAGTATACCTTCTACTTGAACCTGCTGATGTGTATTTTTAATGCTGTGACATTTGATTGCAAGATAGTAACTCTCAATCACACACTCTCTTATAGCATTGAGTTCTGTCTGAACAAGACTATCTTAGAAAATCTTGTTCAATTGATTGTTCAGATGAGGTGATTTGAAATCAAGTGTATTCTTCATATCTTGCATTGTCTTCTTTGTCACTTGAATATGATGTTGTAGCTTCTCAATTGTCTTGAATGAGAATAACTGTGATGAAGCAGTATCTGAACAGTTTGATTGCAGTGAAAAGAAGTCTTCTTCATATATTTGCAACTCAAATTAGTCAGAGATCTTTGAATCTAGCTTAAGCAGTATAAATTGTGAATTGAATGAGATAATGTCACAATTTATGAAGTCAATCTGAATAATAAAAGATTGAAAAGTCTTTTTGCAGACATTAATTAGATTCTGTAGAAATTGATGTTTTTCATACTGCTCATATCTGTATTACACAGCTTGATTAACTGTCTTTGAATGATAGTACTTATACTGTTAAAAAAATACATCATCTAGAGATTGCAATATATGAGTTGAATGTAAAGAGAATTCATATAGAATAATTTTATGAAGATTGCAGTATTGTAAAAATTCTTCAGTAAGATGAGATTCATAATTGTCAAAAAGCAGTAATTGATGACTGTCTTACTGATGTTTTTTAGAAATCTTATTAAAGTGCTGAATTCATGCAAAGTCAATCTCATCATTGATATAATCAGTATCTGATGTCATAATTGTATATTCATCTGATAGATTGCTTTGTGTATATCAATCTTCAAATTGAGTTTTGAATTTCAAGATGATGAAGAAATTCAATATCTCATCATCTGCTGAAACACACTCAATCACAGTGATCAATTCTTGAGAATATGATGAAGTTATAAGTGAATTAAAGTCTTTAAAAGCAGTAATAACTCATTCTCCACATTCTTGACCCTTTTGAAAGTCAATCTCATCAAAGTTGTAGATATTACAGATTTGAAATGTGTACTTTTGAAGTAAGATTTTCAAATGATCAAATCACATCTTGATGTAGCTAATATTCTCAACAGCAATTCTTTTCAGATTTATTGTCTTCTGCTTAACTCTTTTATACTCATTCAAGCTTTGTATATATTGATAGGTCCACATCTTGCTGACCACAGATGAGGAGGTTAAAAAATCAGTATAATGATATTTGAGAATGAGATTCATGTTATCTTGAATCTGCTCTGCAGTCAGCAGACAATTATTCCTGCCTATATGAGCTATTCACTCTTTTAACACATTCTCCTGGCTCTTGCTAAGCTTCTTGTTCAGTGCAGTCTTTGCATTGCATGTTTTTCTTTCATTGATTCTTGCTCAAAGACATTGATAAGAAATGTTAAATTTGCATACCAGAGGTAGGATTTTCTGTTTTCAATTGTCATTATAGACTTCAATGACACTCTGAATACATTTTTCAAGATCATCTATCTTATTGATCATGGTGGTGGTGATATATTATTATTTGAAGATTGATTAATGAAGAAGTTGATATTTTTATCATTACACTGTTTTTATCATTACACTGTGGCGCACCCACATCAGGTGTGGGTGCGCGGAGGCACGATTATTCTATGAACCTATGTATATCGATCCATGCGAAATTCTATTAAATGCGCCGCAAAGTTCTCTAACATTGAATCCTAAACCCCTACCAACATCCACACCATCATATTCCATCCACTCGACATCAACCCCGTTCTCCGCCCCCATTCCCAACCGGCACCACCAACCTCACCACTTCCCTTCCCCCCTTTTTGACCTCCACCCACCCCCCATCCTCCACAACCACAATTGTCCCATCCACACAAACCCTCCTCCACCTCTCCTCCCTCTCCCCCTCACAGAAATCAATCCTCACCCCCTCAACCTCCTCATAATCCACAACATCCCTTTTCTCCATCACATGCCTTCCCCCCGTAGCCGCCAACTGCATAATCTCCATGATCTCCTCCGACCCCAGCGGCCCGAAATACACAAATCGTAGCCTCCCATCCAGCGGCCTGGATTCAGGCGATATCGTAAACCCCTTTTCTAGTGTCGAGCACAACGTGACAAGTACATACATATGTTCCGTTTGCTTCAGCGGGCGCGTCTGGAGCACCCCCCCCTTCCCCTTTGTAGTGGTAACCATAACCTGCCCCTTATACACATGCGCCGGACTCCCATCGGACGGGAACAGCAATTCCTTTGCTGCCATGTGAAACCTCTCACGCCCGAAACGGCGGTACTCAGCAGTATCGCTATCCGCAACAAGCGACGCGTGCATGCCCCAACTAAACACTACAACACCGAAGATCTCCAGCCCCTTACCACCTTCACCTCCATCTCCACCACAGATCAGCTCTCTGCCCCCGCGCCCCCCCTCATCCGTCACATACCTTGCCCCCTCCGAAAACCCCACCCGAAACGTCGGCAGCCCCTTTTCCACCCCTCCCACTAACACCCTCAGCCCCACCGTCACATCCCGCCCAGAAATAATCTCCGCGGAATTAGCCATGGCATTCCCCGTCCCCATCGGCACCAGACACACAACAGGACACCTAAAGACATCACTGCTGCGACACTCCGACAAGAGCACTTGGATAAGATCAACTAAGCCCCCATCCCCCGCCAGGAGGATGATGGTCTGCTCAATCCCTAGCTGGGCGCGGGGGAGAAAGATGCACTGGGCGAGCTGGGTGATTGTCTGCGGTGACTGGGTGAGATGGGTGCAGTAGTCACTGTGTTCGGCGAGGTTGAGAAATGCTAAGAGGGGCTTCAGGGCTGTGGTGTAGAAGGAGGAGGCGCGCTGGGTGCCTGATTTCGTGGATATGATGATGTGCAAGTTGGGTTCATGGGCGGTGGTGGAGGGGTAGAGATGGTGATGTGGCTTATGCCCATGGGGCGGCCGCGGCTTGAAGACAAATTGACTGAGGGGCGCGGGGCATTCGCCAGCCGACTCGAATCTTTTTAATCTATACTGCTGTTCTGGCTGCTCGTCGAGCGCAGAAGAGGAGGGAGGGGAGATGGAATCTTCCAGCCAAATATAAGATAGTAGCTTCTTGTTCTCAGGACAGGGGACGATTGCAACAATCTGACTCCTCTGAACCGTGTGTTCTTTGCCGGACGACCCCTCTCCCGTCCATGTAAGGCTCTCTGAGAAGCTGTCGTCGGAAATACTGCTGAGATCCACGAGTCCTATGGAGGGGATGGACGTTGGTCCCATTTTTAAAATCAGGCACGTCTACCGAGCTAGAAAACAGGGGGAATGAGAAAGGTTAATACAAAGGGACCAAGATGCGAAATAGGTACAGATAACGCATATAGGGAAATACGTAGATCCTGGAAGTCTGACTTGTTTCGAACGAATGATTCCATGAAGCTTATCATCCAATCTGACAACTTGGTATGAGAATACATAGATTCATCTATAGTTTTTGCCGCTCTCAAACAAAATCCGCTTCTCAATCCTGTCTATTCCATCTATCTATGTACTTCCTGCATCTCACCAAAAATAACTTTTCCGCAGAATATCCATCCAAATGAAATACATCCGTCTCCCAATGCCACACCGTCCTCTTTAAAAAGTGGAAAAAACAAAAAAACTATTTAGAGCCCATACAATACAAACAAGGCACAAAATATAAGCAAAAAGAGCTAAAAATAAAAATAAATAAAACTAAAAATAAATAAATTAAATAAATTTAAAAAAGGCAGTTCATCATCAACCCGACCTGCTGAACACCTAAATGTAAAAAATCCACATCTTCATACTTCACTACTGAACCACCTCCCCTGCCGCTGCCATCACTGTATCATCAACCTTCGCAGCAGCATGCTTATCGCTGAGGTTCACTGCAATGAACGACTTGGGCAATTTGACCCTATACAGCATACAACGCACCCCGTTAGGCCAATATTCATAACCAGCAAAATATATATATAAATTAAAAATGAAAATAAAAAAACTCACGTGTCAAACTTCGCCTTCAATGTTTCAATAACCTCCTTCCAATCCTGATGCGCTGTCAAACTCCTCCGCGGCGCACACCCAATCGCATGCCGCGAATCCAGCTGCACATCCAGTGGATCAAACGTGTGACAACCAGGACTAATCGAGATACGAATCGAATACGAAAACGTCGCCGCCTCGCTGTCCCACGCCTCGTAGAGCTCAAAGCATATCTGCGACAGATAGTCTAGTTCGGGAATGGCGCGGCGGGCGATCTTGGTCTGTATACCACCCTCCAAGATGCAGTTGAGAAGTGTATAGATGTGCGATTCCTTCGTGAAGTAGAAAAATGACTTGGCGTCTGGAGATGCTTGGACTTCTTCGAGGTCCATGACTATTTCTCGGAGGAGGGGGAGGGAGGTTAGGAGGCCTATTTCTAGTTTCTCGTCGTCGTCTATTCCGTATTCTTGCGGTGTGACGAAGTCGAAGAGCACCTTGGCGAATTTGTAGAGTTGGCGGAGTCTGGAGAGGCGTTTGTCTAACTTAGCTTTCGTCTGGTTTGAACCCCCGTAAAGTTTGAAATAGGAATCGTAAGAATCCTCCAGTGGACCCATCGGTTGCATTAGAGAGAGGTCAGCAACAGACCTCCTTTTAAGCCCCAGACGCTGGACGAAGGTATTGTTGTTCTTATCCTCGGCTTTCTCCTTTTCCTTTTCCGCCGCACAAACCTCCCCTCCACCTCCCCCTTCTTGCCCAGATGGAGACAACCTCTGTCCCCTTACGGCACCCAACTCCCCCTTCTCCGAACTAGCAGACCGAGACTTCACATCCGTGCTCAAACTCATCTGCTTCCCAACCTCGCCTGTCTGCAGCATACTCTCCGGAGGCAAAAAGACCCACTCCAAAAACGGCCGATTATGCAATGCGTCGAACTTCATACTATCATACAACTCCGAAAGTTTCCCCGGGTCAACCTTCTCCGTATCGCAGAACTCAGCGAATAGTTTCTCCCATCTCTCCTTGAACAGCTGCGGATCTTCGCCCGCGCACCAGCGTCCCTGAATGGATGAGAGAATCGGTGCCGGTGTGTCCTGGTCTGTCTTCCCTTGAATATCAATGGTACTTGCAGTCGTAGTAGTGGTGGTAGTGGTAGTGGTAGTGGTAGTGGTAGTAGTGGCTGGAGAAACTGAAGCATCACCCCGTTCCAGTCGCGCAAAGTTATACCTCATAACTGTTCGATGGAACTTCATCAGCTCAACAACAGTCGACAAGACGATAGAAGGTTCCGGGAAATTTTCCTTCGGCCACGCAAACTGCGGCGGCGCCGAATTCCCCTCCCTCAAAAGCAATTTAAGCTTCTTCTTCACCTTATCCATAACATCCTTAGCTGCATTGGAATCATCCAACAAATCCTTTCGAACTTGTACGAAATCCTCAGGCACATCCTTCTGATCCAGGAACGCGGAGGCGAATATTTGGGCTAATAGAATCGAATAGAAAACAAAGACAGCTCAGTATTAAAATGGAGCTAGACAAAACGGGAAACCAATCAAACAGCAACGGCGGAACTTACCACTGGTACTAACCCTCCTCTCTGAACTTGTGAAAATGCTCACATCATTCAGTGCCTCTTTATTCATCAACTTCAAGTCATCACGCATATTAAGCCCGACATCTTGTGACTGGTATCGCGCAGCATGTGTTGGTTCACCACCCCATTTAATCACCAGCTGAAGCTTATCGAGAATCAGATCATTCTCCACCGCTGAAAATCGCGAAAAGGTAGGACTCGATAGGGAGTTGCTCCACGTTTGCGATCGAGAGAGAAATGGCTCTTCATTTTCATCTTCTGTTTCCCCAGCAGCTTCGGCACCTTCCTCTCGAGATACTTCTCTAGATACATTGAAACTCAGAGAGTTTTCGGAAGCCGAACTTGGCGGGTTACCAGAGGGAGCCGCTAGCCGATCCCGCATCTCATCCGGATATCTCTGCCTAAACATCGGCTTGATCTGAACTTTAGTCCCCGGCCATTTCCCCTTATGCTGCAGGGACGTCTGAAGAAGCTTCAATTTCTCCATATCCTCAATCCCCTGCTCCATCGCAATCATGACAGCATCAGAAACACAGCGCAGCGCCATCTCGCCTTTGATGACAACTTCTTCCTGATGTCCCCTAAGCAGGTCGATGAAAGGTTGTGTATGGAAAGTAAACTTGAATTTCTGTTTTGGGGTCCGATCGGCATGGCGGATTACAGCTACCATTCCCTTTAGTTTCCAGGAATGTTTTGATGCTGGAGGAGGAGCAACAACGGTATCTGTCGAAGAAGTCACCGCTGAACTGGCACTATCGCTTGTTTTGACGGTGCAACGCCTGTCAGTCTTGATAGGTACGCCCTTCAAGTTGGAAGCCAAGACACTCGCATCCGAACTGGGAGTTGGGAAGGATGTCGTCACGCAAGCCGAATCCCTGGAGACAGTTGGATGTGTCTTCTGATTGTAAATTGGGTTCTGCATTCTCGTCATACTGGGTGACTTGAGAAGGGACTTGAGAGCCTGTCTGTGGGAACCGCCATTGTTCTTGCGTCCGGTAGGCAATTCACCATTCGGGGGAGTTTCAACAAGTAGATGGTCAATCTTCTTCCCTTCCCTTCGCAGTTTATGGTTGATAAACATCTCACGCAGGATTTTGGCACATTTGTCGTAATAGTCGTTGTTGTCTTTAACAAAGCTCCACCCGTTAACGTCGATGACATAAGACTTGTCTCCAACACGAAGCATATCAAAGCCACAGATCCGTTGTCCAAATCCGTTAGATATCTTGGTGGCTATGGTGGCTTCCTCCTTGCTGAGTTTGGTAATATATCTTATCTCCTTGCCATGTGTGTTGCGGCGGACGAGGCCATCAACCACAGGAGACTTGCGAGTTTCAGCATGGCAAAAGTCAGGTCCTACTGTGTAAGCTTTGACATCCTCAGCGTTATCAACCCTTAGGAATTGCTCGTAGAGGTAACTTCCATCCTTTTCAAGAATAGATCTAGGTATGGTGAGATCCGGATCGTATTCTGAACTCTTATTGCCAATTTTCCGGAAGAGTCGACGACCGCCACCGCCATAGTGGTCATCATTGGGGAAATAGATGTGGATATTATGATCTTCCCCATTGACGGGCTTTTCAATAAATGGTTTTCTGAAAGACTTGCCGTCGACGATGAGGGTTTCTCCGTCCTCCGACAGGGTCACGGACTGAGTTTTCGGGCTGCCACCTCCAGTGCCATCATCGGGTCCATCCAATTTTACACCAGTAAGATCGTAAATGTGTTGGGCAAGCTTTTTGGACTCGACTCTTGGACCGCCATCTCTGTTGACTTCGAATCGTTTCGGGGTCGGGATACCCATCTGGTCCAGGATACGAAGACATAGGCGTCTATCCCATAGCACTTTTTGCATTGGCAGGTCATTGATACAGAAGGGTTTCCTCAGCTTGGCATACGCGATGGCCTTGTCTAAGGGGAATCCATCGGAGAAGAAGGCAATTAAGAAATCGCTATATAAAATTAGCATGAACTCGATATTTTGGTGTAACAAGCAATTTCAATGTCAAAGCCAAGAAGGGTGGGGTGTTCCTACCACACCGGCCAATTTTCGACAGCTGCAGAAGTAAATATTAGTATCTTCTTCAGATGAGAGAGGAAGAGAGACATAAAATATGGTAATATGGATTTGCCTACCCTCATCAAGGATAACCTTGTCACCGAAAACGATAACCTCAAAGTCCCCCTTTGACTGCAACCTGGTAAGGATATTCTGGCTCGGTTTGCTGCGAGCCTTGACATCCAAAGCGCAGACGCCGATTTTCCCGATGAGGGGTACCTTGGCTGGAATTGAACTGTATTGTCAGTTTTCTCGAAGCTTGCTTAAGATATATATAGCAACTACGTCATGATCATGATTGAGGGGAGATATTCCTGTTTGTGCAACGTACGTTCCGCTTCACTCGCACTGCTTGCTGCAGTGCTCCCGCTAAATCTCCTTGGCGTTCGACTGGAGGATCTCGCCGGGCGGACTACCCAGTTTGAAGTGGAACGTCCATCAGTGGCTGCTGCCGTAGTTGTCGTTGAATCGGCACGGATATTGGGGAAAGGACCCGATATAGAGATAGTGGAAGATGTAGAATCTGCCGCTGTTGCTGTTGCTGTTGCTGTTGATGGGAGAGATGATGGGAGAGATGATTCAATGGCATTGTTGTTGGTATTGTTGCTATGTTGGTTTGGGTTTGAAGAGGGGTTGCTCCTGGCACCATCGGGATTGTCCATGATGTTGCTGTTGCTGCTGAAGCCCTTTATGGAACCTGCGAGGGATGAGGCGCAGGCGCCTGTGCCTGTGCCTGGTACGCGGTCACTGGTGGCAGAGTGGATGGTTGAGCCTAGGGAGTAGAGGGAGGAAGGGATTGCAGTAGAAGCAGTAGTTGTTGTGCCGGGAGATGTAGTTGTAAGAGATGTATGAGATGCAGCAGATGTAGCTGTAGCTGTAGCTGTTGCAATGTCTCCTCCTTCTCCGTCAGCAGTGGGCATGCTCATGCTCATGCTCATGCTCATGCTCATGCTCATGCTCATGCTCCCGTTACCGTTCCCCTTCCCGTTCCCCGTGGCAGGTTCAGGGGAGGCACCAGCAGCTGCCAGCCCCGAGGGAGAACCCGCAGTCCGGCCTGGTCTGTCGTGTACTGCTGCTGTAGACTGTGCCGGAGCAGGCTGCCTCTCCTTCTCCTTCTCCCTGTCCGAGTGTCCCTTTACCGTGTCGCCAGCGTTACTGCTGCCAAACACCGCCGACCCAGCGCCCAACTGAAGAGACTCCACCTGTTGCTGAAGCTGGAGCTGGTGTTGTGCCTGCGACTTCTCCTTAGCCAATAGCGATCCCCCTCCCACCGCTTTCTCTCCACTTCCCTTGTCCTTCTGCGTCTCGTCCATTGTATATGGGTCGATTGACTTGAGCCACCAGGCAGCAGCAGTAGCAGTAGCGGTAGCAGTAGCAGTAGCAGCAGTGCCTATATGTGTAATGTATAGTCGTCAAGAGAACACACACACTTTTATCCCATCAACAACCGATTAGGTATTATTATGTCGCACCACAACTGCTGTCTCCAGATACCGGTTCCATCCGGATTGCTGTCGGGGACAAGGGGTAGGGTGGGAGGGTACGTGGATCGGTGCTGTTTGCTATCTGTTGTCCGCTGTCCGCTGTCCGCCGTATGCAGCATGCAGTATGCTCTACGTGGTTGATTTGGGAATGTAGATATCGACACTCGTCAGATTGTCCTGTGATGATTGCCGTGGATTCGCCACCAAGAAAGGGTTCAATGGCAAGTCTTAGTTATAACTTATAGATATCGAATTGGAGGCGAAACGCAGACACTATATATATACACAGAGATGAGGATGAAGCTTATGTCCACTATGCAGGTGTTCAAAGCATCTGAATTGAAAATAAAATGAACGACAAAGTGTTTATTTGCCAGTTGTGTGCATAACTAGCTTGTTAACTAGTTATTTGTACTCCGTATTTCTTATTCAATTGATGTTCTTCGGGCGTAGTTAAAATAACTTATCAGCCTGGCCAAGACTGGGCAAAAGTGAAAAATATCCCAACCTAAATTTCCCCCCCGAACAAAAATATATGGCAAGAAAAGAAAGAAAAGAAATTCAACCATAAAAAACACAAAATAATATCACCCCAGCCGATAGCCCAGCCTGGGAATCTCAAGCGACTCGTCTCGTCTCGTCTGGTCTAGTCTAATCTGATCGGCTGAGGGTGGAAATCCAAAGCTGATGTCTGGGTAAATCGATTTCATCTAATTAACTATCAACCCTGTTTCCATACGAAGTCGAATACATATCCATGCCATCCTACAACATCTGAATATAATATCACCATGCCCTTGATCGACAGCGAGGCCTTTGGCTTCCCCGTCGCAAAGAGACAAAAAGTCTCACTGGGCCAACAGCTCGTGTCGGCCAAAGAGCCTCCTCACTCTCCTCCAAGCTCCAGGATATTCTCGCCCTTCAGAGTAAGTCCATAAAGTCCATGCCTTCAATTGTGCGAATATATCCATGCTTATATACATCAGAAAAATGGAGTATTAATTGCAATGAACAGACTCTAGGCCTCGTCTCCCCCACAAATGTCCCCTTCACCTCCATTCCCTTAGGCAAAACAACCTTCCAAATCACCACCTCCATCGGCAGGTCACTGCAGACCTACGACCTTCGTCGTGGCCTGAGTTTGATATTCCTCACACGCCCACAGACACCAGCTGCTATCACCGCGATATGCGCATGGAAGGATAAGATACTCGGTGCTTGGGGTGGTTCGCTACCCAACGAGCCATCGGGGGTATGGCTATTTAAGCGCGGGAAGAAAGTCGGAGAATTGGCCTGTCCCACCATCACTGGAAATGGAAAGGGAATCGAACCCGTTGAGCAGCTGCTGGTGTTCGGATCGTGGATCGTGGGCTGCTGTGCCAGTTCTATACGTATATGGAAGTCCACGACCTTCGAGCACTACACAACCCTCACCCCTCCAGCTGCCAGAACCGCTTCCTCAGGCCCTCGCGTCCTCACCGGCCGCATATGCACTATGCCCACATATCTCAACAAGATCTTCGCCGGCCGCAGCGACGGCAGCGTCGATATCTGGAACCTCAGCACAGGAAAACTAATCTACACCATTCTCCCAACGATCCCGAACGCAGGGGCCGTGACAGCCCTAGAGCCCACGATGGCCCTCTCCCTCCTCGCAATCGCCTACTCCGGCGGAGCCCTAGTCATGCACAATGTCCGCACGGACCAGCCAATCTTACACCTCCGCTCCAAATTGACAGGGAGTTCCGTTACGGACATCTCACCGATAACCAGCATAAGCTTCCGCACCGACGACCTGGGCGCCGGCAACGACGGACGAAAAGCAGGCGTCATGGCCACCGCAACCGCGGACAGCGGCGATATTACCATGTGGGACTTGAACGATGGCGGACGTATCACCGGCGTTCTACGCGATGCACACGAATCCCCCTCATCCTCAGCTGGATCCGGCGACAGAGGCCAACCCCCTCAGGCCGGCATTAGCAAGATTCAATTCCTCCCCGCCCAGCCTGTCCTCCTCTCCACAGGAACCGACAACTCCCTCCGCTCCTGGATCTTCGACCAGACCCCCTTCTCCCCGATTCCGCGCCCCTTACATTCTCGCGCTGGCCACGCAGCTCCAATAACAACCCTAACCTTCCTCCCTGCCGCCTCTGACGACTCCGACACTGTGGGCAAATGGCTTCTCAGCTCCAGCCGGGATCGGAGTCTGTGGGCACTGAGTCTACGGAAGGATTCGCAGAATGTCGAGTTGTCGCAGGGGAATGTTGGGGTGCGGAAGAAGAGGAGGGCGACGGCGTCTGCGGGCGCGGCTGCGGGTGTGGTTAGTAGGGAGGAGTTTAAGACGCCGGAGATTACCTGTTTGGCATGTTCGTTGAATAGGGATGGGGGAATGGGGACGGGGGGTGCGGCGGGGGCTGGCAGTGGGCCGATATGGGCAAATCCCAAAGGGGGCAGTACCGAGGGGACGGGGTTGACGGGGTGGGAGAGTGTGGTTACGGGGCATCGGGGGGATGGGGTTGCGAGGACGTGGTTTTGGGGCAGGAAGAAGGCCGGGAGGTGGACGTTTGCGACAGGGGATGGGGGGGAGGTTAAGGTTTGCATTTTTTTTTTTTTTTACTCTTTCTTCAAAAACAGCTATGCATTGAGGTGTGATTATGATGCTAACTTTTCGATAAAAGAGCGTCGCAGTTTCTCCATGCGGCACTTTTGCGCTGGTTGGTTCCGCTGGTGGATCGATTGACATGTACAATCTACAGTCTGGGATGCACAGACAGTCGTTCCCGGCGCGGGTAACGCCAGCACAAGCTAGGAAGCTCAAGATGCTCCAATTGGATGGAATGGAGGAGTTGGGGACTGGCAAGAGCCAAAATAGGGGTTTTCAAATGGGCGAGGGCAAACATACCAGCGCTGTTACGGGGTTAATGGTTGATGCGCTGAATACGACTGTGATTAGCTGTGGGCTCGATGGCAGAGTAAAGGTTTGTTTATGCACTTCAATTCATTACACTGCACATACCACCACCCTTACCCTTTCTCTATCTACATCAACATTTTTCTCAATTTCTAATAAACCAACCGGTCACAGTTCTGGAACTTCACCACCGGCCACCTCCAACACGAACTGAACTGGCATCCAATGTGCTCCATCACCGGCCTCCGCCACAACATATCCTCCGACCTCGTCGCCCTAAGCTGCGACGACCTCTCTATCCGCATCATAGACATCGAAACCCGCAAACTCGTCCGCGAACTATGGGGTTGCACAGGGCAAATAAACGACTTCTGCCTCTCCAACGATGGCCGCTGGGTCATCGCCGCATCCATGGACTCGGTCATTCGCGTCTGGGATCTGCCGACGGGACACCTTATTGACGCCTTCCGCATGGAGAAAACATGTACGGCTCTCGCGTTATCTGTGACGGGAGAATTTTTGGCGACGGCGCATGCGGATGGGGTCGGGGTTAATGTGTGGAATAATAGAAGTTTGTTTGTGGGGGTGCCTACGAAGCACATTGGGGAGGAGGAGGAGAGGCTTGTGGAGGTTATGGAGCCGACGGCGAGTGGGGAAGGGGGGGAGGCGATTTTGGAAGCGGCGTTTGAAGAGGTGGATGGGAATGGGGGGGGTGGAGAGGGGATACAAGTGTTGGGGATGGAGCAGTTGAGTCGTGATATGGTAACGCTTAGTGTTGTGCCGAAGAGCAGGTGGCAGACGCTTTTGCATCTTGATGTGATTAAGGTGAGAGCCTTCTTCTCCCCTCTCTTTTCTTTTTTTCTTCTTTTCTTTTGTCTCTTTTCATCTTGACTCTTGAGCGAGAGGGAATACTAAACCTATCCATCTACAGGAGCGCAACAAGCCCAAAGATCCCCCTAAGATCCCACAAAAAGCTCCCTTCTTCCTACCCTCCACGCTAGCAAATGAAAACGCAGACTCCACCTCATCACTCCTCCCCCGCAACACAAGAAGACAGCCATAAGCCCAAAAAACCCACCGCCGCCGAACGCTCCCGCATTGCCAAACTCCAACTCCAACACACCACCGACACCAACGGAGCCAGCACTTCTACAATCTCCCAATTCACCACCCTCCTCCACACATGCAGTGAAACAGCCAACTACGACTCATTCATCGAGTACCTCAAATCCCTCTCACCGGCCAAAGCCGATTTGGAAATCCGCTCGCTGGACCCTGGTCTTCTGAGCGGGAAGGGATGTAATGAGTTGATTGAGTTTGTGTCAGCGTTGACAGCGCGGCTGAGGACGAGGAGGGATTTTGAGCTTGTGAATGCGTGGATGGCGGTGTTTTTGAGGGTGCATGGGGATGTAATTGGGGAGAGCAGGGATGGGGATGGTGCGGACGGTGCTGGTGATAGCGAGGCGGAGGCAACTCGGGCAGCATTGCGGGAGGCGTTAAGGGAGTGGAAGATTGAACAGGAGCGGGAGGGGAAGCGGCTGGCGGAGTTGGTAGGGTATTGTAGGGGTATTGTTGGGTTTTTGAGGTCTGGGCGGTAGAATGGATGGTGAAGGAGTGAATATTGCAGTGTAACAGTCTTATTATGTATGTATGGGTCTCGTCTCTAGTCCGTTGCTATGAAGGACTGGACAATGGTTTCCGCGAGGTCGAATAGAGTCGTTGGAGAGGGGATAAATGTCGACGTAGAGAGATAGAAGGATGTATTTTGGTGGAATTATTTTTTTTTTTTGGGCATGGAGTATAACTACTAACGGAATTTAAATTTCTATTGCACAATCCACCTATATTTATCTTTATCTACATATTTTAATACTCCCTAGATCTATAGCAAACACATCTCTATTGTCCAGGAAGCGGAAATTTGAGGCTGATATCGCCAAGCGCGGCTATGTTGCGGCTAACACCCAAATCGCTTAACCCAGTCTAGTTTTGATAAGATGCACTATGGGAAACTTGGCAATCGTCTTTTCATTGTCAACAGGTATGTAACATATTCACACCCACATATACCCACACTATTATACATAGTACATAATACATAAAACATTTTACATATATACCCCTCCCATGCCTCCACCCTGAAATTTACTGCCAGTCAGGTACCACTATCCACCTGCCAGCTGTTACCAATCAATCAGTTACGAACCATCCGCCTCGCTCACACACCCTCAGTAGTCAAGGCGCAGCCTCATATCAGCCCACCGACCCTTTCCAATCACAATGCGCTGGTTCCTAATCCTCATAATAATCCTCTTCCTCCTTCTCCTCGCCTACATCTCCTGGATCGCCTTCACCCACTACCGCGCCCACCGCGCCGGCCTCCCCCCACCCCCTCTAAAATCCTACATTCCTTTCACATCCTCCTCCAGCCATTACAGAGACAGCAGTTACCCGACCCCGCGCAGCGCCGGGATCGCAGGCTGGGCTAAAGATCGATGGGCTGCGTTGCGCAATCGGAGGACGGCTAGGGGTGCGTATGAAGAGCCGCTTCATCCTGGGATTTCGCGGGGGAGGGATAGGACTGGTGGCGGTACTGAGTATGGGGGCGGGTATGCGCATGATGAGATTTGGGATTCGAGGATGGGGGACGGTGGGTATTATGAGGAGCAGGAGTTGGGGCTTGCAAGGCCTGGAGCTGGGGGTGCTGGAGTGGGAGTGGGAGCGGGAGCGGGAGCGGCCAGTGGACCGTATGATGAGGGTGCGGCGGCGTATCATGGAGCGGGATCCAGAGTACTGCCTAATATTAGCACGACGGTGATTGATTTGCCGGCTGATGAGCGCGAGCAGGAGGTTGAGAGGGGGAGGAGCCGGAGTTGGGAGGCAAGGGTTGTGGACAAGGATCCATTTGGGGATGAGGCGGAGCCAAGTCATTTGAAAGATGTCAGTCCACGGCCGGTGATGGAGGGTGATCTGGCTGGTGGTGATGGTATGGCGGGAGCAGGTGGCTCTTCTTCGGGGCGGGATCCGTCAACAGATCGTAAAAGTGCATTTAGGGAGGATTTATGAGCGTTATGATCCCTTCTTGGTTAGGGACTTATTTCTATGGTGGCTTTTCCTCCCCATTTTTAGATGACATGCTTTTATTTTTTATGATTGAAATGTGATGTCAGTATTGGATGCCCCTTTTGCCTTTTATGTTATCTATTGAGAAGCCCGTTGTATGGACCATTGAACTATTTTCCCGTTTTCATCTTTAACACTGACTTCTTGCCCCCTTTTAGTCTTGGTACAGCGAGAATATGAGAGCTATTGTTTATGACATCTATCAATGATAGTGGGTATCTTGGGTAGGTATATTGGACAGGCGTTAGTTCATGTCAAACACTTCAATCATCTGATCATACACATGATACGAGCTCAATCCCCGACCTGTCTGAGGATATCATACATATTCGTAGTCGGCTTTGGATTACTCCCCTTTCTCGTCAATTTTTTGGCCGTCTCTTCCAATCCAGCGTTGCTCGTCGTCCTCTTTCCCTTCTTGCTCGGCGCTTTGGTCACTGCCACCCTCCATGCTTTTTGCTCCTTAGCCATCGAGAGGTCACCCTGTCCATTAGGAGACACCCTCAGGACTTCCAACCCCTGAACTGACTCCCCATCCAGCTCCTCTCCCCATTCCTCCACATTGAGAAGCAAAAACAACCCCTCAACCACCTTTTGATTGGTGTCCACATCTCCGCCAAACTCCCCCCTCCGCTGAGTAGCCACGTGCATCCACGGCAAATCCGCCAACAGCCCCGACACCTCCCGTACCAATTCGCCAAACATCTCCCCAAACAGCGGCACCCACGTCTCTTCCCCATCCACAACCAACAGCTCCTTCAACAACCGTAGAGAGTACAGCACTGCCTGCATCTGCGCATGCAGGTGAATATCATCCCACTCCAACTTCGCCCCACAATAACCGCGTTCCAAAAACCTGCGTATCTCTCCCACTCTGGGCCTGTCTTCGCCCTCCATGCGACTGAGAATATCATACAGCGCAAAACATTTCCAGACGGAACTTCGCTCAACAGAATCACCATAGCAACCGTAAACAGCCGTCATGAATCCATTAACCTGCCCCAAAAACGCCCCAAGTCTCCTCTCTACCTCCCTCTGCGTCATCAGCGTCAGAGTGACAGGCGCTATTCGCTGGCCCTTGCGCATATACTCAACCACGCTCCCCTTCCTTCGTCCCTCGTCTGCAGCATACCTCAAATTCAGCAGCGAATAGGCAAGTAACCGCAGTTCACTACCCTGCAGCCATGCGGCGCGGCGCCCGTGACATTCCACCAGGATCGGGAGGTATACATATGCCCCCGTTTCAGGCCCGTTGAACGCTGGCAGTTCATATTGCGTAAATAACTCGGAGAGTTTGGGGTCTGTCAAGTCCGTATGCATATGTACATGTATCTGCTTTGAATCATTACCGCTGATATTGTTCGAGTACTCTTTCATGAACGATTGATACGATGCACTCTTCTCTACGACACCCGTGGTACTCTTCGCTCTGTGGATGAGTGTCGCAAACGACGTGTAGGGATCCTTCTTCAGTTCATAGGCTAAGCGCTGGAAACTGACAACGCCCAGTTTCTTGGCGATTGTCGCGGGGTGTAATTGCATTGCTCGTATGCTTAGTTTCATAGCATCGGGGTCCTCAGTTTCTTCTGTAGCTGATGACTCCCGGATATGAAGAATGTCGCCCATTTCAATAGAATTGAAAAATATCACAGATCCTTCCGCGCCCAGGTCGTGAACGAGCAGGTCAGAGTCGCCTGTCAGAACTGCACAGCCATAGTTCTTCGCTGTAGCTGCACAGTACTCATCAGCTTCCCCTAGGACAACTTCGACAAGTCCTGCAAATATATTATCAATATTTCTAGTTTGACGTGACGCAATCTCGTGCAATTCTGGAACGCGTGCTGTGCATTTCATAACCTCCTCCCTACTCCATCTGTATTTCAAATCCTCAATGACTGTGGGTATCATGAATGCAGGTGCCGGCAAGAACTTGAACCGAGATGATGGCGGGCGACGACCGAAGATCCAATCCCGGGGGATACTCATGGGCTTACTGCGGATGCTGGAAACTTTGAACCCCCCCCGCGTATCACAGCATAACTTTTCGAGCTTTTGTCGAGTTGCTTCCATCCGTTCCAGACGAGTGTTGCGTTTGGACAGGGGCAGCGCACCGTCAAAGTATATATTTTCTCTAATTTTGTTCAAATAACAGAATCGCCTTAGTTAGTTTGATTATAGAATAGACAGAACCCAGAACAGAAAAAGACTTTAAGACTTCAACTCCATCTAACAATAATCGACATTCAAAAACCAAAAATACTTACATCCTAACACCCACCCCCGTCAAACACAGCAGAAAGTGCATAACGGCAATGCTCACTTCATCCGCAGACGGCTGTGCATCAACAGGGTTTGCAGATTCGTCACTCCAAGGCAATATCCACTCGTAGACATCATATACCAGTCCTGGCCCGTCGATCACGATCGATGTGATGTTCTTCGTGCTCTGGTCATCTTTATTGTTGTTCCTCAGCCAGACTGTCTGCGCATGCGGGAGTAGATGACGCGTTAGGAAGAGGATCCCCATCTGCACGCAAGCGATTCATGGGCCGTGCTCGGGAACGGCGCGCTGGATAAGTGTTGGACTGCGGGATGTGGAGAGCGGAAAGGGAAAGCGGACAGTGGCTTGGGTTTTGAAGTTTGGATATCCGACATATGCCAACTATGAATAGCATATCTACATGGAACATTGTGAGAAAACTAGCGATAGTGATAGAGGTGTGTGATCGGGATAAACTGTGTAGAATTCGTAGTGGAATCTGGTATCCCTTAGATTTGATAGATGCGTGGAGAAATTTTTCGCGGAGGTCAGGGCACATTTTATCTCCATGTGATGATTCCCGGCTGAAAAGTGTTCTCCGTTCCCAGGAGCGATGGACACGGGGCATCAGTGAGATATTCCTTCGAGGTTATTTTCTATTAGAATAAAGATCTAAATAGTTCTTTTCGAATGCTGCCCGTCAGATATGGGAGAGACCGTGAATACATCTTCCACCGCTAAAAAGAAAACACGCAAAAAGATGATACGGCTGGATATCCAACCACCAGTCCATGATCACATTAGAATAGCAAGTTAAATTGGTGTCTAAATCTATGATCAAACACATATACTCCCACGGATAAGCAGCAAACCAACACAGGCTAACGTATGTATCTATACATATAGACCAGCATCCCACAACACACGCCACACGCCGAATGCAAGATGCCCATCCACCCTTGTAAACGGCACGTAACATAGCCGTGCAGGACGGGGAACAAAAACCTCTCAGTCCCCATGCAGAAGCAGCCCAAGGCAACAGAGCCCCTTGCATCTGTATGTCCCGATATAATACACATGCGGGTTCCCAGGACCCGCACAAACATCACGTCATGTTAATCTCCCTTTCCGGATTGCACTCCATAGTGCTCAGTGGGTCAAGAATATTAATGCTATTCCCGCCAATGTGGCGTGAACAGCATAATCAAAATTCCGCAATTCCGAACTCCGCATATCCTTGGTGTTCGAACTTGTTGGAATACGTATCTCCCGCCCGGCTGAATCGCATCAGGTCGCTAATTGAGCACCTGGTCGCACAATCGTCCGGCAGCCGGTGATAGAAAGTCATGCACGTAAGACGGGAAAAGACCCTCCCGCAACCCCAGTAACCCGTAAAACAGAAAGCCAAGAATAAAGTGGTTTCATTTCTCCGGAGCATCGGGGAGGCGCTCGATAACATACTTCGCCCTAGCAACACTCATGATTGGCACTCCTGGAATTTTCCTAGAATTTCCAAAGCAAAACAAGGAACGTCAGAAACGCAATAAACAACCAAAACTTTCGAAAATCTTAAAAAAAAAAGAAACTCACCTAATCCTCCTCTTCAAATCCCTATCATTCGTCGCCACAATATAAACACGATGCTTAATAACCCTATCAACAAGACAATCATCCGCATACGTCCCCTTGTGGTCACACTTCAACCTCTCAAAGCGCGGATCCTTGGCAATCCGCAGCGCAATGCGGTACTTGGGACCCAGCTTCTCCAACTCGGCTAGCACGCAGTCCGTGACGAGCGGGATGCATTTGGCGAAGAGGCAGTCCATCATTGTCGGGATGACCTCAAGTTTGTGCTGGACTGTGTGCGAGAGGAAGTTGGTATCGACGAGGATAGAGTAGGGGGGTGTTAGGGCTGTGTTATATTGAAAGAAGAGGGCGGAAGAGACTTGGGGGCTGTTGAGGAGAGGAGGGTGGTCTTCGTTAGTGGGGGAAGGTTTGTTTTCTATTTGGAAGGGTAGTGGGTGGAGGAAGCGTGTGTGTGTGTGTGTGTGTGTGTAAGGGAGGGTTTATGTTGATTACATTTCCCGGACGAGGTCATTGGATGTATTCTTTGCAACTTTGCTCTTCTCTGGCGCTTTGGCTTGGTTTTCTTTTCTGTTGTTTGCGATGGGAACTAATAATGAGCAATCTGATGTATTATTTCATTTTGTGCGAAGGGGGGGGGGGGGGGGCGGACGAGGACTATTCGGGAGGATGGGGGGAGATGGGCATACAATCGACTATCACGGCTAGTAATTGCTCTTTTGACCTGTTGTATCCCTTCGATTAGACCCCTCTCACCACATCTCCAATTGACTATAAGCGAATAGACGAACCTGAGCAAACTTGCGAGTCCTCTTCTTGATACCCATACCTTTTCATCAACACCTGCGGAAAAAGAGAAAGAGAAAAGGAAGGAAAATATCTATCCGGACAAAATGACAGATCGAATGGGGCACTTGCTGGTAGCAATCAGATCTCCAAATCTCAGTTATAAAACTGTCCGTTGCGGTAGAAATGAACGTATGTCCTTAACATCGTATCTTTTCCTCTTGAAGCTCGGAAAATTGTTATTCTTCTTACATAATCCACTCAACTCGTCTCTGTTAGCTAACGTAATCCGACACCTTTTTTGATCCAACGACAACCATTTGGTTCAACCCATTATTTGACAAATTTTCAAATTAAGCAACAACCACTAGGAATTCTATAGTAATGATATAGAATATATCCTTAGGTCTGTGAGCAGCTAGGAGCTTTGTGTTTCGTACTGCCACATTTACTACAGCGTGGTGGTGCTCGCTTTTTAGTTCTCAGATTTGAATCCTCAACCCCTTCCTCAGCTATATACATATGTGGCTTCTCTCTCTTTCATTTCTGTCTAGCGTTGGCACCTCTCAGCTGCTTGACTTCCTCTGTTAAAAGAGCAATCTTATTCATGGCCAGCTGACATTCTTTAACTAGCTGATCGAGAGCTTGATTTGTGGGACTAGAAAGAAGATCTGTACAGCGTTTAATAACCTTGCTGCTCTGCCGCTCCCAATTGAGTTACATTTCAGGGGGTCTTGAGGATCCAGGAGGATTGGAATCCGTGAGATGCATGAGCTGATCCTGGCGGGGTAGGAGTATGGAATTGAGTATGTAGCTGAGTAAGAACCTCATCTGGATTGAATGGAATCAAGCCTGTGGCTTTGAGTATGTTTCTTATAGAAGTATCCTTCATAGTTTCCTGCCTAGCTGCTGCGTAGCTGATTAGGAATTCATCCTTGTCAGTATGATTGATCCCCAATCTCATGTCCTGCTCAATCTTCTTGTCATACACTGAAAAACAGCTCACATCTAGTAACTGCAGTAGATGAGAGGAATGAAGAGGCATATAAAGAGCTATAATATAATGATCCAGGCAGAACTTATCAAATTCAGTTGTATCAATGACTATTTATGTCCATTCATAATCAGCAGTCTATATCTGCCAGCTGTACGAGCCTCAGTATGTCTTTTGAATACCCTTTGCAGTCATATTAAGCCAAGCTCATTTGTAGTCCAATTCTTCTTGCCAAGACCAATTGTCTAATTCACTGGCAGTTGCTTGTATCATGAGGATTGATGAAGCATGATCATAAGAGGTAGACTTCAGCCTGTAGCATTGACTACCTCAATCACAGTTGCTCATTCTCTGTTTCCTGACTGTATAAGAGATGGCTTACCTTCTTTCTCAGCTCTAGTAATAACTCTCATTAGAAAGTCAATGTCATCAGGGTTGTACTTATCCTTCAGCACAATTGCATACTTCTTTATAGTATTATCCACCAATGCAAACCATTCGTGTAAGAGCTTTAAATCCTCGCATAAAGCTCACTCGTAGTTATACTTGCATGAGAATCTAGTCTCCAGTTCAGAGTGCCATTTGATAAATATTTCCCCCCATCTTCCTCCCACAATAGTTGTAGGAGCAGATTCTCATGCTGAAAGTAGTAGATTGGCCATATCTTAGAAATCACAATTCAGGGAGGCTGTCGTCTTTCATCCATGAATATTATTCATTGACTAGAGATTCGTCTTCTGTAGAGGTCAGCTTTCTATTGTTAAGTTGAGAATTTGAACGCATAGTGCCTCCGTATAGTCTATAACATAGGAGAGGAGTAGGGGACGCGAAATGACTTAGCAGCAGCTCTAAGAGTTGAAAATTGATTCATTTTATAGGCTTTAATAGCTAATGAAAGTTTAGATTCTTGGTTAAAAGCTTCTCTGCTGAGGGAGGTTGCCATATTGAATAATTTAATGACCTGGGAGGGCTGGGATGAGAGATGGTGTCGGATTACGATAACTAAACTAGATACCATGAAGCATTCCCATGACAAGCTTTTTTTTTTCTTATATTTTTTTGCGCCTATCCGGTTCGGTTTCCTCATCACGACAATTACAGAGGATCCATGTGTGTATCCGGCGACTTTTGGGATGGATGTCGGATCGGAATATGCGTATACGGAGATTGTTTTGGCTTGCGGAAGGTGGCCGAATAAATGTCTCAGGTTGCAACATTATTCATACATTGTAAAAAAAAAAAAAAAAAAAAAAAAAATCTCATCTATGATACTAGAAATAACAATAATAATAAAGAAGAAATATAGACAAATTAAAATGGGGATATTATCGAGAAAAGAGGTAACAACAGAACGTATCAGGGGGCCAAAGGCGGTTTTGAAATTTTGAAGGCAGGAATTAATTCAATCAAGTACTCCAGAGCAATGGGAAGCCAAAATCGATCCGAAAGGATAATTAGAAGGGGAGAATCCGGAATAGTACACGGGGAAAGAAAAAGCAGTATCTGTGATAGGATAGAGACCTATCAATAGAACCGCTGGAATGAGATGGGACGTGGTTCGTCGAACGACTGTCCTGTGCATCTTCCCAAGATATATATGAAAAAAAAGAAGAAGAAGAAATGAAAAAGAGAGAGAGAGAGAGATAGAAAGAAAACAAACAAAATCATTGTTTCTTCTTCGCCGCATTATCCAGCTTCCTCTGCCTCCACCTCTTCGCAGCCTCAGGCGTATACTCTGTATCTAAACAATAATCCCACCATCGAAAACTACTTGCAAAATTCCCTATAAACTTCTCATGATGCACATCATGATGATCCGCCCCGGCCCAAATAGGCAAGAAATGATGCAACGACCACGGAAACTCATACCCACTGTGCGCATCAATGGCCTGGAAAAGCCTCAGCATGATCCAAATGTACATGGTGAGGATGTGCAGTTTGCCCGTGAAGGCTGCCCAGATGACAGGGGCAGCGACAGTGCCGAATCCCAGGGCCATCACTTCGATGGGGGAAGCGTATTCAGCAGCCAGGCCGAAGGGGGCGGAGTATTGGTGGTGGATTTTGTGGACAGAGCGGTAGAGCGGGCCCCAGTGAAAAAGGCGGTGGGACCAGTAGTGCCAGGCATCTTCGGCGACGAAGAAGATTACGATTTGGTAGGCCATGGTCCAGGGGGAGGGGAAGGGGACGCCAGTCTCTAGGCCAAAATATTGGGCCATTGGGTGGAAGAGCCTACATTATTTTGGTAAATGGGGTTGCTCTTGGTGATTTTGGGGGGGAGAGAGAGAGCGAGAGGGAAGGAAAGGAAAGGAAAGGAAAGGAAAAGGTACCATATCTGTGGGAGTTCGACGGTGAAGTGACTGAGGAGGACTAGTTTGGCGCACTCCCATTGTTCTTTCAGGGTCGGGATTTTATTCTGGTAAGAATTAGCGAGAGATCAGGTATAAGCTCCATGTGTCAATCAATTTATATGGTATATTACAGGTTGAATCTTATATTTATTGAAATAGGGTATTCTGCTGATGATAATCCAGGGCAGAGCGCGGCCGAAGTAGACGCACTCGTGCATGACGAAGGAGAGGATGCCGGTTGCGAGGACATCATTCTGCATCCAAACGTACCAGGCGGCCCATAGACGCTCGACGAAATTGAGGTGGACGTTGTATTTAGAGATTTCCTCGAACTGGGCCCAGTAGGTGTCCTGGGCTGGGGAGAGGAAGGTTGAATTCCTGGGTTTTGGG